GAAAGAAAAAGAAGAAAGAAAAAATGAGCAAAGTAGAGTGCGAATTATTATTTATTTTTAGCCTTTTACAAGAAAAATTATTTGCTTTTAAAAGCTGACTTTTTAATTGTAAGCTTGTGCGCGAAATTTTCAAGTAGAAAAATATCTAGTAAGAATATTTTTTAAAAAGAAAAGCAAGGACAAGGACACAGTTGTTTTTTCTTATGTTCATTTGTTAATGTAAATTGAAGAAAATTTTTTAAAAATTATTTTTTAAAGTGGAAAAAATAACAACTGATTTTTGAAGATAGATAGTGATGCCTTGGATGATTAAAAGGAGAGAAAATTAATTAGAAGACAACAGAAAAACAAGAAGACAACGAAAAAAAATTTTTCTTTGAAAAACAAAACTTGCTGGAAAAGCAAAGCAAAACCTTTAAGAAAATTCAAAACCAATAGCAAGTCTAAAAAAATCAAAAAAAAATTTTACTTTATTTGTCAATCAGAAGTAGTTCAGAAAAAACGGAGCAAAACTCTCTCAACAGTAATATGAAAAATTCCAAAACACACAAACAATATAGTTCAATTAAACTTTCAACGAAAATAAAACGAAAATAACAAAAATTCTTGTTATTTTCAACGAAAGTAACAAAAAAGAAACGAGTGAATCGGTCAACAACTTGTGGGTAGAAGAGTAAGAAAATAGTCTTTCCCGTTCATTTTTCATTTCCCAGCAGAAACACTACCACACAAAGGAATTTATAAATATATATTGGAAGGAAGAAATAGGACAGAAAAGAAAATATATTTCTCTTATATATTAGTAGAAAATACTTTAAGAAAAGCAAAAAGAGCAAAAAAAATTTAGAAAAACTTTCCGGAAGTGTAATGATTAATAATGAGAAAAAAAAATAAGCGAGTAAAAATCTCGAGAAAAATAGAAAAAATATCGAGAAAAATAGAGAGAATTTAAGAAAAATAGAGAAATTTTTAGTTTAAAATTTTTTTTTATTTTTTTATCTTATTGCTCACCTAATATTATATATTAAAAAATAATAAATTACAAAAAAAGTATAAACCTGTTAAAACTCAGCAATGAAATAAAGACAAAACCCATCACCACAGCAAATATTTTTTTTGTCTTCACCCATCATCATTTATTTTTTGCTTGTTTTTTTAGTTTCTCTTCACTCATCCATCTTCAACAAATTTTCCAATTTCTTCTCAAAAAATTCTACAATTTCTTTTCGATTTTTTTCTTCTTCCAAAATTTTCTTCAGTTCTTCAAGACTTTTAGGTTGAGGAAACTCGACAAAATTTAAACCTAATTCACTACAAACTTGTTTAAGAAGCCAAGGGGAAAACAAATTTGTACAAATATTATTTTTTAAATTTGAAGGGCCACCAACTTTCCAAAGGTTTTCTTTCTCTAAAAATTTGAAAAAATGACTCCTTTTCTCTTTTAATTTAAAATCTAAACCTTTCTCCTTTTGAAAAAATATTAAATGACTTGGCCAATTATCAAAAATTTCTTTTTCAATTTTAACATCATTAACATCCTCAGAAGACCAAGCACATTTTGTATTTTCATTTAAAACGAAAAAATCATTTTGAGAAGACAAAAATTGAATTGCTTGTTGTTTTTGTTGTTCTTCCAATTTTACATGTGAAAATAAAAGTAGACGAGTAAAATTAAAAATCTGAAAAAAAAATTTTATGAATAAAATGTTCAAAAAACTTGGCTATCCTTTAGCCAGTGGGACAGTTCCGAAAAAAATAAATCTTTCACCTTATGGAACCTTAACCATTTCACTATATTCAAATTTATGACTCGTAGAAATGAGCTTGGTCCCCCTATAGCTTTGAGACTTTCAAAGGCCTATATCTCGATCCACAGACAATTCCGACATTAGAGAGTAAAACCAGTCGTCCTATTATAGTTTTACGGCTTCAAAAGTCTGTATCCCAACCCACAGACAATTCAGCTATTAGAGAGAGGTACCAGGCAACTCAGCTTGATGAGAAGAAAGAAATATACTCAGCTTGATGAGAAGAAAAATAACTTTCGTTGAAAATAACAAGAATTTTTGTTATTTTCGTTTTATTTTCGTTGAAAGTTTAATTGAACTATATTGTTTGTGTGTTTTGGAATTTTTCATATTACTGTTGAGAGAGTTTTGCTCCGTTTTTTCTGAACTACTTCTGATTGACAAATAAAGTAAAATTTTTTTTTGATTTTTTTAGACTTGCTATTGGTTTTGAATTTTCTTAAAGGTTTTGCTTTGCTTTTCCAGCAAGTTTTGTTTTTCAAAGAAAAATTTTTTTTCGTTGTCTTCTTGTTTTTCTGTTGTCTTCTAATTAATTTTCTCTCCTTTTAATCATCCAAGGCATCACTATCTATCTTCAAAAATCAGTTGTTATTTTTTCCACTTTAAAAAATAATTTTTAAAAAATTTTCTTCAATTTACATTAACAAATGAACATAAGAAAAAACAACTGTGTCCTTGTCCTTGCTTTTCTTTTTAAAAAATATTCTTACTAGATATTTTTCTACTTGAAAATTTCGCGCACAAGCTTACAATTAAAAAGTCAGCTTTTAAAAGCAAATAATTTTTCTTGTAAAAGGCTAAAAATAAATAATAATTCGCACTCTACTTTGCTCATTTTTTCTTTCTTCTTTTTCTTTCAGAAAAATTTTTTTCTTTCTTCTTCTTCGAAGAATAACTTTGTGTGTCGTTTGTCGCTTGAAGAGATAGAAAATGTTTTAGCTTTTTGAGTGTTTTGTGTATTTGTATTTGTGTGTGAATTTATTTTTTATTTTTGCTACAATTTTTGAAGTGATGGTGAAAAATGAAGAGGGGGGAATGAAGAGATAACAACATCAGCGTTTGGGTATTCTAATTGAAAAAATCTTGGAAAAAATTTTTTACTTTTTTAAGGATTTATTGTTAGAATCCTTTTAATTTTTATATCTATGCTTCTTTCTAATCAGCTTCTCTTCACTAAAAATTTTCTCATCTTCATAGAAAAAAAACGGAATCTTTTTAAGCCTTCACACAAAATTTGGCTTTTCATAAAAAAATTTTTCTTCATTTACAAAAAATTCTCTCTTTTACGAAACCAAAAAAAATTTTTTTTGTTTATTTGTTTGTCTAAACTTTAATTTAGCCAGTCATCAGTCACCATTAAAAAATTGTCTATTATCTGTTTAATCATTTTTATATTTGAAAAAAATTTTTCTTCATCTGCAAAATTTTTTTCCTCCTCTCAGATTTTGACTTGCTCCACACTCTTTTCAAACTCTTAAAAGCATAAGCTTTATCTGTCAAGCTTTTTTGTTAGATAAAAAATATGAGGGAAATAGGTGGTGGTGTTAGTGAGGCCTTACACACGACAAATTTTTTTAGAGCGTGGCTGTTGTGTGTGTTCATATTTATTTTATTTTTCTATTTATGTAAATATTTTTATTTTTTCTCTTTTTTTTCACAAACCTTTTCACTCTAAAAATGCTTTTTCCTCTCTTACGAAACCAAAAAAAATTTTTTTTGTTGATTTGTTTGTCTAACAATAAACTTCAATTTAGCAGCCAGAGTCAATCAGCCAGTCACCATTTTTTAAAGTTTGTCTATTAGCTGTTTAATCATTTTTAAAAAGCTATCTAAAAAATTTTTTTTTATAATTTTGTTTTGTTTTATAATTTTCCATTGTTCTTTGAGTTAATCGATTTCTCAGATCTTTTTTTTTATCGATTTTTACTCTTCATTTTGAAGTTTGTTTGTGGGTTAGAGACATTCCGTAAAATTGATTGTTCTCTGCTGCAATCAAAATTATTGCAATACCGCAAAACTTAATTTCCTCTTTTTTTTGTTAATGTTTAATGTGAGGTTGGGTTGAATGATCGAACGCGTTTAATTATTATTTGTTTTATTTTTTTAAATTATTTTTTTTCTTTTTTATTTGTCGTTTCTAAGCAAACTTTTAATGTCTTATTTTTATCTTAGAAAATTATATGCTTAAATCTTGGTGATCCAACATTGACGGATGTTTACCACCTGCAACAATAAATGCAATTAGGAATGCAGTGGATTCGCACAAATTTGATGGTTATGGGCCTGCTGTTGGAACTCTTTCTGCTTGGGCAGCAATGTTGAGGTATTACTCTAAGCTGATTGGAACTAAAATTAATTTTAATTGTTGTAGAAATTTTCAACACCTGAAGCTCCATTTACTGATGATGATGTAGGACAAAAATATTCTCGTTCCGAGGCCTGGCTTTCCTTTGTATTCAACATTGTGCCAACTGAATGGAATTGAATCTAGGCAATATAGACTGGAAATGGATGGTAAAGGATTAATTGATTTGGCCCATTTGGAAAGCTTAATTGACTCACAAACACGTAAGGAATAGATAAAATAATTTTTAGACTAAATTTTTTTTAGGAGCTATAATAGTTAACAATCCTTCAAACCCGACAGGAGTGGTTTTTCCAAAGGAGCATTTCGAACAAATTTTGGAATTGGCAAAATATAAGGTAAGTTTCAATTAATTAAAAATAAGATGCATTCTTAATTATTCACATTTTCAGTTTCCTATCATTGCTGATGAAATTTATGGTGATTTGTTATATGGTGAAGGCGCCCGTTTTCATCTAATGGCAACATTAAGTCCTCATGTCCCAATAATAACTTGTGATGGAATTGGAAAAAGATATCGTCCCTGGATGGAGGCTTGGTTGGCTGATTGTACATGATTGTTGCGGAGGCGTTTTGTCTGAAATAAAGAAGGGAATTGTTGCTTTAAGTAAAAAGATTTGTTGGACCATGTGCATTAATTCAAGGAGCTTTGCCAAGCATTTTAAGAGATACACCTTCCGAATTCTTCGACAACACTAAAAAACTTGGCTTCAAATGCTTCTACAGTATATGATAAATTAAGTAGAGTATCTGGATTGAGACCATTGAAGCCACAAGGTTTTTGAATTAAAAATAATTTAAAATAAAGATAGTATTATTAAGGTGCCATGTATATGATGGTTGGATTTGATCCTTCTTTCTTTGGTGATGAGACTAAATTTGTGCGTGGTCTAATTTCTGAAGGAAGGTATTAAAGTTGATTAGTCATAAGTAAAATAATATTTTTTTAGTGTGTATTGTCTGCCTGGCTCCGCCTTCTCGTTACCAAATTGGTTCCGTCTTGTATTAGCCTTTCCAAACGAAACAACAACTGAAGCTTGTGAGAGGATTGCGGCCTATTGTTCTTGACATTTACGCCCATGTGTAGAAAGATTGGAAGCATCAATGTCAATTAAAAATAAGTTATGGGAAGGTTAATAAATTTTTTGAAATTTTTTAAATTTATTTTCCTTTTTTGAGACTGATGTGAATTTGTCTTCAACATGTGGAAATTTGGCCTTTGTTGGTGATTCTTCCCAATCTGTTCTTATTCAAAAACGAGGTTTTTTAAATTTTTTATATACCTAATTATTTGTACTTATTATCCTACTCCTCAGTAATTTTGTTTGATGTGTATAAAAAGTGGGCAGTCAGTCTAGGTTATGGCAGTGTTGAACTTTTGACCGCCCAACACCACGCAAAACATATTTTGTTCTTAATTCAGTTTAGGGAAAATTTTAACCTTTAATTATGTTTCTTTGATCAGAAAACTATCATGAATTTTAGTTATCTTTGGTTTAGAAAAATTTGAGGCTCGAGTGGGTTTAAGCCATCGACTTTCATATCATAAAATTCCTCTTAAATAGTGCATTTTTATTTTAAAGATGATGCAAGTGTGCCTCAACACCAATCATTCTTCGTACAAGTGCGGCAGATGGCTCTGAAACATCAACAGACACACCAAGACAACTAATTGCGAGGACTTTTTAATAAAGATTGGACTGCAACAAATTGGTGATGAATTACAAAGATGAGAGAAGCTAAAAAATGTGGCAAAGATGCTTCCGCCACATTTAAAGGTCTAAAAGATATTTGAATGAAATATGTTTTTATTGTTATTTAGTGCTTTTCCGTTTTCGTCATTTTTTTGTTTCATTTTTTTAGCACAAAATGTAATCAAAACAGCAGAATTCTTAGATGCAAAAACGGAAAAGCACAAGTAAGCCACTTGTAAAAAAGGATTTTTTGCGGATTCGTTTAGAAGAAAGCAAAAAATTCTTTTCTTTACAAGTGGTATTTTTTATCACATTATTTATTTGTTGGTTAAAAATAGGGTTTAGAATGGGCCCCCTCCCCCGACCCCGGGTTTACCCAACACCCAACTCTGCCAAGCTCGCAGAGCTTCAGACACTCCTAAACTCCAAAACGATCTAACTTGACTACCTCTTTTTTTCTAAAAATTGGAACTTTTTCTAGAACGAAACTGCCAGATTAATTCCAGATCAGATTAATTCCAGATCATAACTCGGAGGTATGAAAGCCTGATCTGGAATTAATCTGGCAGTTTCGTTCTAGAAAAAGTTCCAATTTTTAGAAAAAAAGAGGTAGTCAAGTTAGATCGTTTTGGAGTTTAGGAGTGTCTGAAGCTCTGCGAGCTTGGCAGAGTTGGGTGTTGGGTAAACCCGGGGTCGGGGGAGGGGGCCCATTCTAAACCCTATTTTTAACCAACAAATAAATAATGTGATAAAAAATACCACTTGTAAAGAAAAGAATTTTTTGCTTTCTTCTAAACGAATCCGCAAAAAATCCTTTTTTACAAGTGGCTTACTTGTGCTTTTCCGTTTTTGCATCTAAGAATTCTGCTGTTTTGATTACATTTTGTGCTAAAAAAATGAAACAAAAAAATGACGAAAACGGAAAAGCACTAAATAACAATAAAAACATATTTCATTCAAATATCTTTTAGACCTTTAAATGTGGCGGAAGCATCTTTGCCACATTTTTTAGCTTCTCTCATCTTTGTAATTCATCACCAATTTGTTGCAGTCCAATCTTTATTAAAAAGTCCTCGCAATTAGTTGTCTTGGTGTGTCTGTTGATGTTTCAGAGCCATCTGCCGCACTTGTACGAAGAATGATTGGTGTTGAGGCACACTTGCATCATCTTTAAAATAAAAATGCACTATTTAAGAGGAATTTTATGATATGAAAGTCGATGGCTTAAACCCACTCGAGCCTCAAATTTTTCTAAACCAAAGATAACTAAAATTCATGATAGTTTTCTGATCAAAGAAACATAATTAAAGGTTAAAATTTTCCCTAAACTGAATTAAGAACAAAATATGTTTTGCGTGGTGTTGGGCGGTCAAAAGTTCAACACTGCCATAACCTAGACTGACTGCCCACTTTTTATACACATCAAACAAAATTACTGAGGAGTAGGATAATAAGTACAAATAATTAGGTATATAAAAAATTTAAAAAACCTCGTTTTTGAATAAGAACAGATTGGGAAGAATCACCAACAAAGGCCAAATTTCCACATGTTGAAGACAAATTCACATCAGTCTCAAAAAAGGAAAATAAATTTAAAAAATTTCAAAAAATTTATTAACCTTCCCATAACTTATTTTTAATTGACATTGATGCTTCCAATCTTTCTACACATGGGCGTAAATGTCAAGAACAATAGGCCGCAATCCTCTCACAAGCTTCAGTTGTTGTTTCGTTTGGAAAGGCTAATACAAGACGGAACCAATTTGGTAACGAGAAGGCGGAGCCAGGCAGACAATACACACTAAAAAAATATTATTTTACTTATGACTAATCAACTTTAATACCTTCCTTCAGAAATTAGACCACGCACAAATTTAGTCTCATCACCAAAGAAAGAAGGATCAAATCCAACCATCATATACATGGCACCTTAATAATACTATCTTTATTTTAAATTATTTTTAATTCAAAAACCTTGTGGCTTCAATGGTCTCAATCCAGATACTCTACTTAATTTATCATATACTGTAGAAGCATTTGAAGCCAAGTTTTTTAGTGTTGTCGAAGAATTCGGAAGGTGTATCTCTTAAAATGCTTGGCAAAGCTCCTTGAATTAATGCACATGGTCCAACAAATCTTTTTACTTAAAGCAACAATTCCCTTCTTTATTTCAGACAAAACGCCTCCGCAACAATCATGTACAATCAGCCAACCAAGCCTCCATCCAGGGACGATATCTTTTTCCAATTCCATCACAAGTTATTATTGGGACATGAGGACTTAATGTTGCCATTAGATGAAAACGGGCGCCTTCACCATATAACAAATCACCATAAATTTCATCAGCAATGATAGGAAACTGAAAATGTGAATAATTAAGAATGCATCTTATTTTTAATTAATTGAAACTTACCTTATATTTTGCCAATTCCAAAATTTGTTCGAAATGCTCCTTTGGAAAAACCACTCCTGTCGGGTTTGAAGGATTGTTAACTATTATAGCTCCTAAAAAAAATTTAGTCTAAAAATTATTTTATCTATTCCTTACGTGTTTGTGAGTCAATTAAGCTTTCCAAATGGGCCAAATCAATTAATCCTTTACCATCCATTTCCAGTCTATATTGCCTAGATTCAATTCCATTCAGTTGGCACAATGTTGAATACAAAGGAAAGCCAGGCCTCGGAACGAGAATATTTTTGTCCTACATCATCATCAGTAAATGGAGCTTCAGGTGTTGAAAATTTCTACAACAATTAAAATTAATTTTAGTTCCAATCAGCTTAGAGTAATACCTCAACATTGCTGCCCAAGCAGAAAGAGTTCCAACAGCAGGCCCATAACCATCAAATTTGTGCGAATCCACTGCATTCCTAATTGCATTTATTGTTGCAGGTGGTAAACATCCGTCAATGTTGGATCACCAAGATTTAAGCATATAATTTTCTAAGATAAAAATAAGACATTAAAAGTTTGCTTAGAAACGACAAATAAAAAAGAAAAAAAATAATTTAAAAAAATAAAACAAATAATAATTAAACGCGTTCGATCATTCAACCCAACCTCACATTAAACATTAACAAAAAAAAGAGGAAATTAAGTTTTGCGGTATTGCAATAATTTTGATTGCAGCAGAGAACAATCAATTTTACGGAATGTCTCTAACCCACAAACAAACTTCAAAATGAAGAGTAAAAATCGATAAAAAAAAAGATCTGAGAAATCGATTAACTCAAAGAACAATGGAAAATTATAAAACAAAACAAAATTATAAAAAAAAATTTTTTAGATAGCTTTTTAAAAATGATTAAACAGCTAATAGACAAACTTTAAAAAATGGTGACTGGCTGATTGACTCTGGCTGCTAAATTGAAGTTTATTGTTAGACAAACAAATCAACAAAAAAAATTTTTTTTGGTTTCGTAAGAGAGGAAAAAGCATTTTTAGAGTGAAAAGGTTTGTGAAAAAAAAGAGAAAAAATAAAAATATTTACATAAATAGAAAAATAAAATAAATATGAACACACACAACAGCCACGCTCTAAAAAAATTTGTCGTGTGTAAGGCCTCACTAACACCACCACCTATTTCCCTCATATTTTTTATCTAACAAAAAAGCTTGACAGATAAAGCTTATGCTTTTAAGAGTTTGAAAAGAGTGTGGAGCAAGTCAAAATCTGAGAGGAGGAAAAAAATTTTGCAGATGAAGAAAAATTTTTTTCAAATATAAAAATGATTAAACAGATAATAGACAATTTTTTAATGGTGACTGATGACTGGCTAAATTAAAGTTTAGACAAACAAATAAACAAAAAAAATTTTTTTTGGTTTCGTAAAAGAGAGAATTTTTTGTAAATGAAGAAAAATTTTTTTATGAAAAGCCAAATTTTGTGTGAAGGCTTAAAAAGATTCCGTTTTTTTTCTATGAAGATGAGAAAATTTTTAGTGAAGAGAAGCTGATTAGAAAGAAGCATAGATATAAAAATTAAAAGGATTCTAACAATAAATCCTTAAAAAAGTAAAAAATTTTTTCCAAGATTTTTTCAATTAGAATACCCAAACGCTGATGTTGTTATCTCTTCATTCCCCCCTCTTCATTTTTCACCATCACTTCAAAAATTGTAGCAAAAATAAAAAATAAATTCACACACAAATACAAATACACAAAACACTCAAAAAGCTAAAACATTTTCTATCTCTTCAAGCGACAAACGACACACAAAGTTATTCTTCGAAGAAGAAGAAAGAAAAAAATTTTTCTGAAAGAAAAAGAAGAAAGAAAAAATGAGCAAAGTAGAGTGCGAATTATTATTTATTTTTAGCCTTTTACAAGAAAAATTATTTGCTTTTAAAAGCTGACTTTTTAATTGTAAGCTTGTGCGCGAAATTTTCAAGTAGAAAAATATCTAGTAAGAATATTTTTTAAAAAGAAAAGCAAGGACAAGGACACAGTTGTTTTTTCTTATGTTCATTTGTTAATGTAAATTGAAGAAAATTTTTTAAAAATTATTTTTTAAAGTGGAAAAAATAACAACTGATTTTTGAAGATAGATAGTGATGCCTTGGATGATTAAAAGGAGAGAAAATTAATTAGAAGACAACAGAAAAACAAGAAGACAACGAAAAAAAATTTTTCTTTGAAAAACAAAACTTGCTGGAAAAGCAAAGCAAAACCTTTAAGAAAATTCAAAACCAATAGCAAGTCTAAAAAAATCAAAAAAAAATTTTACTTTATTTGTCAATCAGAAGTAGTTCAGAAAAAACGGAGCAAAACTCTCTCAACAGTAATATGAAAAATTCCAAAACACACAAACAATATAGTTCAATTAAACTTTCAACGAAAATAAAACGAAAATAACAAAAATTCTTGTTATTTTCAACGAAAGTAACAAAAAAGAAACGAGTGAATCGGTCAACAACTTGTGGGTAGAAGAGTAAGAAAATAGTCTTTCCCGTTCATTTTTCATTTCCCAGCAGAAACACTACCACACAAAGGAATTTATAAATATATATTGGAAGGAAGAAATAGGACAGAAAAGAAAATATATTTCTCTTATATATTAGTAGAAAATACTTTAAGAAAAGCAAAAAGAGCAAAAAAAATTTAGAAAAACTTTCCGGAAGTGTAATGATTAATAATGAGAAAAAAAAATAAGCGAGTAAAAATCTCGAGAAAAATAGAAAAAATATCGAGAAAAATAGAGAGAATTTAAGAAAAATAGAGAAATTTTTAGTTTAAAATTTTTTTTTATTTTTTTATCTTATTGCTCACCTAATATTATATATTAAAAAATAATAAATTACAAAAAAAGTATAAACCTGTTAAAACTCAGCAATGAAATAAAGACAAAACCCATCACCACAGCAAATATTTTTTTTGTCTTCACCCATCATCATTTATTTTTTGCTTGTTTTTTTAGTTTCTCTTCACTCATCCATCTTCAACAAATTTTCCAATTTCTTCTCAAAAAATTCTACAATTTCTTTTCGATTTTTTTCTTCTTCCAAAATTTTCTTCAGTTCTTCAAGACTTTTAGGTTGAGGAAACTCGACAAAATTTAAACCTAATTCACTACAAACTTGTTTAAGAAGCCAAGGGGAAAACAAATTTGTACAAATATTATTTTTTAAATTTGAAGGGCCACCAACTTTCCAAAGGTTTTCTTTCTCTAAAAATTTGAAAAAATGACTCCTTTTCTCTTTTAATTTAAAATCTAAACCTTTCTCCTTTTGAAAAAATATTAAATGACTTGGCCAATTATCAAAAATTTCTTTTTCAATTTTAACATCATTAACATCCTCAGAAGACCAAGCACATTTTGTATTTTCATTTAAAACGAAAAAATCATTTTGAGAAGACAAAAATTGAATTGCTTGTTGTTTTTGTTGTTCTTCCAATTTTACATGTGAAAATAAAAGTAGACGAGTAAAATTAAAAATCTGAAAAAAAAATTTTATGAATAAAATGTTCAAAAAACTTGGCTATCCTTTAGCCAGTGGGACAGTTCCGAAAAAAATAAATCTTTCACCTTATGGAACCTTAACCATTTCACTATATTCAAATTTATGACTCGTAGAAATGAGCTTGGTCCCCCTATAGCTTTGAGACTTTCAAAGGCCTATATCTCGATCCACAGACAATTCCGACATTAGAGAGTAAAACCAGTCGTCCTATTATAGTTTTACGGCTTCAAAAGTCTGTATCCCAACCCACAGACAATTCAGCTATTAGAGAGAGGTACCAGGCAACTCAGCTTGATGAGAAGAAAGAAATATAAAGCGAGTTTGGAACCGCCAACCGGGTAAAGTAGGCCAAAAAAATAAAAAAACCTGTTCATCCCCTCCAATTCTTCCAATTTCAAAAAAATTTATTTCCGACTTTTCCTCACTTTTAAGACTTGCCAAAGCTTCAAACTCCAAAAATAGTGTGCATTTATTAATCAATTCAGTTGTCTCCATAACAAGTCCAATTTGTATATTCATCTTGTAGCTAACAGCAAAAGCATGACATAAAGCGTGAAGAGAAGAAAAACGAGCAGATTTTTCAGTTTTACATTGAACCATTGGATGAAGAGGTAGACAAATATCTACAAAAAAAAATTAGTTAAAAATTGAATATAGAATAATGTAAGAAAAATAATGACACCCCCAAAAGGATTTGAATTATAAAAAAATGTTGTGAGGAGAATTGGAAAATTCCCCAACTAAACAAAAAAGACATCCAACATCCAAAATTGGAAGAAAAACGTTCCTGAACATGTTAACTAGGGTTGCCGACCCGGGTCGGTTCGAAAGATCGAACCGGGTCTCGAATTTTGGCCCGAAAAAGACACGACCGGTCCGGCCCGATAAAAATAAAGCCCGAAAAAATGACTCGAACGTGGCCCGGTTCGAAAACGGCAACTCTACTGTTAACTCTAAAATCAACGGCTTCACATAAACTTAAAAAATTTTTTTGCAAATAAGGCTTATGAACAAAAATAAATTAACCCCTATTCCCCCTATAGTCTCACTACAAGTCACTGCAAAAGGCAAGGAATAAATTTGGACGAATTGGAGAAATAGAGCCTATGCCTATGGTGCTCTCCAAAGACATAAAAATAAGGCGAAACAAAATAATAAAAATACCAAGATGCGGAAGAAGAAACTCCTCCTTCACAGTACCAAAAGAATGGAAGAAGAATGGAAGAAAATCAAGTAGCGAACACAACGATGTTAGGAATGAATGAGTCTTTGAGACGATAGAGTGCGATTTTAGGCTCTGCTTGTTTTCCTCGTCAGCAATGTTGCTTTTCTCGTCTATAATGACAAAAACAGAGCGAATCTGTAAAAATATTTTTAAACGACTGAATAAGATGAATAAACAGGGAAAGTAATCAAATAAAGTACAATGTCTTGAATCTTATCTAAAAGAGAAACCAGAGAAGACAACCAGGCCAATTACGGACCCTGAAGACCCGGTCTCGAATCTTATGTGGACTTGAATCTTATCCCAAAAAGGAAACCAGAGAGGAAAACTGGCCAATCCCGGAACATGAAGTACGCGGTCTGAAATCTTATCCCAAAAAGGAAAACAGAGAGGACAAACGGGCCAATTACGGACCCTGGAGTACCCGGTCTGAAATCTCACCTCACTGAGAAACCGGAGAAGACAAATGGGCCAATGACGGAACCTGAAGTACATGGCCTTGTATCTCATCTCACAGAGGAAAGAGAAGACATATGGGTCAATCCAGGAAACTGAAGTAACAAGGTCTTGAATCTGATCCCACAGAGAACCCAAAAAAGACAAACGGGCCGTCCCCGAACCTGAAGTGCCCGGTCTTGAATCGTATCTCACAGAGAAACAACAGAAGACAAACGGGCCGTCCCCGGAACCTGAAGTAACATGTCTTGAATCTTATCTAAAAGAGGAACCACAGAAGACAAACAGGCCTCCCGTGGAATCTGAAGTACTGTCTTATATGTTATCTAACAAAAAGAACAAGAGAAGAAAGACGGGCCAATCTCGCAACCTGAAGTAACAAGGTCTTAAATCTTATGGCACAAGGCTAACCAAAAACAAAACAGGGCAATCCCGGAAGCTTTTTGGACCCTTGAAACAATACTAAACTTAAATCACAAACCTCATAAACCTCGACAACTCTCTTAACAATCTTTTGAGAACCAGCAGAACCAAACACAATATTGAGTTGACCTCCCTCAAGATAAGGTTCCAGTGATCTTGAAATCTTCGTTCCATTTTTAGGTGAAACCAAAGCAAAGAGTTGTCTGTTCTCATTAGTAAATCGATCAGCTTTGAGTAAATGAAGGGCAAAACTGGTAGCAAATTGATTAGTTGAATTTAAAGTTGGAAGAAGAGTAGTCATTTTTGTATTAAAAGAGGTTAATGCTAAAATCTGAAAAAGTAAGTAATTAGACATGCAAAAGTTAAAAATCAATCAGAATGTGTTGAAAAAGAAGGAAATACGCGTAAAAATAACGAAAAATGATCTCGATCGAAGTTAAAAAATGGGTCAAGGTAAATGAAGATAAAGATGTTTAAGATGAATGTGACTAAGACTCAAATGGTGTAAGACTCAAATGTACCTAATTTAAATGGGATGAATTGACATTAAACAGAATGCCAAAAATAAAATCGATAAAAACACGGGATGACGATCAAGTACCGAAAATCAATAAACGCCCTCTGCCCTCTCGGGCTTTTCCCCGTAAAACTTCCCCCCTTCCCCAATGAACTAGGAAACCTCCAAAAACTGATTCCATCCATTGGAGCACATTCTGCTTTGTCCATACCGTCCATACCACTGGTTGAGCTAAAACTCAAAAACTTTTTGAAATCAGGAAAAATTGAAAAAAACAAGGACAAGAAAGACAAGGACAAAAAACAAGAAAAATGAAGAAAGGGTGGAGTCATTCGCTCGCGCATTTTTAGCCAGCGATTTTTTCATTTAAAAAATTTGAAGATTTACCGGGCCAAGGGTTGATCAGGAAGAGCATGTAGACGAGGAAGAGCATGTAGAGGAGCCACCACCACCAGTGCATGTAGACGACCACCACCGCCAGTGCATGGAGTAGAACGAACCTGGCTGAAAATCACCCCCTCCCATTATTAAATTTTATTTTTTTTAATTTTTTAATAAAAAACCACACCCCAACCATATTCCACCATCACATCAGCAGGCCACCAAGAGCATGGAGGGCCACCAACCACCAGAGCATGTTGAGTCCACCAACCACCAAGAGCATGAAGAGGGCCACCAACCACCAAAAGCATGAGGAGAGCCACCAACCACCACCACAAGCATAACTTTTTTAAAAAATAAAAAAAAAAAATTTTATAAAAAAAAACAGGCCACCAGACCACCACCATGAAGACCATCAGCATATTCTCCAAAGGCCACCACATGAAGAACAAACATAAAAATAAAAAAATTTCATTTTTAAATTAAAAAATTTAAAATAAACTAGGAAAAAACCCACCGTTTGGTTGAAGCCAGCAAGGCATCCATCCATCCATCCACCACATACCACCATGTAGAGCACGGTCGAAGCGCCTAACAAATTAAAAAATTTCAAACTCAAATTTAAAAAAACAAAAAAAAAGCAAATTTAACCGGCCAGCCATCCAGAAGAAGCATGTCCAGAAGTCGGGACTGGCCTTCAATTTAAAAAATTTTAGATTTTTTAAAAATTTTAAAAATTATTTTTTTAGCAGATTTTAAGCGCGCGCAGCATTGGGGTCAACGAATAAACGAATAAAATTAAAAAAACAGATGAAATAAATGAAAAAATGAAAAAAAACAACAAAAAAACGCGTAATCTCCGGAGATTAACAAAAATCTGTGAAGATCCAGATTTCAGAAAAAAGTGACGCCAAATAAATTTGAACGGAAACTTAACGCATTTCATTGTGGTAATTTTCAATTTGGAAAATGTCAAAGTGTAAACTAGTTGTTATTTTGTCAATAACTCGAAAAAAGTGAAGATAATCGAGATTTCAAAGCCTTTAGAATTAAAAAAAAATTTTGGCTTGGAAAGATTGAAATAAAAATTTTTTCTGAAGACACACCATCAAGAATGCCTGGAAAACTTGGAAAGTCCTAAAAGTTCCCACTCAAACTTGGAGAGTTCCCAATCAACTGTGAAAAAATTCCTTGAAAATTCCCACTTATTATACAGAATTTCTGCTTTGAATTTTATCAACTTATTACAACGCTTCTTTAAAAATTTTTATTTATTTAAAAATCAAAAATTTATGAAACAATTCTTTTCAAAAATCATCAAAAATTATCTCAAAAGAATCTTCTTTCTAAAAAAGTACATCTCCTTGGTCTTGCCGGAAACAAATTCCCTTGCTTGTCAAGCTTATCTAACGCCAATTGCAAATGTCGAGGTGTTAAAGGCTCAGAGGATGATGAAGCTTCTTTGTTGGATTCACGCTCAGCTTTTTGGATGTCTAGTGCTGAAAAAGATAATTTTTTAATCTGAAAAAAATTCCTATGAGAGAAGGTTCTTCTACCCGATCATTCCCAGAAAATTTGCTATATCTTTTCCCAGAAAATACCTTCTAACAATAAGATTAGGATTTAGAAAATACTAGAAAGACATCCAAAAACCCATGTCCGTTTGTTTTTTTATTGGAGGAACGGAGGCCACTAATCCCCAACCCTATTTTGTCTAAAAAAGTAAACAAGAAAAGCTCACTACTCTAAGGAAACCAGAAAAACCATATCCCGTTTGTTTCTTGGAATGTTAGAGGCAAGCATAGCGAAGAATAAATGTCCAATGGAAAAGTTCCTTGAGACTGGCGGAACCTAAAGACCCACTGGAAAGTACCAACCCTTCCAAAGACCCACTTGAAAGGTTCGATGAGATTGGTGGGACCAAAAAAAAATCAGAAAAAATAAAAATAACCTTCTTCAATCAACTCTCCAGTGAACACCTTCGCCATACCGGCAATCGCAATAACCACGTTTTGTCCAACAGAAACACCAGCAAATTGAATAATCAACTAAAATATTTGATTTTAAAAATTAAAAAATAAAAGAAACCCGTCGAATAGCAGATTTTGGAAAGCTGGCACGTCTCATCGTTTCATAGCGTTCAAGTTGTTCTTGGGTAAAGTTGGCGAGCAAAATTCTAAAAAACGGAGGATTTTAAGAGAAAAAACGAATAATCCCTGAAAACCTACACCATGAAGACAACATCCTCAATGCCTATTGACCCTGAAGACCATAAACTTTTGAAAGGGAATATCGATGGATTTGGAGTGATTTAAGGGGATAGAGAGAGACTTATCCAGAGTTATAGTACACACTCAAAACAGGACTATACGTTCTAACAGTGCCGTAGCCAGGATTTTTTAAGTGGGGACCAAGGGGGAAATTTTGAACTTTTGGAAGGCCGCAGGAACCCAGGCTACGACCCTGGGTTCTAAAATAAGAATATGGGTAAGCACGAATATGGGTAATCATCTCAATAGAGCTTGGTACTTTTCTCCCTTAATCCCTCGACATTCCCTTTCAAAAGTTGTAGGTCCTCAGAGTCTAGGGCTTCTGAAGTGTAGGTTCTAAATGATGTCCCCGAAAAAATCATTTAAAAAATAATTTTAAAAATTTAAAAAACAAACTGCAATTTAAGCCTAGCCAATTCATCCTCTTCATTAATCTTTTTAGGAGGCAACAAATCATCTTCCTCCTCCAAACTTTTTCTTTGTTTACTTGTTGTCGACGGCATCAATTGCTTTAATATTTCTTCACATTTTTCTGCATTGTCGACGTCGTCCTTTTTTGCCGATTTTTCTTCTTCAATTGAATGAACAGATGTTGGTTGTTGCTCCAGAGGTGGGTGAATTTGGATGTCGGAAGGTTGGGGGACCTGAAGAATTGATTTTTGATTAAAGATAACATCTCTAAATTGATTCCCACAATCGACAACTTGATTGGAAGTTCAAAAATAAAGCTCTTGGATAGATACCCGGGAAGCGTCTATAAGGGTTGGACTTCCATTTCAACAAAATTTATGTTCTATTCTTTGGAACCCATAATTCCGCTTAGAGTGGAAAAAAAGAAACCTCCTAACAAGGGAGGTTTCCTTCCTAAGACCAACTCAGATCATTAGTTAATCAGAATAAGTTAGGGAAACTCCCAGAGAGAAAGAAAAAAGAAATTAACAGCCACTGAGGAACCGAGGATTCTCTTAAATCCTATTTTTGTGGAACCGTTCCTAACCCTACGACTCGATCGTTGTCCTGCTTAAATGTAACAAAAAAATTAAAATAAACCTCAGGTTGTAATGTTTCAGTCGCAATATCCTCCAATGGATCTTCAAGAAGTCCAAAAGCTTCATCAAAGTCTACAATCTCTGCCTTTTTTGTCATTTTACCTTGAGGATGCTGAGAAGTTGAGGATGATTCGCTGTCGTTTTGTTTTCGTTTCATCGGAGAAATTAATAGAATTTTTTAGAGAATCTCTAAAATTTGAGGAAATTTAAAAAATTTCCAAAAAATTTTCAAAAAAAAAATTTCAAAAAATTTTTAAAACCCGAAGGCGACACAGCGGGTTAACTCTGTTGACAGACAGGACATAGACAGAGAAACCCATTTATTCGCAAAAACGACCTGTTTATTCGCGAAGACGACCCGTTTATTCGCGAAACTCGCCAAATAAACGCAAGGCTCATTCATCTATAGGTCATAACTTTGTTGGGAATTATTCAGGTAAAAAACCTTTCATTGTATAAGATTGGGTTTTTCGGCAGATTATCGACAAAAATGTGTAATTAGGTTTTCATGTTTCTTTATTACATTTTTGTTAGGAAAAATTCTAAAAATCTGCTTTAATGGTTAATCATACCGCTGGTAGCAAACATTCAGAGTTGATGATTCATTTAGTATGACAGTGCCTTTTTAAGTTGTAGGAAAAAATATCATAACTTGAAAAAGTTTGTTTTCAGACGTTTTTAATCTTAACATTTCTGCAATATTTTTAATAGATTTAAGAATCGATTTACTATTCCCCCAGAGCAGATTAATATCAGATTTTTGATAAGCATTGTTGACATAAAATAATTTTAAGAGTAAAAAATTAATTTTCATGGCGTCTCGCCAAAGCACCATAACCCAATTTTTATTCACAGATTTTCAATTTGAAATTATTTTATTTTTTAGATAATCTTAAATCTGCTTATATTTTCACTTTCTTTTATTTTCGTCAACCGTTGTTTTACTTAATATGAGTGGCTGGGTTGCATACATCAAAACCTTGACGGACAGTTGCAATGTTATCTGCAGAGCTGCTATTGTTGGAATTAATGATGGAGGGAGTGTTTGGGCTAGAACGGAAGGCGACAAAGAATTTAAGGTTTTTTTACTTTTCTATATTTTTTAAGAATTTATATAGGCTACTGAGTCGGAACTCAAGAAGTTTGTTGGTCTCTTTGATAACCTTGATAGTGTTCCAGAAACTGGCGCAGATCTAGAAGGTTTTTTAGTAAAATTTTAGTTGGTTTCCATCCCCTTTTGAAAAATGTGTAGAATATGCTTACTTCCTTAATTTACTCTATTTCCCATAAAGTAATTAATTATCTACCCCTTCATGAGTTAAGGGCCGGGACTTGGTTTTAGTGAAGTTAAGGCTAATGCAAAAGGCTAACCATTTTTAATACTTTAGGGAATGTAGCGGGGTACGAATTGAATTTTACTGGTTGTTATTTGCTTGATGTCTAACTTTATCTTTAAGGTGTTCACTACATTGTACCAAGAACTGAGGAAAACCTCATTTTTGGCAAGAAGGATAAGACTGGGTTGGTTTTTATTGATTTCAATATGATACTAAATTTCTCTTAAAAGATTTTTATTTCGGGGTTGAATTTACCAGATTACCCTAATTTTTTCAGAATAATTTTTTATGGTAGTACCGAATTTTTGATTTTTTCTGGCGTATTTTTAATCACAGACCTGAAAGACATTCCCATCAATTTAATAAGTGACCAAACTACTTATTTTCTAAATCTTAGATTCTTTGCTGCTAAAACAAAATCAGCAGTGTTAATTGCTATTTATGAGGGTGAAGCGGCTGCTGGTGCTGATGTTCGTGGGGCTATCGAATCTTTGGCAGATTTCTTGGAGAAGGCAGGGTATTAATGTGCAAAATTGAAAAATGGGATCGGAGGCAAGATTGATAGAGAGAAATTTTTATTTGAGAAAAGATTGAATGACCTAAAATATTCATAATCTGAGTACTACGAGGTTTTTTTAGCGAACGTTAAATTTGGTGTAATTTTTCATTGTAAGTCCATTCATGAATATGTACACCCTAAACCACGAAGACCTCCAACTTTTGAAAGGAGATATCGAGGGATTAGGAGGGATAAATATATATCTATATGTAGATAAGTACCCAGTTCTGTATTTTAAACCCTCTGGTGGGTATTGTGAGGGTTTACCATAACTCTGGGTGAGTTGAAATCTCTATTCCCTTCAATCACACCAAATCCATCGATATTCCTTTTCAAAAGTTGTTTGTTTTCAAGGTCAATAGGCATTTAGGGTGTAGGTCTTTAAGGTTGACTCCTTTCAATTATATACAAACTTACTCAGATTATGAAACATTTTTGTATTCACCTGCATTCCCCCAACTCTTTATTCGGCCAAAATTGCTTCTCTATGCTTTTATGAATGTTGTGACTTATAGGGGGTTTTTGTTGGCTGGACCGATTTGGACAAATGTGGTGTCATTCGAAAGAGCTCGCCGAGCTGAGTCGATCGCGGGGTGAAAGAAGTCGATCCGACAATCAGGGACCGAGATACAGACCCCTGAAGTTTGAAAAAGAGAAGGGGGGAGTAGCTCATTTTGGGGTGAAAAATTCGAAAATCCAAATAATAGCTCATTCGACTCAGCTCGTCGAGCTGAGTCGAATGACACTAAAATCAGCTCGATATCTTGATTCAGAGCCAATATAAACAGGTTCAAAATGGTCAACATAAACCTATGGAGTGTCGGCGAGGCGCTTGTGCGAAACCCCGCGCTTCGCGCGGGGTTTCGCGGCACGCGCCTCGCGGGGAGTCAACGGTCGCTGGGCTCTGGGTCAGTAACATAAACCTATTCCTATCTCCCTTGCTCTGGATGTACTTGAAGCCCGAGTAGATGCAAAGGTATCACGACTTTTGCGCCGAGAACATTTGCGCCGCGACTTTTGCGCCGCGACTTATGCGCCGGGCGACTTTTGCGCCGCGACTTTTGCGCCGCGTCTTATGCGCCGGGCGACTTGTGCGCCGCGACTTTTGCGCCGGGCGACTTATGCGCCGCGACATTTGCGCCGCCATACTTCAAAAAATAATATCTACAATCGGACCTAATTATAGTGTACTCCTTAAAAGATGGTATCCAGGAGCTGAAGGAATTTCAGAAAGTACAATATTTCGGCAAGTACAATAGCCCCCTCTAATAAACCGACCCCCTGAGGGGTCTTCTTCAAAGAACTTGACTGTTTTGGATCAGGATATTTGATCTGCTACCCCTATTCAGGCATGATTTTCTGCCAGAGAAAGGTGCACTATAGTGTAGGGTTGTCGGGTCCAGATATCCGAATCTGAAAAAGGCCGGATAGCCGAAAATTTTAGGTCGGATATCGGATCCGGATCTTGATATCCGAAGAACTCCAACTATCCTACATCTTCTATAGTGAGGTCCGGCTGTATTTTTTCATAATTATTAATGAAAGTAGCGGCGCAAAAGTCGCCCGGCGCATAAGTCGCGGCGCAAAAGTCCCCCGGCGCAAAAGTCGCGGCGCAAAAGTCCCGCGGCGCAAAAGTCGCTCGGCGCAAAAGTCGCGGCGCAAAATTCGCGGCGCAAAAGTCGCGGCGCAAATGTTCACGGCGCAAAAGTCACGGAACCGATGCAAAAACCTCCACAGATGCCATAGGTAAGGAGCTTATACAAACGAGCATAACTTTGTCAAATCAAGTCAGATTTCGTTGATTTTAGTGCCATTCGACTCAGCTCTACGAGCTGAGGTCGAATGAGCTATTATTTGCATTTTTGAATTTTTCACCCCAAAATGAGCTTACTCCCCAGTTCTCTTTTTCAAACTTCAGAGGTCTGTATCTCGGTCCCTGATTGTCGGATCGACTTCTCTCACCCCGCGATCGACTCAGCTCGGCGAGCTCTTTCGAATGACACCATATTTGTCCAAATCGGTCCAGCCAACAAAAACCCCCTATAAGTCACAATACCCGCTTTTATTATAATATATGCTTTGTCTCCCCTATTTGTTTGACAGGTTATCAACTGAATTTTCACTTAAAAAAGGCATGCGCCTAGTGTTTTTTGTCTATTTTTCAAATTAAATTTAAAAACCATCTGTTTATTATTTTAAACAAGCTTTATTTTGGCGATTGTATTTTTAAAATTGATAAAGATTTGAGAAGAGGAAAATTTTATTAAATTTTTTTTGCTTAATTTTTGAATAATACATGGGTATATTTAATTGTTTTGTTATTCTATATGAGTGTTATTTTATAAAATTTATAGAAATTTGAGCTCTTTTTGGTCTGTTTGTTTTTGGGAACAAATACATTGGTAAATCTTTTTAGATTTCGGGATTTTCTTATTCCAAAAAGAAATTTAATTGGCAAAATTTTTATCCTGTTCTTAAAAACATTCAATATGTTCACCTACTTTGAAATTTTTCGAGTTTATTTTCTACTCTTCATATTTGGGGTTCTGCACTCATTTCAGGAATCACCTGTGCCACAAATTAAAATAAGTAATGTTTCCCTTCATCCTTGTTCAATCATTTTGACCTATCCTTAAGTTCATGTTTTTCAGCAGTTTTATATGAACAGACAGATGATATTGTTTCTTCACTTATTGGACACCTGAATGCATCATTCCTCTTCTTTCGGGACCTGTATGGGCTTGATGATAGCTTGATCTTTGATACATTTTTGCTGCCTCATGCGGTTGCTAACTTGTCAATGAATGCAACAGGTTGTAATTTATTTTATTAATTTTATAAAGCAGGTTTTGTCTAGGGTTGCATTTTCTAGTCAGGCCGTCGGTCGAGCCATTTTTCGGGCTTGTTTATCGGACATTCCGGCCTTTTTAGCCTTACGCACTTTCGGGCCTTACAAGTCTGGGTCTAATTTCTAAAATTCCCTATTCGATCTTTCGGTCTATTTTGGCAACCCAAGTTTTGACTTTCATCGAACTTTTTTTTAATTTTTAAGAATTGGGCTCAACATTTCAGCAAAGAAACAGTTCATTTTTGATCAACTTATCTTGCAGGTTTGAACGAATAGTTATAAACAACTAACCATATTTTTAGAATTTTAGTAGTCATGCTAGACAGATTGTCAAGACATTGGCACATAAATTAATGCTACCTGCAATACAAATCCACCATTCACCTTGGAATGGTGTTGAAAATGGCAAGATTCTGTCCTCATTAATTTGTATCTTATCTTTCATATAGAAACTATGGACTGCTCTTTGGATTTGTGTGAGGAAGATAATTATCTACACCTTATTCCAGGCTTTGTTGTTTTCGACAATATCATTCCTGAGCTAACTTATGCGTTAAATATGAGTGGACCATTTGTTGTTCTTTATGATGAACACAGTAAGTTTATTTTTTTAACAAGCATTAGAACTTTTTTTTTTAATTTTTAAGAATTGGGCTTCTGACCCTGTTACTAAGAAAAGAGTGGATAAGTTTTGTTTTTTTTGGTACGAATGAATAGTACATTAAATGGACTCACGATACCAGAAAACCAAAATTTCCTATAATTGATAAAAAAAAGTTAGGATCTAAAAACTTAAGAAAACTCTGACGTATATTGTAGCGTATTTAATCTCCATCCATTTGTACCAGGGACATAAATAGTCCCATCAGGTTATAGGGTCTGTGACCCAGTTGAAATGTACCTTTTACCCATTTATTAATATTAATTTTGATTTTTTAAAGTTGAAAATTTGATGTATGACTGGCGTAAACCTTTTACTGCTTTTCCCGTTCGTTTTGAAAAGATGTTGTCAAACTTGAGTTCTGCCTCAATGCATATTAAACAACTTGCAGACAAGACAAAGTATAATATCTTTATCGTCGCGTCTGCTAAAGCAGCTGAACTGTTTGTATTTATACTAAACTTTTGCTAACCTAAATATTTTTTTAGGTATATACATGCATCTATTCATCATTTCGAGTCACATAACTTCCGTCGATTTATTGTACTCTCAAGAGACACAGCTCCTTTCAAGTGTGAGCAATGCTTAAGCGCGAATCTTTTCTGGTATTTTTAAATTTTTTAACCTTTTGTGGGTGATTATTTTTGCTAATAAATCGGGTACTTATCCGTTATCTCCCTGCATTTTCTTTTCTCCTTTCTAAAAATTAAAAAATTGACTAAAGCGGAGACGCATATTTTCATAGAGGGCAGAATAGTTGCATTATTTACCTTTGACAATTTTATAACCTATAGAAATGAGAAAAGAAGATGCGAGGAGATAACGGATAAGTACCATTTATATCTTTTTAACTATTATATAACAGGATTCAAATGACGTCGAATGGTCGGGTACAAACCCTTCGAGCATTTAATGACTTTCTGAAGCAGGTTTCTTTTTATTTATGCATTATAAAATTTAGTTTTAAAGGAAGAACTGGAATCCTTTTGGAACTATCGTTCTCCTTTACCTTCATTTGAAGAGGTTTAAAATTATTATAAATTTGTTTTTATCCTCTTTTAAAGATAAGAGCATCCTTATGTTTGGACACTATTTCGCTTGCCTTTGATTTTTTTCTAAAGAATAATTATTTCAACCTCACTAATATTATACACAAGGCGAAGAATAAGAATTTCTCAAAAACTTTGAAAACTAATCTTCCATCCATTGTAGGAATATGTCTTAAATTTTTAAATTTTCTGGAATAATTTCAGTACCCAAACACATCAGATCCTCAGATAAAAGAGAAAATTGGGTTAAAGCAGCTCATTTTGGATAAATCTCCACAAGAATGTTGCGAATTTGGGTATTATGAATTGTATTTTGGCGTTTGTTATTATCAGGTATGTGTCAATTATTTTTAATTAACGATCATAACTTTGTTTAATTAAAAGGTTGTTACAACTATAATTCTTAAAATTGAACGACATATACAGGAGCCAGATATCGACTATGCTAAATTTGTAATATAGATTTTAAAGTCAATTTACTTCCCTATATAAAGATTGCTAATTGGAGCCTCTCGGAAGGCATTGCTCCATTTTATCCTGCCGGGCTAGACGTCAATGTGCGCAAATTAAACCACTATCGAATTGCTACAATCATCGTTAGGATTTTTTTATAATTTATTTGGTTCTTTTATTAAAGCAAGAACCATTCGTTCAATTTGTCCCTGTACATCCATCTACAATAAGCTTGGAGAAACCAAGGCCATGTGCTAGTGAAGAGCCAGTACGCCTAATTACTGGTGCTTAAATATTTTTATTTTATCCAGAAATTAAAAAAATATTTATTAGGTCAACTCGTTGAAGGCTACTGCATCGATATGTTGAAAATGCTTAAATTGGTTCGGAATTTTTGGCAGGTTAAAATTAAAATTTTAATTCAGGCACTAAATTTCACATTCGACTTGTACTTGGTAGAAGACGGTAAATTTGGCTCAGTAGATGAAAGTGGTAGATGGGATGGACTGGTCGGGGAGTTGGTTATTGGGAGAGCAGAAATGGCTATTGGACCCATTAGTAGTTTGTGAAATTTTTTAAAAATTATTTTATGAAACAGAAAATAGTTTTGGCTGAACGCGAGAATGACATTGACTTCACCGTTCCTTTTTATGATTTGGTTGGTTTAAGTATCCTAATCAAACGGTCTGAGGTGGAGACCTCGCTTTTCAAATTTCTTAAAGTGTTGGAATTGCCAGTCTGGACGTGTATTTTTGGTTTGTTTTATAATTTTAAAAGGGGAAAAATTATTTGATTTTTAGGTGCTTATATTTTCACTAGTGTGCTCCTTTGGCTTTTTGACCGATTCAGTCCATATTCATATACAAATAACAAGGACAAATATGCAAGTGAAACAGAAAAGCGGGAATTCACTTTAAAGGTTAGTTTAAAAATTCTGGATTGATGAGGGGCTTAATGTCACAATTTTAGGAATGTTTATGGTTCTGTATGACATCTTTAACCCCTCAAGGTTGGTTAAATTAAAGAATTATTTTAGTAAATTTTTTATTTTTAATCAAGGCGGGGGTGAAGCGCCAAAAAATGTTTCTGGGCGATTGGTTGCTGCCACATGGTGGCTTTTTGGCTTTATTGTAAATCAAGTTTTTTGACTTTTAATTTTTTGATTTTATATTATTGCATCATACACAGCGAATTTGGCTGCATTTTTAACAGTTTCAAGAATGGAACAGACAATAGGGTTTTTATTTATAAAAATAAAATAATTACATTTTTAGAGGATTAGACGATTTGGCAAAACAATATAAAATCGAATACGCCCCATTAAAAGGTGGTGCAACCGAAACATATTTTCGCCGGATGGCTGAAATTGAAGAGCAATTTTACAAGTTGGTCAATTATTTCCCACTCTTATATTTTACTCATATTTGCAGTATTTGGAAGCAAATGTCTCTAAATGAATCATTGGATTCACGTGATCGATCAAAACTTGCGGTGTGGGATTACCCAGTTTCTGACAAATTTACAAATATGTGGCGCTTCATGCAAGGTTATACTTTATTAATTAAAAAACACTCCATTATTGCAGAATCGCGCCTTCCACAAACTGTAGACGATGCGATCGATCGTGTTTTAAATTCGGAACGTGGCTTCGCTTTCATTGTAATTCACTTTATGATTCAGCTAATGAATATTTATTTGTAAATTTGAGGGAGATGCAATGGAAATCAAATATGCAACATTGACCAACTGTCGACTTCAACAGGTTTTAATCATTAAGAAACCTATTAATATTCCAACCCGTTTCCGATTGGTCCTGAATTCTCACGAAAACCTTATGCAATCGCTGTGCAGACTGATCATGTGCTAAAACAACCGCTTAGCCAGGCCATTCTAGGACTTCAGAATGAAAGACGGCTTGAGACATGCAAAGAACGTTGGTGGCATCATAATGTATATGCTAAGGAATGCGAGAGCACAGTATGAAAGCTTTATTAAGCTTGTTAATCTCCACATTTAGGACGACGATAGTAACGGGATTAGTGTACAGAATATTGGGGGTGTATTTCTGGTATACTTTTAAATTTCTTATTTTATCAGAAGCAATTGATAAATTTAAGGTAATTCTCGCTGGGATATGTATTTCAATGCTGGTGAATTTTTTTGAGAAACCCGATCAGATTAAATAATGTTCAAATATTTAGTGCCTCCTTGGTGAATACATTTATTATTCGCGGTTACGAAATCCAAATGGGAAGAGGGAGACAAGCAAACATTTGGCGCAGATGACCAGAGGGCTTGGCTGTTTTGGTGCACTAACTTCGCCGAAGAAAGAACAAAAGAATAAAAAATGCCAACAGTTCAGTAACTCAGCATTCAATGTTGATTAACTTTACAAGGATATATAGAGTAATTTTTTATTAGAGATTTTTTAAATGGAAAGAAGTTGTAGTATAAGATTTATAGAAATAAAATCTAAAAAAGTGAAAAAAATGTACAAGCTCTTAAACGAAATAGACAAAATGAATATACATATTAAGTACAGAAATTTTTATAAGAAAATGAGCATGAGAAAAGGAATTTAATTGGCAAAGGCATCAGAAAAAGAATTTAATTGTTGTATGGCGAGATGTAAAGTTCATTCACAAGAAATGTATTCTTTACCCTCCGCTCTTTAAACCGAGCAATATCTTTTCGTGTGATAATGCCTCGTAACTAATTTTTTTTTAATTTAAAAAAATATATAAAAATTGAATATAAACCCTGTTTTCGTTATCAACTGCAATCAAGAATCTCAAGCCAAGTCCACGGAATATTTGGTGAATGGAATCCAAAGATGCAGAAAGCGGAACACTTAAAAATATTGAATTTATTATATAAAAGTAAATGATTCAGACCGATGAGGCGAAGGGTGCATAAACGATTTTAAATCAATCCAACAACGTTCATCTGCGGAAGTGAGTCCCAACTCTGAGATCCTTGACTCTATCCTGAAATTTTTTTATATTACGAGAAAAATAAAAAATAAGACAAAAACATACCGTGGATAGAATTCACTGAAGTCGGAAAGCGTGACTGGTTTAGAATTGGATACAGGATTTCTGCCTTCATAATCATGAGTAAAATGCTTAAGAAAATAAATTGAACCAAAGTACTATAATTTTTAAAATAACCCTTCTTTTGAGAAGAACAATAAGATGTGATCGCAAAACAAGCCCAAGTAGACGTCCATAATTTGGATATTTTGAATCATCAAGTGCTGCGTCAATTCTATCCAAAACTGGAAATCCATGATGTCTTGTAGAACGAAGAATTTCCACAATTCGTCCAACACTCTCGATTCTAAATTTGTGTGAAGATTAATTCTAATTCTAAGAATTATAAAAAAAACCTTTCGAGCGCAATAACATCTCGACGCATAACATTCTTCACTAAAATATTTCTCGACAATTTTGGAGGTTCCCAACCAAGAATAGGGACTTCAGCCAAATCAATGTGCTCGTCATAAATGCCCTTAATATTAAATTTACTTTTAATAAAATATTAAATTCAAATTGACCTCATTAAAAAAGTCTCCCACCCATTTAGCAATCATAAGTACAAGCATAATTGGAAGGCCAAAAGTTATATCCTTTGTTGCTTCGACAATTATTGCAGTTAAAGAGATTGTCATCCTTTAACAAAAAAAATCGAAAATTAATTTCTAAAAAAAATTCTTTCACCTCACAATACCACCCAGTTGTGCTGCAGCTCCAGCCAGCGCATACTTTCCAGAATCAATTGCTTCCTAACATAATATACAAAATAATTCATTTTAGTGGAACTGAAGAAACAAACCAACTCAGGAAAAAAATATTGCACGCCAACACCAAATAGCCTTCCCCAAGCAGCGCCAGTAAGCAATGAAGGAATGAAAATTCCACTTGGAACTGAAAGACCATAAGTCCACATTGTTAAAATGTAGTATTCAAAGGCAAAAACAAACAAAGTTAACGGCTTAAATGAATCTACAAAATAGGGAATTAGTGGATAATTATGGAGAAAAAATACTTAAAGGAGAATGAAAAAGACTTTTGACGCTCTCTTCGGGATTTTGAAAGAAAAGAGTAGCAATTGCACTGTATTTACCTTTAGGGCACCACAACTAAAAAGAATAAAATTAAATCAAAAATTATTGAGTCCACCCCGGAACCCTGAAAACCTACAACTTTTGAAAGCGGATAAATGCCCAGTTCCATGTAGATAAGTACACAGTCTGTATTTTAGAACCTCTGAAGTGGTCTTGTCAAAAATTATTGTTTTATGTGTGCAACTTAAGAGTGAGTAGTAAATCTATATCCCCTTCAATCACAATACCCTCTAAATGCCTCGTCATTCCCTTCCAAAAGACTCATGATCAATAGGTCTACAAGGTTTGACCTTGGATTATTAATATAGAAAATTAAAAGGAAAAAACCTTCATAACTCCTGTCAGTTGGGGATTAATACCAATCGATTGACAATCATCAATTAACAATAAAGTGATAAATCCAATAAAAGCGGATGCTGTCGCAACCAACATGCATTCCAAAAAACGTTGTCTTTTCGTTCGAATATAACTAAAAAAAATTTAAAAAAGAAAAGAGAAAAAATTACTATTTTCGAAATCGAGAAAGCTTCATATTTAAAAAATTGAAAAAAGCGCCAGAGAGCCCACCAATCAAGCCGACAAGTGCAAAAAGCGGTAATTCCCAAATTCCATAGGATTTGCTTTGATTCTAATGTAAGAAATAATCAAAAACAATCGACAAAAATTTAAATTAACAAACATCAAATGTGCCAAAATTTGCCAACCCATTCCATGAGAGTTGACCAAATTGTCCATAGAAAAAGCTGATAAAACAATTTAATGTAAAGGTTGAAATCATTGCTGTAAACACCTAAATATTAACTTGTTTTGATAATATATTCTTGAAAAAAGACAAACCATACGCCAAGTCAACGCCTGATTCCAAAAACTAGCACCCTCTTCCAAACTGAAAAGAACACCACCTATAAAATTTTTTGATTAAAAGATATTAATTATAGATTAAAAACCTATTGGCGAAGCAAATGCTGCCGAAACGCCGGCAGCAGCACCAGCACTAACAAAATCACGTTTCTCGTGGTCGTTACGAAAATATTTGAAAAGACCAGAATCAAATGGAATAGAAATGCAACGTCCCTGGGAAATTCCTGCAGCAACCACCGCTCCCGAATGGATCATTGGACCTTCCTGAAAAGGGAAAAATTTAAAGAACCGGAGAAGCATAAAGAAAACTAAGTTAAACTCACCTTTCCAGCAGCCAAACCGCCTCCAACCGAACATGATACACCAATTACTTTAGCTATTAGTGTTTTCAAACGAACAACTCCAGGAATTTGCACACCATTCAAAAAGCATTTAATTTGCGGAATTCCAGATCCTATAGCAACGGGTGAAACAAAAAGCACCAACGATGCAGCAATAGAAACTAATGCACAATTATATAATGCCCAGGTAAAAAGAATTATCCAAGTACACCCAGAATCTCCAATCCTACCATGCTCACAAATTTGTACCACTAAAATAAAATTTTTTTAAAAGCTGGAGCAAAAATAAAAAATTATTTGGTATCTATGTCGTTTGCCCACCCAGTCAATTTCTATTTAATAAGTATAAAATGGTGTCAGTTAATAGATCGAAAGAGCTAACTAGCTGACAATGAGTCGAATAACACCAGAAACGGCCCAAGGAAAAGTCTCTGAACTGAGTTAAAGGGTTTCAAAAAGTCAAAATCCATAGATTACAGGGGCGCAAAATGGTGAAGTAAACTTTTGAGGTAAAAAATTCAACAAGTGTTTGCATTCCTTTTTGTCTTCCTTTCCATCTCTTTTTTTCAGCTTTTTTACGTTCTAAACAAAAAAAGTGACTGGGGGAGGGAAACGACATAGCTCTAAATTATTCAAATACGAGAAAAATTTAAATTTTCATACCAATAAAAAAAACTTACATCCATTAATAACAATATGAAATTTGAGCTTTGAATTGTAATAAACAAGCACATCAATACATGCCGCAACCAAAGCAGTAAATACACCAATAAGAAAGCAAACAACCCATCTATTAACACTTCTTCGGAATAATTTTTTCTAAAATATAAAAACATTCCTTGGCTTTTTAAGTAAAATGAAACCTGATGATCCTTATCCATTTCCGCTGCCCGATAAAGCTCATTCTCAACAATCTCATAATCGAGACTCTCATATTTCTCTGAAAGAGTATGCTCATGCCCAATAACAGAACGCCGTCTATTCCTTCTAAGGCGTCCTTCTTGTTCCCTAAGACGTTCTTGTCGTTTTCGGCGATCGTATAGATTAGATGATGAAGAAACTCGTTCCAATCCTGCAGCTGGATCTTCATTTGGATCGAGGCTATTTTAAAATGCATTGCATTATTTATTGTTTAATATCTACCTGCTGTGAGAAAGCGTTCTTGCAGGAGTACGCCAGAGAAGCGGTGTTCGATCAATTGTCGGCCGTCTCATTTTACCGAAAATATAAAATATTATCAATCTTGACTAGAAATCTATAAAAATATTAATTAATCACGCCCTCTATCAATGATAATTTTATCTAATACTGACCATTTAATAATTTTTTGTTTTACTGACCCTTTTATTTTTTTCAGTCATATTTGATGTTTTGTAATATTTGCTTTAAAAATCAACTATTCATTTTTATTTGATTCGGTCATTAATGGAAAATGTGACATTTCGTTACACAAACATATTTTTCTAAATTAGGGCTGTCGGTCTTTGGAAAATCTTTTCGGAATCCGGAATCGAATGGAGTTTTCAGTTACCCTGAACCAAAGACTGCTCGGTTTCGAAACGACAACCCTAAAAATTCTTTTTTTCTTTTCAAAGGTAAACTAGAAGAATGGTTTTATTAAGTAATTATCTTCAATCTACGTGGCCAAAGGTTATTTTAGCTGGTGGTGTTGCTTTTATTGGATATGCGATTTATTTTGATCGCAAGCGACGACTCGATCCTTGTTACAAGCAGAAAATCCGACAAAGTTTGTTGTATATTTAAAAAAATATTTTTTTATTTTGATTTAGATCGTAGACGCAAACAAGAAGCTCTCAATTCCAATGTTTTTAATGCAGATTTTCCTGATCCGAAAAATCCACTTGAAAGCGAGGAATTTTTTCTCAAGTCAATTACTCTTGGTGAAGAGCTTTTGCAAACAGGTTTACATTTTTTGACGAATATTGTGCCAGGCTAAAATACGGGATAGACACCCAACGACAAGACAGATTCTGTGATTGGTATGTTCCGAATTATTGTCGTTCCTTGTTTTGGTAAAACCTTATTTTGTTCGTTTATGTCTTGTCTGAACCGTGTTTTGAATTGCATATTTTTCTCCTCACCAATAGATACCTTCAAATTAACTAGGAAACATTGTGCAAGGAATATTTCATCTTTCTAATGCCGTTGTTACTTGTCGACAATCTAGTGAGCTGATGACTATTTTCCGTCAATCAATTCCTGCGGAGCATTATATGTTGCTTAGCAAATCTATACCAGCAGCTAGAGAGGTTAATTCTAATATTTTCGGCTAGCAATTAATTTAACATTTTAGCGTCAAAAAGCTGCTCTGGAGCGTCAAGGTTATGGTCAATCAAGTGTTCGAATTGAAGAAGTTAAATCAGAGCCTACATCAGATGCTGCAGAAAAGAAATTTTTTATGCTGGATGATGAGGACCTTGAATGATCTTTTACGTTGATTTTTAAGATTTTATTTTGTGTCGTTTAATCATTTTTGAGTAAACTTTTAAATTATATATTAATCATCCTATTTTGTTTATTTTCAATATTCATATCTTAAATTATACTATTCCAACATATTCACATACAGATTCTCTATTTGATAATACTTCTAAATAATGGCCGCACGCAAAGGTAAACAAAAGGAGGAACAAGCTGTCGTCACACTTGGCCCACAAGTTCGCGAAGGTTTATCTTTAATTTACTTTTCTATTTTATCAATCAACTTTAAGGTGAGAATGTTTTTGGTGTTGCGCACATCTTCGCTTCTTTCAACGATACTTTCGTGCATGTCACTGATCTTTCTGGACGTGAAACTATTGTGAAAATTACTGGAGGAATGCGTGTAAAAGCTGACAGGGATGAGGCTAGTCCATACGCAGCTATGCTTGCTGCTCAGGACGTTGCTGAACGTTGCAAACAGGTTTTTATTGATTCGAAGATGAATTCATTAAAACCATTTAGGTTGGGATTGCTGCTCTTCATGTTAAACTTCGCGCAACGGGAGGGACCAAGACTAAAACGCCTGGCCCTGGAGCTCAGGTTTAATAAATATAATATGTATAAATTAACATAACATTTCCTCAGGCGGCGCTTCGTGCTCTTGCTCGTTCCGGAATGAAGATTGGACGTATTGAGGATGTTACACCAATACCAACGGACACTACACGTCGTAAAGGAGGTCGTCGTGGACGTCGTTTATAAGAAGCGGACAAAACGATTAATGTTAATGTTGTTATTTTCGTCATTGTTCTTTTATTTAAATTAAAATTCTTTGATAAATGACGGTTTGTTATTGTTCCAAATTTTGTTGAGTTTTTAAAACATTTTAGTTTTTTGATCTATACTTTCTTGTTTGCTCGTTCACTAATTAGGGATTCATCTTTTATTTTAAAACTAATTTGTAATTAGCAGAAATTTTTAAACATTTCATTTCTTTTTGAAATTTTGACTTGGACCTAACTAATTTATTCCTGATTTTTAAGGGTTATTTATAACATTAAGTACAATAAATGCATTTAACGCCACTCGCTTGTCGGCGCTGTTTGGACAGGATATTCTCCAACAATATCAATTTATTGTCTTCTAAAATGGTCACGATTGAATCTCATCATCAGATTTCGCATTACACCAGCTCATTTAAAGGTAGAATCAGGAGGATTTTGGAATTCAAAGTGCTCGGTTTCTGGAGAAAAAGAATAGCTGATAATATGGCAAATCGGTTTACTTTTTTAAAAATAATTATAAAAAATAGTAAAATTAAAGGTTTTACTCTGGACGTGTAATAACAATGGGACCTGATTTTTCCTGTGCAGAATGGCTAATGAATGCGGGAGCCACCTCAATTCTTTTATCTGATGGAACGATTATAAAATCGCAAAAAGAAATGAGGTTATTTTTGAAGAATCATGGCTTTGACATAAACAATCTACAGATGGTATTTTTTACTGTTAAAGAAGACAAATTTTAAAACTATAGTTGGCCCCTGAAACCAAAATTGTCGAGGAATTTTACTCAAAAAATAAACGTCAGTCCTCAATCAACAATGATATCAAATATGATGAAAGATGGAAACATGTCTCACCTATTCACATTAAAGAGGTTCTACTACTATTTGAGGGGGTTTGAACTTTGAATTTTTCTATATTTCAGATTGACGCATCTGATGCAGTAATTACTGACAGAGGTTTCAATTATCTTCAAGAATGCAAATGCATCGAGTCCTTAAAATTAAACTTTAATGAATATTTTGGCGATGAAGGTCTTTTACAACTTTCATGTGGACGAATACCTAGAACATTGCGTAACATGGTAAATATTAAAGTAAAAAGATATTTAGGGTAAAAAAATTAATTTTTTTAGGAAATTTGTTTTAATCCAGCGTTAACTGAACGTTCAGCTTTAATATTATCCAAGTTTCGACAACTTAAACGTCTTCATATGTATTTTCTTCCAAATGTTAGCAAACGAGAAGCGATGTTGCGACAAATGAAAATTTCACTTCCGCACTGTAAAATAACATTTCCTGAGCCTTTCTTTATTGGAATGGGTTATGAATCAGAAGAAGAGAGGGCTGCTTACAAAAGAATTGAAAAACAGAAAAAGATTAATGATCCAAAGAAAAAACGGTGGAGTGGATCGTGAATGTAATTTATTTTTCTTATTTCAAAGCTTATTATTAGAGAAAATGTTAGGATGCATAGGAATCGGATTAAATAAGAGAAATATCTTAAAAATCGAGAGTATATCTGGCAGAACATAGAATGGATGGAATCTATGAAACGAGAGGGGATCCTATTGTAAGGGGATCTAAATGAGGGACTTTTAATAGCTTTTCTGACTGTAGCAAATCTATTACATTGAACCTCTGACTACATCCAACTTTAAACGAGGTTAAAAAAGGATTTATTTCTAATTTAAATGTGAGAAAGTCTAAAATTAGCAATAAAATAATCAAACTGAACCATTTCCTCCTCCATTACCAGACTTGAATAAACTAGTACAAGCTTCACGCAAATCGTTCCAAAACATCTCTCGTTGATCAATTAAAAGGCTTTCATCACCGGCATGATAAAACTTTGCATGTCGAACTAGAAAATTAAAATTACTCTAGAGTTACAAATTTAAAAATTAACCTGCATAGCTACGCAAATAATTCTCAAACGGTTTGTTGCAGCTAACGCACTTGTATAAGGGCAAATGTAAATGCCTTAAAATGTTCAGATTTGGATAAAATAGTGGATCCGCCCCATAAGTCAATACCCTATTGAAAAATGATCTTTAAGGTCAAATGACCCTGAAGGTCAGTCCTTAGAATGGTTAACTTATGGGTGTAGACTTTCTGGATGTTGACTTGATCCAAAAATGGTTAGATTGAATAATATTTACTTTGTATTCACATGGTTGAGCATAATCCATTCCTGGTTAACAACCATATCCTTAAAGAATAAAATAATATTTAAATAAATTTTTAACGACTTACACCGCAACCACCACACTGAATCGACTTGTGAGCTTTTACATGTTCGCTACTAGGAGAGTTGTAATTATTGGAGACTGTTGTAGTTGTACTTGTAGAACTCCCAGTCGTTGTATTAATTCCTTTTGCTAATGGCATTCTCTCTTTGGCTATTGAATGACTATGAAGAACATTATTAAAATTAATCTAACCTTTTACAACATCATTTTTCTTCCCTCGAGTAATGTCAACCAACTGGGCCAGAATTGAATTTGGAGTTTGTTCTTTCTTTTCTAAATATAAAATTTGAGTTGAAAAACCTATGTGACATAGCAAAGTTCTCCAACCTCGTATCAGGGACGTTACGAGTTATCCGAAACCCGAACTTTTCAACCCGTAACCCGATCTGAGAAAACTTTGAAGACACGACTCAATTTTTTCTCATCCCGTGACATAACTGCCCGGATGTGTTTTTGGATTCCAATTTTTAAAATTCATTTTTTTCAAGCTCTGATTCCACAATATGTTAATTTTTACCTTCGTCAACAGCACTAACAGATGTTTCAGTTCCACCACTATTTGACTCGCCTGTTGCAGAATCTTCTTGTTCCTCTTTCATATTCAAGACAAGTTCAGATGTTTCCAATTCCAATTTTGCATGCTTTTCACTAACCTCATCATCAATCCTTCCTTCTTCCAAAAATTGTGAAGATGGAGAATCTTCACGCCAATTAGTTGTGCTGCGACCCAAATTAAAATATTCACGTTTATGACGATTCAATGTTGGGAAGTGACGTTCTGTATTATTTTCAATCATGTTCTCATCTCCACCTAAATATTTTTTTTAAAAATAAATTTCTTCAAGTAAAACTCAAAAAATTTAACCATGACGTTGAGCATGCCGAATTGCCGCAGATTTGTTCCAAAGAAATTCCTCGCCGCAGTGCCGACATTTAAACATTGCAAGTTTTAAATGCTTCACATTTACGTGATACATGAGAGAGGTACTAAAATATAGGCAATGATTATGGTACTTGCGTTGTTTCCCTCACTGTCCATTTTTTGATGTAAATAATTGTTAGTCTTTTCTTCCTTGAATAATTTCACAAAATTTCCATGTTCATTCAGGCATTGTGTGAGATCTGTAACCAAAAAACATGTCTCAATGAAGGAAAAATGACCAATTGAATGATGCCACAGGTAATTTTGTGAAATTATGCAAGGAAAAGATGACTGAACATCAAGAAAAAATTGGGTGAGAAGAGAAACAACATAAGTTTACAATCATCAGACTAGTTAAAGTTATAAAATTCAAACCTTCGGCTAACGACCATACGCTGGCAAGCCTGACATTGTAATTCTGGTGGAGTTGGACGAGCCGTATTCATAGTCCAATTAGCTGACCGGCTCACATTTGCAGCATTAGTAACAATAATAGAGCTGGAGGAAGAGGCTGGCTGGACTGAAACATTTTGCTTTTTAGCAGCACCAGAATTAATTGTCAATTGTTTCTGATTTAAGAGAGCGATCTGTTCTTGATTTGATTGCTGGGTCGCAACAAATTTCTCTTAAAAACTCTAATATATTAAAAAAAGAATCTTAGTAATCACCAATTACTCTATGTCCATCATTCGTTGCAGTAGAAACATCAGGAGAATAAATTTGATCAAAGTTGGAGATAGAGGGCTGATCAACATCAGGCTTCATTTGCTCAAGCAAATTTCCAATTAGATTTGTACCAGCAATTGATTCATAACCTAAAATGATTTATCATGACTTTGATGGCTTTAAAAATTCTTATTCAATTCGCAGAGATGTAAAATAGGGATACACCTTATCGGAGTCCTGGACCTTATAACTTATGTCCATCATTCGTCACTTATTTAAGTTCCGTTAAAATCTATGCACTTCTTTTTAAGTTATACATATTGCCGGGACCCAGTTGAACTGCTTCGGCAAAATATTTAAAAAATCAAAGTTACCTGCATCGGTTGCAGTTCCTCCAATTCCAAAATCAGGCTGGTGTGGATGACGAATATCTCCAGGTGAACTAGAAATTAGAGGGCCTCCATGTTGTTGAAAATGTTCATTCGGTCCTCTTATTTTAGAAGATGGTGACATGAATTCAGCATCATGCATTTGTCGATTATGATAGTGAGAATTGGAAGTATTTGATGACTGTTGTGAAGTGATGGAAGAATAATCACCACCAACAATGCTTCGGCTATGAAAAAAATAATTAGAATCCATCCGGTCTTGTGGGTTATCCCAAACCAGTCTTTACTGACATATTTTGCAGATTTAATGGTCAGAGCTCTCATAGTTGAAAGAGTTGCTTGGGGGAACTTTTGTTGGGTGGAATGATTTTTCCTTTTAAGTCATAATGAAGACGTAGGCAAAAACTGGTTTGGGATAACCCACAAGTACCGTTTCTAAAAATGTGACCCTCCAACGAAATCTCAGGAAAAAAGATTGTTTCCCAAGCTAGTAAAACAACTTGGCTAGTCCAACTTGTCCAGAACCACCATCAGACACACGGAGACATCTTTCTAAACATTCACGAATCTTTTGCTTCTTTTCATAAATTTCTCGACTGACTCGATAACGAATCTAAATAGTTAAGAACGTTTATAAAATAAAATTAAAAAAATATACAAAATATTCCACCAGACCATGATCTTCTTCATAATGCCGTTTAATAGCAAATTCAGTCGGAAATTTCGCAAATTTGCATTTTTCACATTCAAAAGGCAAACAATTGTAATGATCAGCAGAAATATGAGCTTCGAGGTCATCAATGCCAGAAAATTCATCTGTACATACACAACATTTGGCTGACATTTTTAACTTTTCTAAATTAAATAAAACTAATTAAAGCCTTTGAGAAAAATTGAAACGCGAATTGAAATTTTTACAAAAAAAATAAAATTTTCAAATGTGAAATAATTGCGTATTGGCATTGAACACAGGGAGGACGATTCAGTGCCACACTTTTATGGTTGAACGATTGAGTCCCCCTTGTATAAACCTCAATCGAGTCGCCATGGAGGGATATAAAGGGATTAGAATTGATTAATAGTGTTTTGGAGATCAGAGTGAATGGCATGGCAATTCAGTTGAGAGATACGAACGGATTTCTGAGCGGATTCGTCCGAACTGCTCCGTGATTTATTGTGTGGGGGACGTTTCATAACAGATGCTTCAGAATGGCCGTTTTTGAATAAAAATTTAAACTACATGTGCATGAATTGAATAAATGGCTAGAAATTTAGGAAGCTGAAATCACAATTATTGGATTTCTAAGTCAAAAATTTTAGAAAAAATCTAAGGAGATATTTTATTTTTAGTCATAGTAATATTTGTATTAGTAAAGAAAATAGACGCTTATGCTACTATACATTTAGTTTTTTTCAACGGTACTAGATCGATACAACCGCTAGAGAATAGAGAATAAATAGAGCTATGGATAGACTAGAGAATTTTCTTTTACGAGAGACACCATGTGCTAGAATATTACCATTATTTATAACACAGAAACTTCACTATATTCCTTTATTTCTCTATTTTATATGCCCCAACCATACCAGAAACATCCCCCATTATTCATTTTTATTATTCTACATATTTTTTATTTTTTACTAAAAGATGTAAAAATTGGTCGCTAATAATTGTATAGTATTTTTCTGCTATTTTTTACTCGAATAACGGGTAAAAAGAATTTTCTTCTTTAATATGCCTTTTGGAAAAATTTTACTTAAAAAATATAAGAAAATTATAGATACCTTTTAAAAATCCTAAATTTCAAATTTATTCACAATAAATTTAATAAACGAAAGTCAAAAGGCAACAATTTTAAGTTTTTAATGCAAACCCTCTAATAAGTCTTATAGCAAAGCAAAACTTTCCTCATGTACTTTTAAACAACGCCTTCACGTGATACGATGAATGGTTCGGCCACTGGCAGTTCTAGAATAATATTCATAAAAATTAAAATTCCCCTTTCATAAATTGGCCTTTTCGGACAGCCCAAAGATTCCAAAAGACTGATGGTAATTCACAAAATAAAAACCCAAAAATTCAAAAAAAACCTCCACAATCCACGATAACAACGTCCAACTTTGGGCGGTCCCCACCACCAGTTTCGCCATCTTCAATCTCATGAACAATATTCATTCCCTCCAAAATCTTTCCAAAAACAACGTGTCTGAATATTTAAAGATTTTTTAAATTAAGATTTTGCTAACAAACCTCCCATCAAGCCATGGTGTATGTACAGTAGTAATGAAGAATTGTGACCCCTAAGATTAAGGTTTATTCATAATTGTATTTGAAAATATGTTAAATTTACGTTAGTGTCTTGACCCGCATTTGCCATACTCAACCTTTTAAGATTAAATTTTTAAAATTTTATAACCACAAAAAATCCTCACCATCCAGGTCCATAATGGTGTAATTCAAAGTTTTCATCAGCGAACCGTTCGCCATAAATTGATTTTCCTCCTGTGCCGTCTCCTCGAGTGAAGTCACCACCTTTAAATTTTTGAAAAAAAATTTAAAAAATTAATAGAACCTTGAATCATAAAGTTTCTGATAACACGATGAAATTTTGATCCTTTGTAGCCAAAACCCATAGACCCTTTAGAGAGTTCCAAAAAATTCTTTGCAGTCTTTGGTACAATCTCTCCAAAAAGCCCAATGACAACTCGACCTTTGCTTACACCTCCAACGGAAATATCAAAATATACTGAAAATTTAATTTTATTACTTGGCTTTAAAAGTATTAAAAATATACCTTTTTGTGTAACTCTCAAGTCCTTTTCCTTCTCGGCAAAAATTGTAGCCTAAAGAGAAAAAATTATTAATTCTAACCAGAATCATGGGATCACCCAGAAAGTCAGAAACCAGGTTTCTTTCATGCAACTTCAGATAATAAGGCAAAAGGGACCTTTATTAACCTTTATCCGCCCAAACAGTTGGATTTGACCTTCTGGTTTTTGACCTGATTTTTGATCTTCTGGGGTGGACAACAAAATCATCACCTACCAAATAAGCAAAAAGAACAAAAGCCAATTTCAACAGAATAACCATTAGACTGAAAGAAGAAAATTTTTATATAAAATTTAGTCTTTTTGGTATAAATTAATCAAGACATACATAAAAATAGCTAAAGCTTTGATTATCTGTTTCACCCATTTTTGTTTCATTTTTTTGAATTTTTAATTTTTTTAGAAATTTTTTCAGTTATTAATTTTTCGGTAAATTTGAATAAATTGGATCCATATAAGGGTTAAATTAATCTCGTGGAAAGTAAATAGAGGAATAAATTTTTTTGTACACTTCATTTAAAAAATGTTACTAATAGACCAGCTTTTCTTTTTCTCTGGCCATTAGGGACTCCTATATTTTGTCAATTCCTTGTTTTGCCAATAAGGCTAAAAATTTACGTTTTGTCAATAAGTTGTTGGCAAAATATGGAATTTTAGCTTTATTGGCAAAATATGGATTGGCAATATGGGGAGTCACACTATGATGGATAAAACATACATTTTTATAATTTAATAGCAAAGTGCCAGAAAGTAGCCAAAATTAAAAATGAATACAGGGTTATTTGAAGCACAAAATTGGCTATCTCTGAAAAATCAAAATAAAATAATCAGAAATTTTTATTTATTTTTATTTATTTATTTACGCCTTGATGGCGCGAGTCAAGTCAAAAAACAATAAAAAACGAAATCAAGTAAAAAAAATATATATAAAAACAAAATCATGTCAATAAATTAAAAAACAAAAAGAATGTAAATAAATAGTATATAAAAAAAATTATAAGTATAAATTTAAATTTAACTTAATTCAGCCTCCGAATTGCGGGAAAAATTAATATGTGTTATGTTTTTTGCGAAATTTTTGTAATCTAATTTTCTAAAGTATGCTGGTAGTTTATTATAATACCTTATAGTCCTTACAAAAAATGAATTATGTCTAGTAATTGAGGTGCATGCTTTATGTGATATTTTGTTTTCGTCCCCCCTTGTTTTAGATGGAATGATGAAATAGGGGTTATTTATATTTATTGGGCTTAATCCTATGCAATGCTTGTGAAAGATTTTAAGATCTGTTATAATTCTTCTATTCTCTAAAGAATCTATATGATATAATCTGAGGAGTTCAGAGTAGTTAGGGATTTGTTCATTAAGTTTTATATTATGCTTGCGGTTATATACCATCCTTACGAAATCTTTTTGAATCTTTTCTATTTTGTTAATGTATTTTTTATAGTAAGGATTCCAGACAGGAGAACTAAATTCCAATATACTTCTTACATATGTGGTGAACATATTAATTAAGAATCTTTCATCATTAGATTTTAAGGACCTAAGAATTGTATAACTAATTCTCCTAGCTTTATTACAAATAATGTCGATATGATTATGGAATTTTAACTCATGGTCAAAGAAAATACCCAAATCCCTTACAGTTTGATTTCTACCAATTTCTGTTATGTGTGTATCTTCTATTGTATAAATGGTGCGAGGATTTTTAGTGCCTAGATGTAATATATTACATTTCTTTATAGCTATATCCAATCCGTTTATTTCTGTGTATTCGGAAAATTTTTCAATAAATTCTTGCAAAGGGTTTGAATTGACTGGATTGTCTTTGAAAATGTAATACGCCTTAATATCATCTACATATAGTTTAACAGTTACATTTTCTGTATAACAGAATTCAGTTAAATCGTGTATATAATATAAAAACAATATGGGACCAAGTAGGGAGCCTTGCGGTACTCCGCTTTTTATGAGCCTTTTTTCAGAAAAGGATTCATGGATTTTTACAGAGAAAGTTCTATTGCTTAAATAATCTTTGAGCCATTTAGTTAGAGTATCTGGAATATTTAATGATTTTAATTTACTTAATAATCTTTCGTGGGATATGGTGTCAAATGCTTTTGACAGATCGAAGTAGATTATATCTACGGATTTTTTATTTTCTAATGCCATTGTAAGATCATCCATAACTTCTAGAAGTTGGGTTGTTACGGATCTACCCATATGGTATCCATGTTGCTCTTGTGGAAAAATTCTGTTTTTCCGGGCATGTTCAACTAATTTAGAGGCTAATATTTTTTCTAAAATTTTGGCAGTTGAGCAGAGGAGAGAGATTGGTCTAAAGTCGTTAGATTTTTTAGCTTTTGGAATCTTTTGAATTGGAACGATTATACTTTCTTTCCAGAGATCAGGTACCTTTTTTGTCATTAATGATAGAGAGAATAAACTTAAGAGTGGATATGCCAATGTTTGTGCACAGTTTTTAAGAAAGATATTAGGTATATTATCAGGTGATGTGTTATTCTTATTATCTAATTTTGTTAAATAATTAAATATATCGTAAACTGAAAAATCCATGTAATCTATTGTATTCAATAGTGGGGAAGTTTTGTTTGTAATTTGTGTGTTAGTCCCACTGTTTTTAAAGACTGAACTGAAATGAGATGCAAGTATGTTAACTTTCTGTTTATTTGTGAATATTATGTTATTGTGATCGTCTACCATTGTTGAGTATTTCAAATTTTTTGATTTAAGAAAAGCGCCAACATATGCGAATTTCTTTTTTGGGTGGGGTATTATTCTTTTTTCTTTATTTTTCCGAAATTTCAGCATCTGTTTCCTTATTAGATGAGTTACCTTCAAATAGTTTGGCCTATTCGTTTTATGAATGTTTCGTTTCCATAAACCCTCTTGAGTGTCTAATAATTTTGTAATATGAGTCGGTAATCCTTTTAGTTTATTTTCTATAGTTAAACAGGGTATAAAAAAGTTTATAGTTTCGTTAATTATGTCAGAAAAATTTTTATAGTTGATGTTTATATCATTGGAGTGCCCAAATATGGTTATCCAATCAATTGAAGCTAGGTATTGGTTAATTGTTTTATAGTCCGCTTTTTTAAAATCCTTGATATATTTTGTTGGTTCATAAGTTATTATTTGTTCTAGTTCAAAAATTATACTGTTATGATCCGATGTTGAGAAAGGGGGTGCTATTTCTAACTTGTGTATTAAGTTGTGTGTGTTAGTAAAAACAAGATCTAATATATTTTTTCCCCTAGTACCTTGAGAGACAAGTTGTATTAACTGTTGGCTATTAGTAAACTCACAAAATTCGTTTTCAATCTGAGTGGTGTGTGAAACGGGTAAGAATTGTTCCCATTCTATTCCAGGAAAATTAAAATCTCCCAACATTATACACGCATTTTCAGTGGTGCAGCAGTATAATATATTTTCCAAGAAATTAGAAAAATCTTGTGATTTTTGAAACCCAGGGGGCCTGTAAACAGCAATAACTCTTATTGTTTGGAGTTGCGGTAATAACAAGTCGAATGATATTAGGTTGAAACTATTTGTTTTTAAAATTTTGGACTGTTTGAACGGTAATGCCTTATGAATTAGAACGCAAACGCCGCCACCTTTTTTGGATGGTCTGTCTGATCTTAAAATCTCATAATCTAATGTATGTAGAATAAAACTATCACAAATTTCTTTATGAAGCCAGGATTCGCTAACGACTATGATTTGGTATATATGGGTGCTTAGCAATGACCGAAATTCATTCATTTTATTTAATAAACTACGAGCGTTAAAGCAAATGCATTTTATATTTTTGGATTTTTTAAAATTTTTCTTTTTATTTTTACAGTTCTTATTGATTATTTGTACGCAATTCGGAGTTTTTTGGGCTGTTTTATAAATTGGCTGACAAGTTAGTGGGAGGAGATTAAGTTTTTTGAGTGTGGATTTGTATTTATGGTTGTGCGAAAAATTGGGATCTCCTCCCGCAAAATTACCATACCTGCATATATAATGAAGTCGGCACCGGGATGCGCCTTACGTTTTTCATGACACTCTTTAATAAGAATAGATCGATTGGCAAGTTCTGTTTTGGAAAGGGACTCTCGCAAATGTAAATGTTTGTATTGATTTTTTAGAAATTTTTTGCCTGAGAGTGCCTCCCGAACAGCATATGAACAAGGAAATTTAATTTTAATTGGGCGAGGTTTATTTTGATTAATTTTCCCCATACGAAAAATCCCACTTGGCAAAGCACTTGAAACCTTACATTCATTTAAAACCTGTAAAACTCGTTGTTGATCATCCTTAGCCTTCTCCATTGATTCGGCTTGTTTACTTTCTGGTAATCCATTAAGCACGAGACAGTGGCGTCTTTCCTTCTCTTCCATTTCTTGCCTAAATTCACCATATTGAAGTTGGTTAGATTGTTGATTCCCAGTTTGTTGTTGTTGTTCCACTATCAATTCAGAAGTCAATGTTAATATCTGCTGCATTTGGGTCATTAGAATTTTTACCCACGGAGGTGTTGTGGTGTCGTTATTCATTTGTTGTAAAATTTCTTGAAAATTTAAATTATTGATTTGCTCAATTAGTCGTGAGCGTTTGTCGTTAACTGATGTGCCAGATAAATTTAATGGCGTATTTGCATTTCTTTTTGTGGATGTTGATTGATTATTTATTGACGACATTTCCATAAGTTATTACCCAGAGTAATGTAACTTAAATCTTAAACTTATTTCTTGGGTAATTAACTTGGGTAATTATAGAAAATGCATTAATAAACTTTTAAATTTGGCAAATAAACATTGTTAAATATACATTGCAACACTTTGCCTTAGGATCTTAGTTTCATTCCCTCCTAGAAAGGGACTTTCACAAGCTGTCAGGAAAAATTTCTTAATTTTTTTCACTATTGTATGAAGCAGGCCCCCAAATCGAAAATCCCCCAAACCCCAAATTGAAAATCCAAACGGACGAAAATTTTATGGTCAATTTCTTGGCTTTTGTTGCTCTGCATAAAATATTTCATGAAATGTTAATATTTTCATATATACATATAATGAATATTATCTAATGTGTTTATTAGCATGCACAAACAATTTTTAAAGAAATTGAAATAAAACTGGTATAATATATATTTTCTATGAACCGCCGCTGGTGCTGCCTGATACATAAACCAATGGTTGAAAAAATGAAAAGGAAAGAAGTTTGCTGGTTAGAGGAATAGAATGAGCGATGTGATATTGAAAAGTGGGGGTAGTGCTAATGAGCACACTTAAACTAGATTGAAAAATGCAACAGGCATACGGACAGAAAATTTTGCAGACTAAAATCTCTAAAGGGTATTTATGTGAAAAATTTATTTTTCCGCAAAAAATATATTTAACTTCTCAAACAGTCTCGGCTGCTCTTAGCCTCTTTACCTTGCAATGGTCACACTTTCGGTGAAGAAATAAGCGAGAAATTATTTTGTCAGTAGAATTTATTATGTGTGCGCGAAGGCCAAGGTCAACACCAATTTACTATTTCACTAGGGGCTAAATCAAAACCAAAAAAAGATTCGAATTTATTCATAAAAAATAAATATGAAATTCTTATTGTTATTTAAAAAATATCAATTTTTACTTTTTAAAATTTTGTCCGCTTCCACAATAACGCTTAACACCGTTTCCAAAACTTCAATAAACATACGACCTCCAAATCCGTGAGTCAACTTAAAAAATTTTCATTATTGAACAAAAATTAGACAAAAATAAAATTAACCAAAGTATAATTAGATAATTCTTGCTGCAACTTTTCATCCAAGTGTGGAGTTCGTGGATCAAACTTCAGAAAAGAATCAGCAAGCGGCGTACGGTCAGCACGGTGGAGGTCGAGAATGCGTTGAAGTAATGCGCTAAATTATAAAAAATACTAAAATATTTTTAAGCTATCATACCTAGCATAAAAAAGTCCCATACGACGATACATGGAAGCATCCTGTGAGTTGTGGACTTCTACAATAAAAATAAATGTAAAAATTTGAAGAATCTTCGGATCGTCGTTTAACCCATGATATCCCTGTCTTGTCACTTATTAATTTAATAAAATACCTATGTCACCAAGAACATATTTAGCCACTTCCTTCAACGGATAATGCTTTGAATTAACCAAGTTAAAGTCACTAGCAATCTAAAAATATCTCTATAACCACATATTTTTAAATAAATTAAACCTGCGCCACTTCTTCCTCAACAAGACTTGAAAAACAAGTTAGTTGAACCTGTCGGCGTCTGCCTTAAAACTCATTAATTTAGAATGAAATATTTTTTTCAATAATTGAGATTACCCGAGGTCAATTCAACACCATAACTCTAAAAAAAATATTTAAAATTAAAAAAAATATTTAAAAATTTTAAGGTAATACTTTGGCCCCCTTTTTCCTTTTTCTCTACCATTTTGAAAGCATTTTTGTTTAATATATAATTTATATCACTCGAAAGAGCTCTTCGAGCAGGGTCAAATGATACCAATATCGGTTAGATTTGATGATTCTGAAGAGTTATAAAGCCCAAAAACCTTTGTGGCACTGTAAGGGGCCTCAGCTCTAGGAACTCTTTCGATTGATACATAATTAGCCATGAACAGAAAAAATAGAACAAAAAATGGAAGATAAACCAAAGTATTACCATCCTTTAAAATCATACCAAAAGTTGTTCACGGAGAATTTTCCCCCCATCCTTGTTCTTAGCCTTTCGCAAAATTCCACCAAGCACAGAAGCATTTAAGCATTCAGGCGGAGACAAACGGCGTTGAACCTCAGCGATTGTAACTCGATATTTCTTCAAATTAGAAAGAAGAGTCAATCGACCTGGAACAGTGCAGTAAGTCTCATAGCTCTTAATTGGATGTAACGGTGTTGGATTTATAATTGGAGACAATAAAGTGTTGTTGTTTGGCAAAGCATTTTCTTTATTGTCGTCCATCTCATAATCATCGAAAGAAGCTTCCACCTACAAAATAAAAAATAAATGAAGATGTCAATATTCACGAAGCTTTTTAATGTTCCTAGTGTTGGATAGCTAACACGATTTTAATAATCTGAGTTTAAACTTTGAAAAGTTCCCACCTTTTCTGTGCTAGTACTCATATCAGTTACACCACTATCTTCACTGTACGAGTTAGTAGTCAAATTCATAGTAGACATATTAATATTTATTTATAAAAAATGCTAAAATTTGAAAAAAAAATAAATTTAATGATTTGTATGATTGAAAAATATGTAGTTGTCAAGCGTATGAAGAAAAAATGGAAAAAGCTTGTGTTAGAGAAAACAGAAAATATAGTTGATAAAGAAATTCTTGATTAAAAAACTAATTTAAGATAAATTAAAACTTCTTTAAACATTTAGTCCGGAAATCGAATTTTTAAAAAAAATAAAAATTTTTTCACGTAAAAAATAAAAAAACTACACGTTAAAAAATTCTAAAATATCTATTAATGAATGGAGAGGTAATGAAGGGAGGGAAGGAATGCCATGCCGGCAACCCTTGCTTTTATTCCTCCTCCTCAAGCCTTCTTTGTTGACGACGCCTTTTTGATCAAAAACGTCAATTTCATCAAAAAAGGTTCTTTAGATAGTGTAGTAACTTTCCCTCATTCCAAATTTTTCAAAAAATTGACCTTTCTTCCCATCATTGTAAGTGATTATGAAATTGTGCTTAAGGAATGTAAGATTAGCGCTGGCATTTTTCTTCTTCTACGGCACAAAAAATCAGGTGGAAAAATGGCTGAAGGCTATTCAATAAGAAGCAAAATTTTGAATTACTGTTAGAAAAATGTTCAGAGAACTGGGGTGGACCCCTTTCAATGTCTTAAGTTTTTAGGTGAAAAATCTAAAAAATTAATGCTTAAAAATGCAACAAAAAATGTCCACAGAAAAAATAAATTTTAATGAAAAAATATATAAATGTATGCATTTGGTTAAGAAGAAACCCTTGTTAGTAGCGCAATCTCATTAACATGATATTTCAGGATATTCCAAAGTAACTTCGCTTTAAAGTTGGAATCTGTATCAGGCCTTAAGTATCCCTACTAACAAGGCAAGAAAAGGAAAAGTTTAAAACAATATAAAAATATAATAAAGTCGAGATTAATATTTTAAAATAGGGCTGAAACCGAACCCTAAAAACGTCAAAGATATCATTGTTAGTATAAACATTGTTACACTCCCCAATGAATTCTTCATTCTGTTTCCCAGTGCTGAATTGCATCCATCACCTTAACAAAGAATTAGCGTGAAATCTTTAATCGTGTTTGTCAAACCATAGCAGCAGCAGAACGTCTGTGTAACAGGATAAGTTGAAGTATTTTGACATACTGAGTTCGGCGTCATTGTCATCTATATAAATATATTTTAGAGGATAATTCAGGGAGCCTATTCCACGAAGTGACATTGACTTTAAATGACAATGTCCAAATGTCAATTGCGACAGCTTGGAATTCCATTGAAGTCAATGTCGCTTTGTAATATTTAAATTTAGATAAAGCATACAGTTCCAGCAATTGTACAATTGACAGACTGACAAGAGCGCGTTACTGTTCCCTTAAAATGAGTTGTATTAAAAATTATTTCCGAGTATTTTCTTCGTTACCTGGCTATAATCGACAACCTTGATGCACGAAAATGACGTATATCCACAATCAGTAGGGGAGCCACTAATCTTTAATTTGAAGGAAAACTTTATTTTACGTGAAAAGACAAAAAACTAACGGCCAATTGATACCCTTGTGTTCCCTGAAAATGAGTTAAAGCTTTAAATTATTCTTTTAAAAGTTTACTTGATAACATTTTAGAGCTGAACTAAAACCAATCTGTCCAGCTAGAAGAATACCAACCAGAATTATTGTAGCTAATGAGAATGATTGGGTGCCGCTGAACAGGAAGGGTAAACGAATAGAACAGCATTTATGCAACAATAGTGGCATTTTTAAAGTTTTGGTTTAAAGGAGGATGAGGTCAAAGATGATATTAAAAATTTTTGGAAAGCTAAAATTTAAAACAAGTGATTTTATTGGCTGAAGAAAAGTCTAAATCCGCCTAAATCCACCGATATCCCCCTTAATACCCAGAAATCCGTCCTAACCGGCACAAGTCCTTTATCTCCTTTTGGATTTGACCTTCTAGGTTATTTGACTAATAGGGGATTGAACTTCTAGCTTGATCCCAAGAAAAAAACCAAGACAATACGAAAATTAATAATTGACTGGTATAAGAAGTATAATGAATAAGAATTGTTTATTTTAACATTAAAATGAGTGTCAATTATTTCTTTATGTTAAAGCCAAAACTGTGTATTATATAAGCCTCATGGCAACGGCAGAACTTTCTGCCTGGTCAGTAAAATAAGGTGAGAAAATAAGGTTTTGATTATTATTAAATAAAGCTAAGCAACTATCTCTCATATTAAAAAAAATTGCCAATTAGTATGGCTAACAAGAAGCTAAGAAGTTATATTGTAGTTGACAATAAAATATTTATGAATGAGAGAGAGAACCCAGTTAAAAATGCGAAAAGCAACACTAAAAAATGTAATAAATATTGAAATTTAACAATAAGTATGAAGAAGCCTAACTAATCTCGCACAAAGAATGTAGGAGATGTTTTCTATGGTTTACTTATAAAGATGTTATGTACGTAATAAAGAAGCCAAATAGATTAAAATTGAAGCTTATAACCTTAACATGATAAACGGGAGCCAGACATCCCGGGACAAGTAAATATCTGGATATTTGAACTACTGCCTTATGGAAACTACTGCCTTATGGAAACCTACTGCCTTGTGGACCTAGGCCACTGGGTCTTGGATAGAACAATGTCTGAAGAAAAGTTTTTAGATTCTAGAGGTAAACATGAAAGAGTAAACATGGACTGGTATGTCCGTCCCAATGTCTCCCTATGAAATCGCAATCCCGATGTGTCTCCCTATAAAATAAACCTCGAGATAATTATCATTTAAGGCTGGTTAATTTCAAAAAAATTTCTAAAGTAAAAAGAACTAATGAATGGATGCACGCAATTAAATTAGTGCCAATTTAAAATAATAAGCATGCCAAGTGTATAATTAGTGCTATGGAAACGCTCCAATTTGAGAGGAAAAAAGTTAAGAAAAACAGGTGCTTAAAATGTAAACAAAATATACATAAACGATAAAAAAGGTTGTTTTATCTGTTATACAAACAAAGCATTTTTTCTTTGCTTAAATTGTAAAAGCTCTTGAGTTTACTTAAAGGTACAGGTGTAAAGAACGGGTTAAATTGTCGCTTTTTTAGTTTAAAAAGAAGAAAAATAAGGAATTTGCTTAAACTTTCTGAAATTTAATGAAGATATGCCGTTTATTTACAAACAAATCACACAATTAACAACCACACACATACATATTTAGGTTATTGGGAATATTTACATTGGGACACAAAACTTGTTTACGAGATACACAATTATATTCTCTTTATATATTTTATATACTTACTGTTCTTCATCCTAGAATTTCCTCTCATCTTTCCTTTATCTGCGCCGTGATGAACGGCTTGAACTGGAACGGCCAGACGAACGGCGAAGGCTTGTATCAGAACGAGATGAGCGGCGGCTAGAGCGGCGACTTGAGCGGCTAGAACGATCCGAAGAGCGCCGAGAAGAACCGGAGGTGCGTCGAGAGCTGCGACTTCGCGAAGAGCGGCCAGATGAACTACTCGAACTGCTAGACGATGATGTTGAAGAGCTTTCACTGCTAGCTGAAATGAGAAAAATTGAAAAGGTAATCCCATCAAGTTAAGAACGTACACGAAGATGACGACTTCTTGCTCGATTTCTTACTCGACCTTTTGCTTTTCTTAGATACTTCGCGAAGAGAACGAGCCGTTGACGCAGCCACTGCCCGAATAAGAGCTTTATCCCTTTGCGACAGGCCATCTCCACGTGCCGTTTTTGCCGCCCTCCTCTCAGAGTCCTTGAGCCGTGCAGTTTTTGTGATGATGATTCTTTCAAGGGTCGCAGGTTCGCTTGATTCAGCCAAACTGGAGCGTCTATCACTGGGACTGGGCACCGCCTGGCGTAGTGAGAGGTTAACAACACGCGGTTCTGGACGTTGATGGACATTGATTACAACAGATTTTAGAGTTGGCTCAGCTTTCTTAAAAATTAAAAATAAAAGCGCGTTCAAATACAAAAAGAACCCACCGCCGTTTGCTTCGGCTTACTCTTGTACCGGCAGATGAGGAAGGTGTTGATGAAGAGAATCAACGATCTAAAAATTTATTTTTAAAAATGAAAAAATGGCAAACGAACATAGTCAGATAGATCATTACACCAAAAAACATCCTCTCCCACTGTTTAGGAGTTTGCGTCGTCGCATCTTCAAGAATCGATTCCAGATCCGCACCGCTGAAAATAAAAAGCGTGTTTAAAAATTTCAAAGGTAAAAAAAATACCTAGCATAGCTGACGATGTTAAGAAGCATGAAGAACAACAGCGACGAACAGCGAAGAGAAGGCATTGTAGTATCAATATATACTTATTGCAAACTTGCGTAGACTTTGGAAGATTGATTGTGGTGATGATTAAGATTAAACGAAGGCTTTTATAGTTAAAAAAAATTATGATAATCCTAATTAGGTATGCTTCTTGCAAAGATACTTAACCAGATAATTTTAAAAATTTGTAGAAAAAATTTTAAAATGTTAGGGTTTGAAATACAAAGGAAATACGAAATTTTGAAAAATAATAAAATATTAAAATCAAAAATTAATAATCAGTCCCATTCTTGATCATACTTCTTCATCTTTCTGAGGTATTGTTGTCTTCTTTTCAAGACATTCTTCTTCATCATCGCCCTCTCTCCTCTTTGCAAGAACTTCATCTTCAGCTGCTCCTTTTATTTTTGTTTGTTTCTTTTGATATTTTGTTGGCCTAAATATTTTCATTGGTCGAATAACATCTCGAAAACTAGGCAATTCATCATCCAAAGATTTTAGTTCACGTCGGGTAAATAATCGTTGAAGAAGGAACATTCGCAATAGAACAGTGAGGATTAACTAAAATTTAAAAAAATCACATTAAAATACAGAATAGGTTTGTTGGTTCGGAACCGAATCGAAGAAGCAAGTTAATTCGGGTTGGCTCTCCGGAGTTCCAAAAATTTCCAGTTAGGTTCTGGATATCCGAAGATTTTCCAAGAACCGTCAACCCTACTGAAAAATATTTAAATTGTTTCTTACCATCATCGGAAACATCATTGACAACATACTGGACGAATACTTCATTGCTAGCAGTGAACCAATGCTAAGAAGCTGGATGCTAAAAAACAACATTTAAAAACAAAAATATTCTTTACCAAGTAAAAGTATGTACACGTTTTATTGGCACACTTCTTAACCAAATATAATCAGGTTGATATTTGACAGGCATAAATAACAATGCCAGTCGTTGAACAAATTGTTGACCAAGTAGGGAAACAACACCCATGTAGAAAAAAATGCCAGTTAGTACGGGGACAGGAACGTTCTAATGTAAATGTTAGGGGAATGAGTGAAAATTAATTTACAAAACTTGCCTTAACTAGAGGTGTGAGGAAAACAGAGCACCCAATAAGAGCATGAGCAAAAACAGCAGTTAACCTTTGCTCTCTTTAAATGTGAAGAGTCAAAACTTTAATAAAAATAGAACAAACTTTACTCCCAAAAATTTTTGAGGTTCGCCAGGTACAATACAATCAACATATTGCTTTAGAGACTAAAAAAAGGACAAAAGTTCAGTACAAATTTGAAAAAAACATGCCTCAACATGCATAACTGAGAGAACAGTAGCAGCAACATAAAAGGGAAGACCAAGAAATGAACAGATTAACACAAGAAAGGCAACAATTAAAAGATCTAGATGATAGCCACAACCCTTCTTAAAATAATTGATGAAAATATTTTGATAATGAAAAAATAACCCTTAGTTTATTGTCTCTCCTATTTACAATCACGGCAGTTATTTGTTGATCCATGACAAGCAAAATTGTATAAAACAATGCTGGAAAGGCAGCAATCTATTTAAAAATTAAAATTTTAAGTTAAATAAAAATCTATAAAAGTTAACCAATGCCACAGTATAATCCTCAATATTGGTTGCATCAACCAGCCATGTTCGATCCATTGTTGGACGAATACTTGCGGGCATCTTCAAACTAGGGACCTCTAATCCAATAAGGTAAGTTGTAAGTGTCAATGAGACAATAGCAATTAGAACAGAAAAGTCGGAAATGAGATTGCGAACCTTGAATGATTTTTTTAATTTAAAGAAAACCTTTTTAATCTACGAACTCTAAAAGAGAAGTAGCGGGAATGTCGAAAAACATTAAGTGAGTAGGCGATCAAAAACGTCCCACAAGTTAGTATTATTGAGAACCTAAAGTTTAAATAAATTAAAAAATTTATTTTAAATTAAAATAATACATATAAACATCAGGCTTAAAGTAGCATTGTAAACCTTGAGGCTCACCTCCTTCAAAATATTTTCATTTTTATTCTTTTTAAAATCTACCTAGCTCCACACATCGACCAACACCAACACTAAGATTCTTGAAAAGAGTTGAATTCCACTAAAATAGAAATGATAGAATGGAAAATTTTTCAAAATTTCGAAAAATTTGAATAAAATTATAAAAAATTAAACCTCTTCTGTCTGTATAATGCAGTGACATGCAGAGTGGAGTACTTCTTGTGGATGCCGAGTTATTGGTGCCTCGTAACTTATTTCAAAGAGTTTTTCAAATGCCTGTATGATGAAGACTATAGAGATGAGTGTCGCAAAGGCCTCTTCAGTAAAGCGGGTGATAAGAGAGACCGAAAAAGAAATTTTTATTGCTTTGATAAAACAAAATAAATACCAACGCAGAAGCATCAGTTGCTACCAGCAAAAGAAGGTAGAATGTCTAATATTTGAGAGAATTGAAAAAAAAGTCAGTCTTCTATAATCCTTTAACCAACCATCCAAACACCAACATACAGCCGAAAGGGCAAAAATTCCCAATGTTTTGCTCTGAAATAGACAATAAATCTTTAATAAAATTTAAATTATACGTGCAGAAGTCGTAGAGAATCCTTTCAAAAATAAGTGTTGGCCCCGTTGCTGAGAGAATATTAAGTGGTTGACCAGAAAACATACCAAAAACAACCCCTGATAGAGCACCACAAATGATGTTTTCGATTGAAGCCATTTGATGATGCAAAGAACGTTCCATAACAGCACCAAATGTGATGATATTTGAGAGATTTGCCAGGAAAAGAACCAGTGTACAAGCCAAAGATTGAGATAAACGACCGCGAAAAAAGTCCAAAAAATCGGATGGGAACCAAGGAAGTTTTTGTCTGCGGAGGATTAATAAAATAAACAAAAATTGAAAACTAAAACCTTATATCTTGTACTAATCCTCCAAATAATTGTCCTGTCCTCGTTGGTTGGCCTGCTTCCAGACCTGTATGTTGACCCGCCATAGAAATGCGTTTATTTAAATCGAATTCTTCTGAATAAAAAGCTTGTGAACAAAGACGATCATCGTGAGAAAAATTTGCATAGAGCATTCCTACATGACGAACTGCCTAAAATAAATTTTTAAATAATTATCAAAAAAAAAGTAAAATTAGTTTTTCCTTACAGATTCATCAGCACCTTCATCACGTGTCCATCTAGCCTCTGTTGAACACTTTGCCGGTGGAATAACAACAATTTGTGAGAGAAATTCATCTACCGCATCCACAAGAGTATTTCTCTCCTCACAGTGCAATGCTACTTTTTGGAAAACCTTATGAATTAATTTTTGCAAAAGGATTTTTTAAATATAAACCTCATCAGAAAGAAGCGCTCCTATTGCTCGTCCAATTCGAAATGTTTCACCAGGATAGTTATCCATAGAGTTTAGTAAGACAAAGAGGAAACGCACTGGAACAGGATGATCAGGGACTTCTGGATAAAGCATCTAAAAATATAAAAATGTTTTCAATAAATGAGGAAATGTTACCGTTGGATATTTAAGGCGAATGAAGGCACTCAGAGGTCTTTCTAAGGCATTAACATTAGCGATCTTTTAAAAATCTTTCAGAAAAATTTGTAATAAAATAACTCACTAAAATAGCCGCAGACTCAGTATTTGGCGCAAGCTTTTTTTAGCAAACGATCATCGGCCTACAAGAACAATCAACAATTTAAAACAATTATAAATTTACGCTTCGAATTCGCCCAGTTTCCTCAGCACAAGAATTACTACTATACGAAGAATTTGAAAGATGGCCTGAATGAATGGAGTCGTTGAAACTGGCTCTTCTAAGTCTGCCTAATTAAAATTAAAAATGCAATACTTTAGTAAAATAATTCATTACCATCCCCATCATATACTCTCCGCATTTTTCCACCAACCAAATGCAATTTTGGCGCAAATAAAATTTCTTTAACCAAATTTTGTAGAGCCTCATCAGAGCCAAGTTGGCCGTGAATAACCCACTGTTCAATGAGCTGGTCACAAACGCGAACAAATGTGTTTGCACTTGAATCTAGGAGAACAAGGCCACGACGTAAACAATTTTTTACCTTTAAATTGAGAATTTTTTTAAATTTTAGCCTAGTCTAAAACTAAAAAATGGCACCTGCATAATAGCAGCAATACTAAGCAGCGTAATATAAGGACGGGAAAAGCGTGTTCCTCCACCTTCAATACATTGTTCATATTTTATCCATCTTTAATTTAGGAAAAATTTTAGATAAAAAAATATAAGCTTTACCTTGTAGTCTGTTGCCAAAATAAACTTTGCTGTACCAATTGAAGATTTGAAGCCATTACTCCATCCCCAATTTCTGCTGCTGCTTCTTGTTCAGCAAATGCTGTAGTCAAATAAAGCATTTCACAAAAAAGTGTTTGCCGTTGTTGTCCAGAAACAGGCGATAATGTTGAGCCATCACCTCCAACAACTCTTTCCAACAGACGACGAACATTGTCGATTGGACATTAAATGAAAAAGATTATTGAGGAAATTATAAAAAATTTTTTACTATCGGATGAACTGCTAAGGTGAAGACTTTGAGGTAAATAAAGAGCATCAGCCAATAAATTATCTGAAAAAATTCGGCCTTGTGTAGTTTACGTCCTACATGCCCTGCCCTTTTTATTATTGTTCTTCCTTTTCTTTTGCTTATAAGGAAAGTAAAAAGGCCTTAAATCAACAAAAATTAAAGTATTGACCCAAATGTCACTTTTTAAAAAAGAAGAAAAGGGGAGGAGATGGGACGTAAACTACACAAGTCCAAAAATTCTTAAGGATATTCTAGAAAATTTTAAATCCTTACGTTCATCAGGCTGTCCACTAGATGATCGAAATAGACTGGCCTTACGTCGTCTAGTTAAAGCCTTTTTGCTCTCCAAGCATTCTGGACCAAGGCGGTTGGCAGCAGAGGAGGTAGACAACATTCCTCAAGTTAAAAGGAGTAAATGTTGGAATTTTTTGTTGTTTTTGAAGATTTAATTTTGAAGCATCTTATTGAATAATTAATTTTCCTGCTTAAAATGTGGATTTTTAAATGCGCGAGAATAAAAAATGAATCAGAAGAAAAATCTTAAATATTAAAGTACATAGGATTAAAGGCGTATTATAGAAGATTGAAAATGACGAGGATTTTTAAAAGAAATGGATTGGTTAAACTAATGGATTAAGACAATTTATAGAGACATTAAAGGAAATTTCTAGTCTGAAAGACATGTATTAAAAAATAAAAATGAGAGAAAATTATCAAACATGAAAAAAATATTTGAGGGTAAAAATAAACTTTTTTTACAAAAAACCACTTAAAAATTGTCTATACAATTTCAAAAGAATTAAATTATCAAAATACAAAAGAATAATTTGTTTACTACTCGGGACTTTTCTTTTTTAATTGTTAGAACATGCGCATGGATGATCATCAAAACATTGTTAAAATTAAAATTACTCAATAATTCTTTTCATCAAGTAATATATTTTTCACGCTGCTCTCGACGCAATCACTTTAAATTGGAGAGGGGGCCATCAACAACAAACAACCCAACATAACAAATTTTCCTACTCTCCCCCATTTTAATTTATCCTTTCTACCCAAAATTGGTAATAATAACTTTTTTTCTCAATTTTCTTTTTATAAATACAAAATTTGTATTAGTCGCGCGCATGTCCAATTATGTATAATTTTTGAAAAAATAAAATTGCAAAAAATTCGGGATTTAAAAATATTGGGGTGAGGCATTCAACAATTAATATTTACTTAATAATGTGACACTAAATTAACCAATTCCTTGTTTGTGACTATAATCAATTCAGAGAGACATTGCTTATCAATTTTAATCAATTTAATCATTCATTTAAAGATAATTAAACAGCTTTTTTGACTGAAATAAAGAGGCTGTCTCGAAGAAAATTATAGGAAAGGAGAGACTCTATTGTCCGTAAAATGTCCAGGACTCAAATTGTCATTTAATCTCAGACTCTAATATCTCTACATTAGAGTATGGACGGGACAGGATCCCTAACGGGATTTTGCAGGATCCTGTCTCGAAATCCCGTGTTTTAGGCGACAAACGGGATTATCTGGATTAATCCCGCGGGATCCTGTTCCGTACAAAATTTTGAAAAAAATCCCGTTACGGGATCCCGCGAATTTGGTTTTCCACTAGACTCTAATCTACATTTTTTTGCCATTATATTTTGTACTTTTACAAATTTTAACATTTTCCATTATAACATCAATTGTTATTTTAAAATTTTTAATTCTTAATTTTTTCTTACTTATGTTAGCATTTAACAAAAAAACATTCTTACAACTTTTAGATTCATTTTTTTATTTTTTACAAAAAGATTGAACAATTTCTTAGTTTAAAAACTTGTGATCAACAAAAAATTCTTTGTATTTGACTCAGCAATTACTAATTTATTTAACGGTGAATTTGACTTTTTTAAACAGTGTGATTGAAAGGTTTGGTTTTTTAGTTGCATTTATTTAAAAAAAAATTTATTTAAAGAATAGATTCTATAATACAACAAAATGTCAGAAACAAAACAAGAATGTTGTGCTTGTGGACCTGGCTATAAATCGCCTTTAGACGCCTTCAAAAATGCTCCACGTGAGAAGATTATTTTTGTGACCTGTCCTAATGTTGACCAAGCTAAACCTGATATGTTGGCGACTGTAGATGTTGATCCAAAGAGTGAGGACTATTGCAAGGTTGGTTATATAAATTACACTATTTTTTTGATATATTGGTAATCTCCTGCTTTATCGGTCCCTAGAAATGATCTTTCGTTATTTTTGGCGTTGCCAGTAGGTAATCGAATGTGCAGGGTCTGAATATGAGTTCAAATTTCTTTTTTGAATTCCGGATTCTAGTCCCATATCTAATAGTAAGTCGAACCCTGGATTCGAGTTTGTCCTCGGGTCGAATCCAGAATAATTAAAAGACTACTAATAGGTTCTTTTAGATAATTGGCAAAATAGAGGTTCCAAATGCTTCAGATGAGGTTCACCACACTGGTTGGAATATTTGTTCTTCTTGTTATGAGGATGCTGGACGTAAGCGTTCGCATATAATTTTGCCGTGTTTGAACTCTTCGCGTATTTATGTAATTGACGTTACAAAGGATCCGAAGAAGCCTGAACTTACCAAGGTTGAATAATAATTAAGTGATCGGATTACGTTCTAAATTTTTCAGACAATTGAGCCAAAACAACTTTTTGATTTGGGGGTTGGTTTCCCTCATACCGCGCATTGCCTGGCTGATGGAACTATTATGATTAGCACATTGGGTGACGAGAAGGATTCTCCAAAAGGTTTTATTTTAACTTTCATGATGGGCAATTACGATATTTTCCATACAACTCAATGCCTGCGGACGATTTATTTTTCTTTGCCTAAAACATCCATTTTCAGGCGATTTTCTGCTTGTCAACTCTGAAACCTTTGAGCCAATAAGTCGCTGGATTCCTGAAGGTCAAAATGCGTTGGCTTATAATTATGACTTCTGGTATCAACCTCGTCGTGGATTGATGATCAGTACTGAATGGGGAAGCCCAAAAAGTATTAAACAAGGTTTTAATCCTGCAAATGTTGTTAAGGGTGAGCTTTAAATTTTTTCTTTCTATGACAATTTTTGAATTAAAATTTAGACTATGGTCATTCTGTACATGTTTGGGATTGGCAGAAACGTCAACTTATTCAGACAATTTCTCTTCAACAACCAGAAGGCAATATTCCTCTGGAAGTCCGTTTTCTTCATGAACCATCGCGAGCACATGCTTTTGTGGGAACTGCTCTAGGTTCAGCTATCTTTCATTTTTGGCGTGATGAGGGTGGTCCGGTATGGATTTATTTTAAATTTTGTATTTAATTCACGTTTCTCTTTAAGGGTCAGATGGAACATTCAATGGTTGCTGCTATTCCACCAAAAAAAGTTGAAGGATGGGCACTTGAATGGATGCCAGCACTTATAACTGATATTCTTGTCTCAATGGATGATCGGTTTTTGTATATTTCTTGTTGGTTACATGGAGATATTCGTCAATATGACATTACAAACCCGGCAAACCCAAAACTTGTTGGACAGGTTTATTTTTTAATTTAATAATTTATGAAATATTTTCTCAACTTTTAGTGTTTTATTGGTGGTTCTATCCATAAAAAAAGTGGAGTGAAAGTTCTCGAGGACAAGGAATTGACGGTTAATGTTTTTATTTCAGAATTTTCTAATTTGATTAATTTTAGTCACAACCTGAACCTCTTTTTGTCAAAAACAAAATTGTGCAAGGAGGACCTCAAATGTTACAATTAAGTTTGGATGGGCGACGTCTTTATGTGACCAATTCTTTGTATTCTGTTTGGGATAAACAATTCTATCCAAAATTGTTGAGGTGGGTTAAAAGTTTTTTTATTTTTTTGAAGGGTGGGTAAAGTTTTATTTTGTTCTTTTTTCTGCTGATGAATTTGGGTTTTACTCATTAACTCACTCTATTAGATTTTATCTCTAATAATCGTATTTTCTACTTAATATCTTTTAAAAATGTATATTTTTTAATTAATATATTTTTCTTTTCACAACTCTTTTTTGATCTTTTTCGAGTTTCCTGCAGCTTTTGGGGGAGGTGGAGGTTCATCATCGTCATCATCTAATTTTTTCATTGGTCTATTCTTATATTAAAATGCTAACTTACCGTCTAATGAGATTGTACCCTGAAAAGTTATTTGATTTTTTTATAGATTTTGAAAATATCTAACCGCCATAATTTGGTCTATCCAAAGCTGTAAAGCTTCAAGATTTGCGTCACAATGTTTTTTAGGGTCGTCTAAATTTAATTGGCTCATTTCAAACCAAATACCCTCGCGTTCTGAAATGTCGACAAGTCCAAGCTGTGGACTTTCTTCTATGTCAATGCCAAACATTTCCTGTAAATTATCATTAATAGGGGTGTGTCTAAACAAATTTTAAAAAGCGAAAGAATGAAAGACGAAACTCCGGAAAAACGAAAATTCGGTAAAAGGCACACCCCCTGCTTTTTATTAACTCTCGTTATAATTACAATAATTTTTCCCTTCATTTATTTTATTTTATATTACCTCCCAAACATCAACCATCAAAGGAAACTCGTCTAAAAATATTTTTATAGTCAATTTAAATAAATTTCTTCTTGAAATTCCGACCTGGATCAATTAAAACAATTTCAAGTTTCCCAGCATGTTCTTGATTTTCATCTGCCAACTTCCTTAATAATTTAAACAATGCTCTTCCCTCACGAGTTTCTTCGTCACAAAAAGCTAAAACTAAACGTTCATCCTCCTCTGGATCTCTCCAAACATTAAAATAATTATCCAAACGAAGTTTTTGCATTACTGGTTCTCTATGTTTTTCTACCCAATCTTCAAATTCTTCTTCAGTGTCTACTGAGGCTGGGGCATATATTGGGTCATCTTCAAATGGATGAAGTAACTGAACTTCCCCAACACGCTTTAGGCCAACTTTCTTTGCCCAATAGCTAGTTACTACAGCGAAAAATTCTACTTCTCCCATAAATTCTTCTGCTGCTTCTTCAAATTCCTTAAGAGCTGCGCTGCCAGGCTCTATTAGAAATTAATTTTATTTTTTCAACTGCATTTTCTACTAACCAAAATATCCAATAATTCTCACACATTCATCATCCATATCCTCAAACTCTTCCAGATCGAATTTATCGTTTATAATTGTAACAGGATCGTCAGGAACCTACAAATATGGGAATTGTGAGGTCTTTGTGGTTTCTGGAATATTTTTAATATTTTCTTAACAAAACTTACATCCATTAACCATGAAACGAATGTATCCGGATCTTAATTATAAAATTTTAGAATTATCCTTTCTTTTAATCATTTATCTTTCCTTACCTCTAACTCCATTATATTCGATTTTGTAGCCATCTTTGTAGACATGAATAGTATCCTCGCCTTTCTCGACCTCTTCTTGATTTCTTAATCTTATCTCTTTTGTTGTATTTACAGTGTAAAAATTATATCCTCTTTTTGTCATAATCTGTTTAAATTTTTTAATAATAGCTGAATAATTCTCTGAGACATGCCTGGGCAGACAGCTGAGATAAGGAAATATTTTTTACTGATTAAGATAACATTTTTGAATATACCTGAAGGAAACATTCGTACTGATCAAACTCACTGTCTATAATTAAAAAAAATTTATTTAAAAATTTTATTTGACCCACCATCCTCTTCTACGTCATTGAAAAATACTACAGATTTAGCGCCATCGGCAAAGCATGTTTTGTTAAAGTTTTTCTCGGTTAATACCTTATAAATTTTTGTTTTATTTTTAAAGTTTGCGGCCAACCTCAGTTCGATCAAAGCCTTTAAAAATGGTTTAAGTTAGGATTGTTCATTCTGTCTTTATCTCACTTAATCTTATCATTTATCTCACTTAATCTTATCATAATCTTACACTATTTTATTATTCTATTAACTAACCATCATATTCCAGATCTGGGTATCCAAGAAACATGCCTTTAAAGAAAATTTTGGGAGTATTTTCTTGTACTTTTTAAACCTACAATGCAAATCTGCCGTTTTTAAAACACATCTAACGTTACTAAATGTTGCCAAAAAAGCAAGAAAATATATTAAACATCGCTGCATGAGTTAATTTAAGTGTTTTTTGAAATAAGAGATCAGTTCGTAGGAAATACTAGATGTCCAAAACTCCGGGGGATTTATTCCTTATAAGTTTGTTTTAATTCCACGAAATTTAATAATTTTTGTATAAGTAAACGGGGAAATAAGCTTTGTAGAGAGAAAAGCGTTGGCGGGCGGATTTTAGGAGTAAAAGAATGAGAGAGGGATAAAAAAGAGATCAAGTGTTTACCTAACTTTGGCCTGGGGAAATGGTGGTAAAAGGTCTTAAACAACTGGTAAAATTTTTTCATGTGCTCTCATCTTCTGATTTTGTTTTCTCTTTTCATTTTTTCTTCTATCATTTATTTTTGCGGCTGGCTTATTGCTTTTTCAGATCAGATTTTTTAGTTTGAAGAACATTTTTAAATGGAGGAGGGGGTTTAACATGGTGAGAGTTTAAGAGGAAGAATAGAGCGTAAAAAAGAACAAAATAAAAAAGGTTTAAGGAAGAATTAGGCTAAAGTTTAGGAACAGAAAAAGGTTTTTAGGATTTTTACTTGAGTAATTAGTAATTGGCGGTAAAATTTTGGGATTTAGTTGGTAGCAAATGCCTATTGGATTCCGATTTTCAACTTTTGAGTTATTTCCGATTCCCAATAGTTCCAATTTCCAGCATCATTGTTATTTCCGACCGACCTCTGATTAGTATAGATAAATAAAGAAAATTTAGTAAGGAGAACCATAAACAACTTGAAAAAATAACTGGGGAAATAAATAACCTGAATTTAATAAAGTCACGACTATTTTTTATTAGTTTTATTACAAATTTTAATAACAGAAAAATGAACCTTTCTCCAATTTATTATTTTTCTTTTTAAAACTTGATTTAAAAAATTAAGATTTAAAGAGAACCTCATGACATTCATATCAATCTCGCTTGATAAAAAAACATTTAAAAAAGACTATTTTTTTTCTTAAATTTAAAAGAATAATGGGCCAACTAGTTGGACTCTTAAATTAGTTAAAAACAATTGTTTAAAGTTTAAAAAACTAAATTTTCTTTTTCAATAAAATTGTGTATGGGGAGGTGTTTGACCTTTTTCTGATTTAATGAAGAGGGACAATTAATTATTTAAAAGTATTTTATAATTTTAGTGAAGGCTCTACTATGCTTCAATTAGATGTTGATATTGACAATGGAGGTGGACTTTGTGTTAATCCAGCATTCCGTATAGATTTTGACAAATCCGAAAATCTTCCTAATGGACCTTACTTGGCACACGAAATGCGTTATCCTGGTGGAGATTGTACTTCTGACATTTGGCTTTGACTGATTGACTTTTAGATTAATTAGGGACTTTTAAATCAATTAATGACTTCTAAATTAAATTAATAATACATTTGTAAAATGTCCATTGAATAAATATTTTTTTATTTTAGAAAATCGACATGAATTAAAAAATTAACGCTCAGCATTGATTCTTTTGAAAAATATATTAACGAATAGGATTTATCAGATTTCCCACAAATTTTTTCTAGGGTTCCGCAAAAAAAATCAATTTTTTTATGATTTAAACGTTTTGAATGTTTATCAGGCTTTGAAAAATAAAATTTATACAAAGTAAAAAACTATCAGTATTTATCGTGGTTCTAAGAAACTGAAAATTTTACACACAACAACTTCATTTCCTTCGAGGTCCCCTTACAAAAATTTATTTCCAGCAACACATCCAGCATTTTTATTAAGAGGGTAAGAGGAAAATAAATATACAGTTAATTATTAAGCTTGTAAGCATTTTCCGGAAAGATAAATTAATTCTCAAGTTTGTAAATACTTTCCGGAATAATATAAACATTTTCCGGAAAGATATAAATTAATTCTCAAGTTTGTAAATACTTTCCGGAATAATATAAACATTTTCCGGAAAATATAAATTAATTTTCAAGTTTGTAAATAATTTCCGGAAAAATATAAACATTTTCCGGAAAGATTAAATTAATTTTCAAGTTTGTAAATACTTTCCGGAAAAATATAAACATTTTCCGGAAAATAAAAATTAATTTTCAAGTTTGTAAATACTTTCCGGAAAAATATAAACATTTTCCGGAAAATAAAAATTAATTTTCAAGTTTGTAAATACTTTCCGGAATAATATAAACATTTTCCGGAAAGATATAAATTAATTTTCAAGTTTGTAAATACTTTCCGGAAAACTATAAACATTTTCCGGAAAGATATAAATTAATTTTCAAGTTTGTAAATACTTTCCGGAATAATATAAACATTTTCCGGAAAGATATAAATTAATTTTCAAGTTTGTAAATACTTTCCGGAAAACTATAAACATTTTCCGGAAAATATAAATTAATTTTCAAGTTTGTAAATACTTTCCGGAATAATATAAACATTTTCCGGAAAGATATAAATTAATTTTCAAGTTTGTAAATACTTTCCGGAAAACTATAAACATTTTCCGGAAAATATAAATTAATTTTCAAGTTTGTAAATACTTTCCGGAAAACTATAAACATTTTCCGGAAAGATATAAATTAATTTTCAAGTTTGTAAATACTTTCCGGAAAACTATAAACATTTTCCGGAAAATATAAATTAATTTTCAAGTTTGTAAATAATTTCCGGAATAATATAAACATTTTCCGGAAAGATATAATTTAATTTTTAAGTTTGTAAATGGTTACCGGAATAATATAAACATTTTCCGGAAAGATTTAATTTAATTTTTAAGTTTGTAAATGGTTTCCGGAAAGATATAATTTAATTTTTAAGTTTGTAAATGGTTACCGGAATAATATAAACATTTTCCGGAAAGATTTAATTTAATTTTTAAATTTGTAAATGGTTTCCGGAATAATATAAACATTTTCCGGAAAGATATAAATTAATTCCTAAGTTTGTAAATGGTTATTTAAGTTTGTAATTTTTAAATTTAATTTTTCAAATTAGAATTGACAAAAAATATCGTTCACGTATCGAGTTCCTATTAATTATAATTAAATGCCACTTGCGCATAGAATCCCTCAGGCACAATTTTAGATAAACCAATATTCTTCTAATTAAAGTTTCCCCTACTATTATTATTTTTTTTAATTTATTTTTATTATTAATTAGTGGTTGGGTGAGAATTTTAAAGTCGATACAAAACTATAACAAAAGGAAGAACAAGCAGAAGAATATACATATAAAATAAATAAAGCAAGCTTTTCATAACATTTTCATAAAAACAGCACCGAGCATATTAAACTTAAGACAAATTCAAATCTTAAAATTTTCGAAGTTTTTATAACAACAGACATAACTTAAAATGTTTAATTAATCTTTTAAACCTTTAAAAACCTTCCTTATAATCCCTAATAAACTCTTTTTTCTGGAAAAAGTTGCAAAGAAAAATTTTTCGTTTATCTGGCACATGACCAAAAGATTCGTTTTTTTGACATTTATTTTAAAAATTTATTAAAGCTTTCCAAGTCTTCAAAAATGGCAAAAAAAAGGAGTAAGTGTATATAATTAAACGAAAAATCTTTATTTGAATAAGGGAGATTAAATTAATAAAAGAGGAAAAGGCCTCTTTAAAAAAGATAAACACACACATTATTATTTCTATGTATTTAACTTCCAAAAATTTTCCTTAGAAAATTCCTTAGAAAAATTAAATATTTGCTCTTAGAAACTAAAGCAACATTTGAACTCATTTAAAAAAATTTTTAATATCTCTTTCTAATAAGCAAATACATACGTTGAAATTAATATTGCGCGTATTTTAATACATTTTTCTTTTAATTATTTTCTCAGGAAAGAGGATGTAAAAAAATTTTTTCCAGACTAAATTTTTAAATTTTTATAAAATAAAAATGCAAACAATTACAAAATGCAGTTTGAGAATTATTTGAAGAAACCAAAAATCTAAATTAAACCCCCAAATTTATTTGATACTGCTTTTTTCTTCAAGGGAATAGGACTAAAATAACAATTTTTCCACGTGTTTTTTGCTTTTTCCCAATTCCTCTATTTTACAAATTTTTCAAATTATATGCTTATCCGTAACGTTTCCTAAGTTAAATTTGGACATTTTCACGTGTATTTTTAACTTTTTCCAAGTCTCTCACTCAGCCTAAAAATTTTTGCAAATCATTCGTTACATTCTCTTATATTTCTATTTTTATTCACGCTTCCAAATTTTTTCTTCCCAGCTTTACATTTTGCACAAATCATGTTTATCCGTTACGTTCTCTTTTTATTTTCTAAATTTGACATCCCTATTTCCATTCATGTTTCCATTTGAAAGGATCAACTTTATTCAAATAATCTACTTTAAAATCCATTTCTTTGTGCCTTTTTCCTTTATTAATTTACGTATTTTCTAATCCAAAAAAGCCTGACTTTAATAATATTTTTATCAAAAGAGAGGAAATATTTATACTTTTATCCCCTTATTAAAAAATGTTAAAAGAAGACCAAATTCTCAAGATTAAAAAAAATAAGGAAAAATGGAAAATGTTTGGACTTTTCTCTTTTAACTTCCCTATCCCCTATCCAATTTCCTTTTGGCATTTAAAAAAAAAATTTTTAACATCTCCTCTCCCCTTCATTTTTCTCATTATTTTTAATTGAAAAAATAATGTTGCGCTAATGTTATTTGGACTTTTTTCTTGTTTACTTTCTTTTTAATTAAATGAAAAAAATTTTTTTTAGAAGAAAACACATTTTCTTGCGCTTTAACAGTACATATCACCCCTCCCCTCCTCCTAGAAAATATATCCGGAAATTGGATTTCTTTGCACCTGTCTCGTTTTTTAAATTGTGCTACCATTGTGCAAGTAAGGGGCAAAACACCCTCTAAACAAAATACCGAAAAGTAATAACGTGTCCACTTTTGTCCACTTTTCACTAATAATACCCTACGGCTATTGAATCTTGGATAGTACTATAGGCTTCTATGCCTAAAAATCTTATTTTAAAAATTTTTTCTGTGAGCAAAATGGACGGTAATTTTTACTCTAGTTGGTGGACAGTATTTTGGTAAGACGGTGTTTTGTCCTGCCTCGATGCAATGTGACACCACCTATTTTTTCGCGCACTTTTATTTTTTTCTACATGTGGTGCTTACATAATCAACTTTTAAAAAAAGAGAAAATAAATTTAAAAAAGCAGAAAAAAATATTTCTAAAAAAACAAGTAAATAATTAAAAAATGTGTCAATCACACATGGTTGCTAATATTTTGAAATAAAAAAGGCACACTTATTTACATACACACACTTTTTCTTACTTAAAAATTTACGTCTTTTGTGTTACATTTACATTTTTAAATAAAAATGTGTAACTTGTCGTCCATCTGTGGTTTTAAAAAATTGCGTTAAAAAAGCAAAATTGCCTAAAAATTACCTTAAAAAGCCTGAAAAAAGTACTATAGGCTTCTATGGTTTCGAGCTATCCTACTGGTTTCGGGAGTCTTGGATAATGTTTTTTAATCAACGTAAACACACGCAAGAGGTTATTTTTCTCTCAAAAATCCCGATATGTTCGCCCACCGGTCTGTCACCAAAAAAATAATCTTGATGCATTTATAATTTCTTGGAATTTTTACCAAAAAAAGTTTGTTACTTTTAACCTCAGATTTTTTCACTAAAATTTTTTTATTCTAAATTAACTTGACTAAAAAAAGCTAAAAAAAAGTTTTCCCTTTCAAGTATTCTACGAACCCCCCCTTCAATTTTTTTCTTTTTTTACCAATAATAGAGTGTCTCTTACATATATATTTCTAGTTCCTACGCTTTAGGCACTTTAATAGCTCTAAACTGATATATAAATAAAATATTTACAAACACTCCCACACACAAAACCTCAAAACATTTTTAAGATTATTTTCTTCCGCTATGTTTTTTAAAGAACAAAGATTTAAACTGAGATTTTGTTTTTAGCAATAAACAAAATTTTTTAAAATTACAAAGAATCACACAACATATACCCGTATTTTCTCGATTAGTTCCTCGGAGAATTACCTATCCATTGTGAAATGGGGAATTAATTATTTGAGGGAGGGGACTTATTCAAGTTTCGAAATTAGAACGTGCAAGTAGAGGGTATTTGGAGGTGGGGAATATTTAAGCCATCCCTGGTATAAGAAAATTATAGGAAAATTATTCGAGGGGGAGGGGGATTAATCTAATGTGGGGGGAATTATTCGAGAAAATACGGCAGCCTCTTTCTTGTCTGAACTTTTTTGACTTTCTATCCATAAAAAATTTATTTTTGTCTGTCCTTAATTATAATTACTTGCTACCCTAATTAAATTATGCTTATTTAAAACATAAGGCAAATATGGATATTCTAATTTTAGAAAATAAAAAAATCTCTAGGCTTTAATACACTCTGTTTCAAAAGTATAACCCACTTTAATTTTTTTACTTTTTTAGTTGCTTAATCAATGTATCTTTTTGAGATTTTGTATTTAGATACATTTAACAAATCTACGAAGATTCCAAAAGTTTCATAAAATTTTGTTCGATACAAAATTTTTAATTAATTTTTTTTTCGAAATTTTCCCTAAAAAAGGTGTTTCATAAGTATAACCCACTTTTATTTTTAATATTTCCAACATTAGGAAAAATCTACAAAAGTTCCATCAACCTTATATAGGAATATTATAAAAAAATAAAAAAAATTAGGCCCATATCTCTACTCATTGTCGAGATTCGGACATCTCAAAAACCTCGAAAATCAACGTAAAACGAGGGTAGGTCTATTTAAAAAATATTTTTGACACATTAAGGGTAGTTTTTAAATTTTATTTTTGGCATATCTGAAAGCCCTTAAAATTTGCTACAAGATAGCATCTGCCTTATTTTTCAGAAAAAATCCATTAGCGAGATACAGGTGGTCAAACTTTCGCATCAACAAAAAACGCCTAAATGCCCACAAAATGACCGTTAGGGTCGCTTCTGAAGTTTAACCACCTGTATCTCGCTAATGGATTTTTTCTGAAGAATAAGGCAAATGCTATCTTGTAGCAAATTTTAAGGGCTTTCAGATATGCCAAAAATAAAATTTCAAAACTACATTTACTGTGTAGAAAATATTTTTTAAATAGACCTACCCTCGTTTTACGTTGATTTTCGAGGTTTTAGAGGTGTCAGGATCTCGGCATTGAGTAGAGATATGGACCTGTTTTTTTTCTAATTTTTATAATATCAATATACATGTTTGAGGAATTTTTTTTAGATTTTTCCTATTATTGCAAATATGAAAAATAAAAGTGGGTTATACTTATGAAACATCTATTTTGGGGTAGAATTTAGAAAAAAATTAATTAAAAATTTTGTATTAGATAAAAATTGATGGAACTGCGGGAATATTCGTAGATTAGTTAAATGAATCAACATACCAAATTTCAAAAAAATACATTAACTTATCATCGAGAAAAGTGAAAAATCAAAAGTGGGTTATACTTTTGAAACAGAGTGTATAAACAATCAATCAAAAATTCTCCCTGACATTTACATTTCAAAGTAGGAAAAAAATTAAATTAATATTTTTATAGAAAAAAGGAAAAAAATAATTAAATTAGTATACTTCAATATTTTTTTTGCTGAGAAAAAAATTTTATATTAAAAATAAAAATATTAATTCAAAAAATAAGCCTACAAATTCTTTAGTTTTACTTCGGCTAGTGACCGGTTCCAAAACCGGAAATGCCAGCAGACTGCCAGATGCCTACGGACAGAGATGTAGGTCCCCAAATATTGAAAAACACCGTAGGGAGACCCAAGCTCATTTATTGAGAATTTGTGAGCATATAATTGAAAAGTACCAAAAAATATTTTAAAAACTATTTCTTCTTCTCCAATATAAATATTTTTAGTTCCTTATTTTTTAAAATTAGCTACATTATTATTTCAGACATCATCATAATTTTTTCTTTTGTTTTAAACAGTCTCATTGTCTAAAATTCTTCCTTTGAACAATAAAAAAACAAAAAAAAACGAAGTACCCTTTTTTATTAAGTCTAGTAGGTTTCCCAGAATTTCTTTTTTTATTCTTTCAACTTTTTTTAATTCTTGATTTTTCCTGACTACTCCCTTAATTTTTTTCTTAATTTTATTTTCTAAAAAAATTTTTTTCTGATATTTATTAAAATAATTTTAATATTCAAATCCCTAGAAATATTTAATAATGTCTGGGATATTTTAATCCCTTTTTCATCTAATCCTTTAAAATAATTTTTATTATTCCTGGTAAAATTATTTAAAATCTTTCCAACTTTTAAACCAATAAATCCTTTCAAACATTTAAACATTTAAAACTTAATGAACAAAAAAATTTAAATTTTAAAATAATCAAGCTTAAAACTTAAAAAAATATAGTCTAATATAAGCCATAAAGAGGCATATCGAGAGGAGCATAACGTGATATTTCAATGTGCAAAGACCTATGGCCAAGACCTATAGCCACTGGAACTTTCATAAAATTATCCTATTGATGAAAAAAGTTTCCGTATTCTAGAACCAACATAAATAAGCAACAAGTTATTTTTGTCCCCGAAATCCCGATATATGCCTCCCTAATCACATAAAAACTTCCGCAAACTCAAGAGCTTTTCTTTGCCTTCTTAATTAGTATTTCCCTATAACCAGCTGAAAAATTCCTTTTTTATTTGTGAGTTTTTTTTGCTAGTGGGTGGTCTCTTTCATTCACTAACTTGTTTAAAAAATTAAAAGAATTTCTTTTAACTTATGACTTTATGTGACTTACTAATCATTACTAATCATCGTCATCATCAGCGCGTACTTTCTTTGAACCGAGAAAATTTTTTTTATTCTTTTGTTATTTTTTTCTTTTTATTCCATATGTGAAAATTTGTATAAATTAAATGTAGGAAAAAACACGCCAAATACATAAAAACCAGTTTTTTGTTGGCATTTTAAAAAATGTACAAAATAAAAAAAGTTTTTTTAACGGAAAAAAAATTTAGAATGCAAAAATATGTCAAATTTATTTAATTTCTTTCCGATTAAACAACACAAACTTTTGGCCTTTCCCCTTTTATGACGCATGTATTTTTTTTATTTTTAAAATTTCATTTATAAATATAGAATTTTAAAAATTGGAATAACCCTTAAAAATAGTGATTTTAATTAGGGTTGTACCTCGAATGCTTGAGGGCGGGTGTGTCATGGTACGAAGCTTTCACATTATTTCGAGGCGGGGTTTGGGTCGAGTAAGCAAAATATGTATGGTCGGGTTCGGGCCGAGACTTGGGACCAAAAAAGGCATTTTTGGTATGTTTGTATAACTTCGAAAACCCCGAAACTTTTCTGGATTGAGGGACTGGGTTTTCAATTTTTCGAAGGAGTACAACTCTAATTTTAATAATATTAAAAAAATATTTTTTCACTTTCTTTCTAAAACAAAAAAAAATATTCTTGTACTTATTTAATATTTAAATCTTCCATACTTCATTTTTTCCCTAAAAACCACTTCAATCCTCTCCTATATTTTTGTTTATATTTATGTTATTGTCTCTTTTCTAAATACTTTTATCCCCATGGAGTTCTAATTTGCTATGACATGTTTCTGTTTTTTACAGATTTTTTATAGACTGTTGGTGGTATAGGCTGTTCATTAAAAAAGAAATCTTTCAACCCATTGTTGTTAGTTTTTGAACTTTAATATAAACAAAAAATTTGGTACTTTTTATGGTTTTTGTCCATACACTTTTCTAAGCCTTAAGAAATGGCATTTTCAATTTAATTTACCAAAGGAGAAGAGAAGCTCTGATTTAGTTTATGGGTGGTCTTAATTTCCTGCTTCCTGCCTTTAAACTTTAAAAATTCAGAAAAGCTTCCTTATTTTTACTTATTTAGTTAAATAGATAAAATCAAAATTTTAAAATATTTTATTTATTAAAATTCAGACTTGTGCATGGACACGGATTTTGGGATCCATATTCGGATATATCCGTGAGGTCCGTGTTCGTTTTCGCTTAACTTTTAGGCCATATCCATCCGCGGATATCCGCAGAGTTTGATCCGCGGATATCCGCAGAGTTTTCTATATCATTTAAAGTAGTATACTTATATTTTCAAATTTAATTTTCCTAACATTTTCCTCCATTTAAAAAACTAATTAAAAAGCTCGATAAAAAAGTTTATTTTATATTCCTCCTTTTTTAAAGTCCTATTTTACTCACTAAATAGAATACATACAAGCGCCAATGTATCTAGACTAAAAGAAATTTTTTGCTTAAAATTTTCAAAAAATAAAAGAAAAAAACCTCATTCTCCTTGTTATTTCTAATTCCTCTAATCAAATCAGCCAAATTCTTGTCAAATAATCTGTCGATGTTGTTACGTACTTTGCGTAGAGTACCATCAGGAACGAGATTTTGTATTTGCATTGATGAAGAAATAAAGCTTTAAATATTTAATAAATGCTTTGAAATAAATGAAAGTTAATGAACAATAAACAAGATTACTAATCCGGATTTCGAAAAAAAATTCCGAAAAAATACACTAGAAAAACAAGCTATGAATCAGCTACACTGAAGCGACCTTTATTAAACGGGACACTTAAGTCTCGTTAATTCAATGACTATTAGAGTCCCAATATTTTTCTACTACAGTATAAGAATCGATAATCAGGGAAAATTGGATAAAATTCACTGTTTATCAGGGATTGGCCTTGTTACCCGAAACTCGGTCATTTTTCGACCCGGAACCCGATTCGAAGAAAATACTGAAAACCGACCCGACTTTTTTCTTACCCCGGTTATCCTCGCTATCTATTTTCATTTTCAAGATTATTAAAAATAATATACATTTTTTAGATCTCTTTGCAATATTTTGGATTTCTAAATTAAAAAAATAATTGATTAAGCTTCAAGATGACAGGAACAGAGCGGAAAGTTTTTCAGGTTTCAACTTTTAATTTTCAAGAGTTTGATACATAACTCAATTTTTCTGTTTAGAAATACTACCCTCCCGACTTTGACCCATCAAAAATCCCGAAAGCTTCTGGTGGACGAAACAGACAATTTATTCAACGTGTAATGACTCCATTCAATATGCGATGCAATACTTGTAGTGAATATATTTATAAAGGAAAGAAGTTTAATATGAGAAGAGAAACGGCTGAGGGAGAAAGCTATCTTGGCTTGAGGATTTTTCGATTCTATTTTCGGTATTTTTCTTTTAATTTAATTGGGGATTATTGGCTCCACTCATTTTTTCAGTTGTCCAAATTGTCTGGCCGAAATCACCTTCAAAACAGATATTCAAAATGTGGACTATCAAGCTGAAAATGGAGCAACACGTTTATTCGATGTATACAAATTTTGGCAAGAACAGGAACAAAAGGTGGAGGAAAAAGAGAAAGAAGAAAAGGAGGATGCAATGAAAATGCTTGAAAAACGAACAAAAATGAGCAAATTGGAAATGGAAGCATTGGGTTACTTTTTTATTTTAAGGAGGTCAATTTTGAAGGCCTATTGACTGGGAAAACCTTAAACTTTTGGAAGTGACTATCGAGAGTTTAGAGGGATAAGTACCCAACTATGAAGATGAGTACCTAGTTCTGTATAGGGTTTCACCCTGGACGTTTTAGAACGGTGTGTCTACTCTGGTTGAGTAGAGGGTCTCTATCCCCTTTAATCACACCAAATCTTTTGGATATTCCATTTCATAAGCATATAGGTCTTCAGAGTCAATAGGCATTTAGATTGTAGGGTGGCCCATTTTAAGAAATATTTGATTTACCTAAACAATAATCTTTAAGGTCACATTGAGGAATTACAAGAAATTAATAGACGCCAAGAAAGTATTGATACAATTGGCTATTTAAATCAACTTGAACAGAAAAATGCTCTTACTTTTGCCGAAAGGTTGAAGCGACAAGAAGAAGAGGACGAAAGAGAAGTTGAAAGGCTTGTAGAAAAAACTGGAGGAAAATATACAAAAAGAATAAAAGAGGAAGATGAAGAAGATTTGTTAAATGGCCCAAGTACAAGTTCTTCAATATTATTAAAAAATGAAGTTGAAAAATTTGTTGGAACAAAGTTGAATAATTTGAAGGAAGAAACTAATTTAAAATCGAATATTAAACCTTCAATGGATTTGGCATACAAAAGAACCTCAAATCAAGCAAATTTATTAAATTCGATTGTAAAAAAGAAGAAAAATAAATAACTTATAAAAATTTTATGAATAAAAAATTTCTTTCTTTTGCCTGTTTTTCAATTTTGTTGAATTTACAATTTTAATTTATTTTTTTAAATTTAATCACGACTCCTTTAAATAATATTATTTTTAGGTCTTTAATTTATAAAAAACAATTCTTAAAGATGATGGATACAAGTGAACCAGTTCAAAACGTTGAGGCAACGAAGACAGGTCGCCGTCGTCCTGGACCAAAACGCGCTCGTCGACTTTATGTTAAAGTATTTTTTATAGCAAACTCTAGTTTAAAACAAAATTCACAGGCAATCTTTACTGGCTACAAACGAGGTCAACGCAATCAATATGAAAACACTTCGCTTCTAAAATTGGATGGAGTGAATGATAAGGTTATTTATAATTCTTGAATCTAGGACTGTCGGTTCGGAAGTTAGCCGGCGGGCTGTGGTCTCTTGGTTCGTTTCTTCGGTCGTTTCCGGACTTCCTATGATTTTCCCAGGCCCGATAAGACTACTTCAATCTTCTAATTTTAAACTTCTTTATTTTGTAGGAGGGGGCAAATTTCTATCTTGGAAAGCGTGCTGTTTACGTCTACAAAGGCCACAAGAAAATTGCTCGTGGTGGTGGACCAAAGACGCGAATTCGTGCAATTTGGGGACGTGTTACTCGCACACATGGAAATTCTGGAATGGTCCGTGCAAAGTTTCGACACAATTTGCCACCAAAAGCTATGGGTAAACGAATCCGTGTAATGCTGTATCCGAGTAATATTTAAAAGAAGAATGGAAAATTGTTAAGTTGTGTTATAATTAAAAATTGATTGATAAGGAAAAGTTGTTTTATTTTAAAGGTGAATAAAAATATTTGTTGTTTTTGGGTGATTTTAGGAATATTTTTGTTGTTGTTACTATGAGGTCTAAGAATATTATATTATTCAACTTCAGCCAGTTCTCCAAAAAATATTGGAAGAACTTTCCCGTTATCTTTCCCTATTTTTTCTCAAAAAATTAATATTGTCAATTTGAGCATCTACTTTTGTTATACAGGCTCTTATTTGCAGCTTTACGAGTTTGGAGAGACTTCCGCTCCTCTAAAGAAATTATTGCACTATTTCACTCTAACTTGTCCATAAGCTTAGGACCCCATAGTTTCTACTGCAACCTTAACTCAAGTTTTGTTGTACTTCAGAATGTTGAGGATATTTAAATTGATCTTTTTTCAGAATATTTACAAGATTGTTAAAAACAAATATTTATAAATTATCATTATCAAGCCCAACTTTAGATGTTTAAATGAAAACTTTTTAAAAAAATTCTAAAATAAAATACACCCCAAAAAGAGGATTATTGTTCATGTCTTACCCCTCACTTATTGAAAGTTTTAGAGTTCTTTCCATGTTCTTCCATAATTTGTTCTCTTGTAAGTCTATATTTCTTATGTAAATGGTCAAATGCCTATAATTTGTAAAAATTTAAAAAAAAATTTTTAACTAGAAAAACCTTTTTATGTATTTCTCCATCATCCATCGAAATCACTGGAGCTATAAAAGCCTAAATAAATTGCACTTTAGCCTCATCAGGTCTATTCATTTGTTCTAATGTCAATCCCATATAGTAATTATTGGCAGAGTAAAAACCAGGCTATAAAAAATCGAAAAATGATTTTAAAATTCAAATAACCTTGATAGCTTCAGCATTTTCAAAATGGCGTAGTGCTTCTACATAAGTACTATTTGGAGGTCTTGAATAAAAAATTCCAGCAAGGAAGCGTTGACTTGTTGAGAGATTCGCAAAAGAATAATGCCAAACACCTAAAAAGAATTGTTTAAAAAATTTAAAAAATAAATTCAAAACCAAGAGAATGCCAAGTAGTCGCGTCCTGTGAATATTAAAAAATTAAAAGAATAAAATTTAAGACAAAAGATTCTAAAATTCTCAATACTCTCCCAGGCCTCAATGCTATTCTTAATCTCTACCGGAAATTTTTTAAATAAATATACCAATGGGTCGAGTTCCAAAGCTCTTTCAAAATGATTGCGAACTTCAACAGCTTTGGACAATTGTGCTTTGTCACCATCAAGTTCAGAAACAATATTGAGTAAAATTGCATACCTTAATAGACAAGAAAAGTTTTTCAATTAAAAATTTAAACAATTTATTTACCATTTATGAGTACCAAAAGATCCTTTAGCTGGTTCACATTTTAGCGCCTTTTCTATAATTTCAAAAGCTTCGCGAAACAGACGATTCTTCTCCTCGACATTTTTGGATTGTTTGCCTTGTTCACAAATAACTCTAGCGAGGCGCCATAGCAATTCAGAATTTTCCGAAGAACGATAACTGAAAAATTAGACTGTCTCTCAAATAAATTATAAAAAAACAGATAAGTATGAAGTTTACTGGTCCAAAGAAAAATCGAGGAAGAAGTGCTTTTCTATATTTTTGAGGTTGCCAGTAGGTAATCGAGTAATCTTAAAGAATATTTGGACCAGAATATTACTTACTGGCAAGCACTTCTTATAAAGCTTCTCTCCCCGTATGTCAACCCCTTCATATTCGATCACTGTCAGAGTACTCTATTACCTAGAGAAAACTTCAAAAATACAGAAAAAACAGTTTTTTTAATCATTTTTCTAGAGACCAATAAACCCCACATTTACAAAAAAAAAGAATTTAAAACAAACCGTCTCAATATTCCATAAGCATTATCAATCAAATAAGCATTGTAAAGTATATCTGCGTCTCTAATTATTTTGTCAACATTTGCGTCATTATTTTCATCATTATCCTTCTTTGATGAAGTAAACCAAGAAATAGAAAGCAAACCAGTTCCACCAAATCCCAGAAAAATGTTTGAAAATTTCCACCGACTCTGTTGTTGTTGTTGTTGATAATATTTGAAGAAAGCAGCTCGAGCAATTGAATGAAATCGAAGTTTGTGAGGAGCAAAATTGTTAAAAAGCAAAAATTTGTGGAAAATACGCATTCTTTTTAAATTCTATGGTCAAAAATTTAAAAAATAAATTTGTGATAACGCACAAGTATCAAATAATTATAAAAGTAAAAAAACTTTGCAAAAATGAATCATAAACATAAAATTAAAATTTAATAAAAATCAGATAACAATAAAAAAAACAAAAATACTTAACGAATATTAACCTCTATTAATCTTCAAATTTTAATTTCCTTCTCTTTTTTGGATTTTTTTCAAAGCTGACGTTCTTCCTCTTTCCATTTGAATTTTCAACTTGAACTTCATTTATTTCTTCAATTTCATCAGTATCAGAAGGCAATATATCACAATTATTTTCTTCTATTTTATTTAATTCAACAAGTAATTTCTTAGCACCTTGCAATGAAGAATTCTAAAAGAAAATGATAAAGACAGAAAAATTTTTGGTTGAGGGAAAATGAAGTCGCAATACCAACCCACAAAAGCTATCGATATACCAAACTGTGGAAACTGGAGACTGGGAAGTTTGAAGAAAAATTGTTCTCCCAACGGGAGGAAGGTTTTTATTTGTTGCTATTACGGCGTCATATCCATGGTTAGATATTTCGGCGGCTTTTGGAGATTTTGGTATATGAATCCAACCGAATTAAAAATCAATTTTCATTAAATTGCTAACCGAGACATCCCCACCCACCCCAAGAAAACTTTAAAAAAACCTTTAAATTATTATTTCCATCCAAAGCCAACTTTAACGTTTTTCTAGCATAATCAGAGCCACTTTCAATAATTTCAATTAAAGTATAACATCCACAATCCATTCCAGTCCAAGATTGTAAATTTTCTCTTTTCAATATTGACATTAAATAAAAACTTAATTTTTCTTCTTCCTTCTCTCTTAATCGATCATTTTTTAAAAGTTTTCGAAAAACAAAACGAGCACAACCACCAGCTATTATATGCAGTGGACGTTCTTTATCTACACAATGTGGAATAAATTCATCTGTAGCAATTTGTGCTATTTCTTTGAAGCAAGCAGATAAATCATTAATGTCGATATTACGTTTAAAAGGTGATGAAGGAGCTAAAAAGATGGAAAAAATTTTTTGTTTAAGTTTAATATTGAATCAAGCCATTGCACCAGCATTTATAAGTAATAGTGGATTCCCCCGAACACCCTATGGTTTTTCGAACAAACCCCAGAGGTGCCACGAACAAATTCCCAAAGGTTCCTCGAAAAACTCCCCGTTGGTTTCTCTGAACAACTCCTAAAATTTTAAAAATAAACCTACAATTAACATCCAAAGTATCCAAAATTAAAACAGCAGAAATTTTGTTTGTTATCATTTCTCGCATATTTGCCTTCATAAATGTAAGTAGAGCTGGTTTGACACACTCAAACAAATTTAAATAACGAGAGGCCTTATCCAATTTAGTATGAGGATTTGAATCACCCTTTAGTAAAGTATTAGAAAAATTATTTTCTTTGAAAAAAACCTGTTGTAAAATATTTTGAAGACTTTTAGCAATTACATGAGGATCACGTGGATGAACCAAATAATAAAGAACAACAACGCCTAAAATTAACAATAAAAACGAATAAATTTAAAAAAAGACCGTGTTTGTCATAAATTAAATCTGCAATATTGTTGGCAATTTCCTTAAAAATAATTTAATTTTCTAAAAATATTAAGAAAAAATCCTTTACCTTAACTATAATTTTATTAACCAAATTTGTATCATCAACACAATCAAATATTCCAAAAAGAACTCTTTGAACAAAATTGTCTTTACACGCCGAAATGGCTAATCCAGTAAAACTTTTAACAATAGATGTTCTTTGTTCCGGAGTAGAATTCCAAACACAAAGTAAAGCAGCGTAAGAACCTAAAATGTTAAAAAAGAGACGAGATAGGACCTTAAAATTATAAAAACGAACCTTCATGTGTGTGACAAATTTCAGGCAAAAAATCCTTAAGACTTTCAATTAAAGAATTTCTCTGTTCATCAGAACAATATCTAAGAAAATCATAGAGTAATTTGTGTGTTATTGAAAGTTTTAACATTGGCACTCTAAAAATGATTAAAAATATCGAAAACTTAACAAAAATTTATACTTTAGAACAGCCCTATCTAACAATTTTTCCAAATTTTGTAAAATCCCAGCAATTTTGTCAGGGGTTTGTGTCGCAATTTCGTCAATAGAGAGCAGAAAAGAATTGTCAAGATTGTCCTAAAATTTATTTAAAAAAATTTCTGAGAGACAAAAAACTTGTAAAATAGCAAATTCAGGTCCATAAAATTCATTGACAAGTTGCCGATATTGTTTAGCATTTCCCCATTCAGAATAAATTTCATTAACCAAAGAAGCAGAAAATAAAGATTTATATAAACGAACATAATTTCCTTTTAGAGATGAAATTATTTGGGTACGCTGCTCTTTTGTACTTAAAAAATAAAAAAATATAAAAGAAAATGTCCTATAAATCTTATTTACTTACTAGAGGTCGGAAATCTAAAATATTGTCTTGATCTTAAGTGAGGACCTTGACCTCGAGCAAGGTTCTAAATCAAAACAAGGTTCTTGACCTTGAGATAAAAAAATCAAAGTCAAGAAAAAATCAAGGAATACTGAAAAACGCCTTGATCTTGACTCTAGCACAAGAAAAATGAAGGTCTGGATCCAACCCAATCTCTAATATCTACTTACCCATATTTAAGCAATTTCAAAACAAGAAATTTTCCAAATTGAGACATTGCCAATTGCACAAATTGAGTCTTCAATTCTTCAAATATTTGATCACATATATCTGAATTTTGCAATTTTAAAAGGCATTGAACCACTCTGGAAGTTGCATGGGAAAATGCTAAAGCTGCAAATTTGCCTTGACACAATTGCATTAATTCTGATATGCAATAAGAACGTTTTTCTTTTGAAACTTTTGTACTAAAAAATGAAAGAAATAAAACAAAAATCAAGAAAAATAAAGTAAAAACCTTCTTATTGTCTCCCACAAAAGTTTTGCCTTCATCATAAGTTCATAATTTGGTTTATTTTTCTTTTCAAGTTCTCGAATAAACTGTTTCCTCTCCTTTTTGGTCATCTTCATAAGCATTTCTTTTGTGGATTGTTTAACTTTTATAACTCTTTTGTGACGGAATTTGTTAGATGTTTTAGAAGGTTGAAGACGTCTCTAAAATTAAAGGGAAAGATATTTATAAGGAACTTAAAGCTAACCTTTCTAATGCTCACATTCCTCTTCCCCTCCAAGTTATTCAATTCTTCTCCATCTTTATTATCCAAAATATCATTTTCCAGAAAATCTGAACTTTTTTCTTTGATTTGTAAACATCCATTAGCATTTGCAAGCACTTTCTTCTTCAAAATCCCTTTCTTGGGTTTTGGGACCAATTGTCCATTCGCAGACAAATCTTCATCTTTCGCTTGTTTTTCGGTAGATTCAACGTTTTTCGAAAAAGAAACACGCTTTCGCTTCTTCACGGTTTCAGTGTCATCTGAAGAAGGGCGTTTAATACCCCTGATGGCCATCAGTGTTATAAAACTCGAAGAAAATTTAAAAAGAAATCGCCTATGAGATAAAAATTGCATTTAACACTATACAAAACAAAATTCAAGTTCAACAAATAACATTTTTATCTTTCATTTAAATAAGCAACAGTAGTTTATACTTAAAGAAAATTTTTGTCTCTTAACAATCATAGAAAAATTCTCTTCAGAAATCCATCCATTTTCTCCCTCTCAATCCAATTTCTTAAATCCAATATCAGCGGAATACTCACGGAAACAGCGACGACAAATGTTTAATGAATACTTGCGGATCAGTCTTAAGAAAATAATTCGTAAAATTTTTCAAAATAAAAATTCAAACCCATGATGATTTGAACAAACTCGGCAAGAGCGAGAGCCTGGACCATACTTGCGTGGACGAGACCAATGAATATTTTCGTGAACCATGACGATTTAAACGTTGAATTAGCAATTAACTGATTTTACTAAAAACAAAAAAATTAAATTACACGACTTGATAAATTTAAAAAAACTGAAAAAACTGAAACAAGAATCCGAAGGAACTGAACCGGACGGACTACTTGGTCGCGGCCCATTTGGTCACATTGACATTTGGTCATTATGTAATTTGGTCGCAATGACATTTTATCGCAGTGACATTTGGACACACCGACATTTTGTCGCGGCCATTTTGTCGCAAACCTTTAATGTTAAATTTGGACAGAAGTGGCACGAAACTTGGCCTTCGAGATTAAGTGTCGAGGCTAACGCCTAAAGAAAAATTTTTTTCCAGAAAATTTCCTTGGCAAAATTATAATTTTAGATTTTTATTGAAATAAACTATTCTCTATTATGGAAAATGTTGATCAAATGATTCTTGATTCGTTTGCAAATGAATTAAATTGGTATGAATTTTTCTAAATTTTTTTAAAAAATCCTTTTCAGTTCTTTTTCAACCAACAAAGAATTTCAAAATTTGTCAGATTTGGGGCCAAATCAAATCATTGAAGGAGTAATTCGCTGCCTTTGGAAATGCAATCCTAGTACAATAACAACTATTCCAAGTTATAAAATGCCTGGGAATGCTGTAGATCGATTCAAAATTGCTACAAAAATAGCTCAAGAAATTAAGGTTTCTTTAAAAAAATTTTTAAAAATATTTTTTTAATTTAGTCGCTTGGAATTAATGATTCACAAATTGGTTATCAAACACTTTTATATCCAAATGTTTTTGAGAGCAGACGTATTTTTCTTGCATTATTCGAACGATTGCCAAAAGAGAAGGTTGTGGTTGATGAAATGAAACGAAGTAAGTTTTTGAAGGATTTATTGTCCTATTTTTTATAATTTTTTATGTCGTTTTCTTTTCCCATCCAATTTTCTTTTATGATTCTGATTGTGAGTGTTAAAGATAGTAGGAAGACTAAATGATTAAGTAATATTATAGGAAATACATAAATTCACCTTTCAAGTGAATTTATGAAGAGAAATATTCTAACTATTATTTACTTAGGAAAAATGCTGTGTATGGGAGGGAAACAACATAGGTACCGATATTCGCTTGTTAAAATTCATTTCAAACTTTTAGTCTAATCTTTTCTCTCCTATTTCACAGACAAATCACAAGCCGGATCCCTTAAATTAAAAAATTATTTAATTTCTTTTTTAGCCCCATTGGAGCAGTTAAAATTTAATGTTGGTGAAGTTATTGCTAAACAACTATCAGAACATTGGACACCCGAATTTTGTCGATTTTATGACCTTAAAAGGATTGGAAGGTTTTGGCATACACGAGGAGAGGATACTTTTGGAAGGAATGAAGAAAAATTTAAAGAAGGAAATATAGAAAAAGAAGAAAAATCTGTTTTGGAGAATTTGGAACAACCAAAAATTGGGTAAATTTTTTAATCTGAAATTTCTTTAAAGTTTTATTTTAAATTTTAGAGAGAAACCAAAATTGCCTCCAAAACCTAAATTAGCCGCCAAACCTACTATTAGCGACGAACAAAAAGAAATATTATTGTCAGCAACTCCATCAACTTCTCAACTTTCTACTGGTATAGAAGATTTGGCTGAACAAATTTCTTCTAAACGTTCGAATTTATTGGAAAGTCAAGATGTTCTTTTGAGTGTATTTAAAAATTAAAAAATAGTTTTAATTAAAAAAATTTTTAGCTTCAACAACAAATTGCTCAACTAACCGAGCAAATCCAAAATAAACAAGAAACTACGAACTTAAACGATAAACGACTTTTAGCTCTTTTGGAAGGAGGGGATGCCGAGGAGAACTTGGAAAAATTGAGGGTATATAAATATTTTGTTTTATAAATTCCGGAAGCTGTTTTTAAGAGTTTTGTAGCAACAGCAGAAGAACGACGTTTAGCATTGGAAGAAAAATTTATGGAAGCAAAAGCTGAACTTCTTGAACGATTAGAAAGTGCTAAAAGTGTTACAAAAGACAATTATCCCGAATCTTATGATCGAAATATTATTAATGAACTTGAGGAAGAATTTGAAAGAAAGAAAAGAATTCAGGCAAAATTGGTATGATTTTTTGAAATTTTTTAAATTTATTCTTTTTATAGTTAAAAGAATTACAAAAATCCTCAACATCAGAAAATAATGGAATTAAATCGGAAAATCGTAAAAAGATGTTAGATAAAATTTTGGAGATTAATGCAATGGTTGTTAAACAAAATGAGCAAATAAGAAAGGTTTTTTTTAATTTTTGGATACATTCCACCTTCCCTTAGTTTGCCAGTCTTCATTAAGATGTACATAATGGTCGGACTTTCTTTCTTTTACACAGGGAAATTGAGGAAGGAAGTCTGACCCTCATGTTAACCTGAAGAAGCTCTGAGATTCAAACTACGGAGGAGGGGTGGGGGCGGAATATTCAAAAGAACCCGTTTTTAAAATTATTTTTTAAATTCTTTTTTAGACAGCCTCATCCGTTCAACAAATTCGCCGAGAAATAGTTCAACTTGATGGAATACTTGATCGAACATTTACTGCTGTAGACAGATGGATTGGTGCAAGTGGAAATGTTTATAATAGTGGAATATCCTCTTCAATGACTTTAACACAAAAAGAAAATAAACAAATGGTTATAATTAGAAGACAAAGAGCTTATAAATTGCTTGGTAATTTTAAAATTTAATGAAGAATTAATTAGGGATGTTTGTATAAACGCAGAAGAACAAAAGATCCCCACAACTTTTTAGTTCTCTTTTATTGTGCATATATTTTGCCATGAGGACAAATTGTTTCAATAACTGGGAAGGGTTCTAACATTAAGAAAAGCCCTATATCTCATCCCAAAATTACTCTAACAATTTGGAAGCTTATCTCTATGTTGTCTATCACTACGTCAATTTAAATAAAAATTTCTTTTTCAGTAAAAACTCATGAACAATGTGCCCTCATTACCAGTGCAATACAAACCCAAGGAGAAATGGAATGCCAATTAGATGAATTGACTAATAAAATAGAAATGGAAACTCAAAAAGGAGTAGATGGGCAACTTGAAAGATTATTAGATGATTTAATGGTTATTCGTGCAGAGAATAGGGAATTGGAAAGAAGAACAGAAAATGAAGAAGAGGAAGAAAATGGAGATGAACAGGAAGAAAAAGGTGTTTAAATATAAAATATGGTCGGATCTCATTATTAGTACCCTCTCTCGATTAGATATCCTCGAACTTTAGAATCCTTATCTAACATCAGTGGGTGGGTGGCCAACTCCCTTCTCTCCCTGTTTAATATATCGGTATCTTATAATGAGATTCTACTGTTCTTATAATTTATAATAATATAGAATATTTAATATTTATTTACTAAAATTTTCTTATCTTTCTGGGAAATTTAAATGTTCCGGGAAGATTATTTTTGTATATTAAATGTTCCTTGTTATGTTATTGGAGTTATCGGCTCTCCACTAGGTGCAACTCTCGCCCCTTTTTGAGAACTTTGTTGTATTCTATTAGCACTTTGTGACATTACAAGTGTTGTGTCACTCGCTATAGATCCTGCATTAGTCAGCAAATTTATCCATTTTCTCCAAAAATCATCGATCATTTTCTTTCTAAGTTTGTCACTAGCCCAAAAAAGAAGCCAACTTGGCACTATCACAGACCCGCGAGATTGGGTATAAATGGCATTAAGATCAAATCCTTGTGTGTTAGCTATTAAGAATATTATAACCTGAAATTTTTGAATATTTTCAATTTTCCCTTTAAGTCCTACTTGATTAAGGGCCAAAACAACATGTCCTAAAAATGTAAGAATTGCATAGAGTAGCAATTTAAACTCCACTCTTTCATGATTTATTTGTTGAGTACTTTTAGTTGCTACACTTCTGATTCTTTGACGTCTATAGGAGACGAAGGTGCCAATATTTATGATAAAACAAATTATCATAAAAATAACACAGAAGCTAAAGTTTAGTGGAAAAGCGTCGTAGATTGGCTATAAAAAATAAAATTTTTGTGGGAGGATTCATTTATTTCTATCCTATCGGACATCTCTGATCGGGAGGACTTACATTAAATCCTTGTGCAAGATAAAAAGCAAATTTAGTTGGATCACTTGTATCATTTTTTAAATAACTTTTAATTGTAAGAACTTGTGCATACAATAAAGTGGGAATCCCATAAATTATTATAGCTGATGGAAGTAACAATTTCTTCCAAAGCTGAAAGTTTTTAAAAATTTTTAAAGAAATCTGGGTTTTAATGTGCTAACCCTATCATATTTCAATGCCATTTCTACAGCTGTCCAACGATTTATAAGAATAATAATTGTTGCCAAAAAATCAGACATCATCGTATAGTAGGTTATAAAGAAGGATATACGAAACATCCATTCGGGCAAGTTGGAGTAAAAAGGATAAAGCCAAGATCCAAAAAGGATTGTAAGTCGATTAGCATAGTAGGTGTCAAACGAGTAAATAATGTTCTGAAAGATCAACAGGTGAAAGCTACTAATTTGGTGAAAGGAAAATGCTTAGGTGAGGGGTTTAATTCTACTCGAGAAATTAGAAGCTCAGTAAGTAGGGCATTTAAACGTGGTGTTAGCAAAGCTCCTAGTAAAATATGTCAGTTCTTCCCGTCTGCTTGCTGAAATTTTTCTTAACTCGTACTGGAATAAAGAACAGAAAATAATAATTTGTAAATGTTTACCGGAATCGCACGTATTAAAACAAGTTTGAAGAACGGATTGTGAAACTGTTTATGTCGTAAAATTGTAATTATTTCAATAATGTAGAGGATTAATGATGGAATATTGGCGGCTATGGATAAGTAAAGAAATTGTTTACTTAGAGAAGAAAGCCAATCAAATATACCCATTTTTTAAAAATTTTCTTTGAATTTTCTAGAATTTTTTTTGCAAAAATTTTTATAATTTAACAAGAGTAAAATCTAAAATTGGCTAAAAATGTTCGTAGATTACATAAGAATGGCAATTTTAAATATTTTTAGCTCATAGCTTAATAATTTTAAAAGTAACATTTAAAATAAATTTAATTTCAATGTCTGTGTTTGATAATTAAATTACAGAATGCATAAGTATAATTTTTATTTTTTTCTTATTTAATTATGGGACAAGTACACATTAACAACAGGTGCATTTAAAATAAATTAAATTTAAATATTTAATTTAAATGTTTAATTTAAAAATCAAATTTGAATTAAAAAATTTTTTTTTAAATATTTTTGAAAATTTAAAAGAATCGTAAAGCATACATATAACTATTTAATCCCTAAAGCTATGTAGGGGGCGGTGTGGTGTAATAGAGATAACGGATCAGTCCGGTCAACTGAAGATGCTGGTTCGCTCCCAGCCGCCGAATAACCTTTTGCACCAGCTGAAGGAGAGAAATAGTTTTACCTAATATACGATCTTTTTGACTAAATTAAAATGAAATTTAAATTTTTTCTGCGTTCGTAGGTTTAAATACGTTTGTAAATCTGCACTTATGGAAATAAATAAGATAAGACGTTAACAATAATAAGACATTTGATTATCTATATATAATAGTAAAAAGGCACTCAGCTAAAAAAAAGTCCCCAGAGCTTTTGAGTGGGTGTATCGGGGTGGGGTTTTTTGCTATAGATGCGCAATACAATGTAGTTTTCAGGAAAAATCCGAAAAGTGGGGGGAAAGGGGCGAGTTTTTTAGATATTTCGAAAAAACATGAATTTTCGAATCTTTGAAGTGAAATTTGTGATGAAAGATGAAGTCGGGGAAAGTTGGGTCAGTTACAAGGTATCATCTTCAGAACATTTGGAATATGATAGAAAAAAAGTTGGAGTCGTTCTGACAACGGGAAGGGTAGATGTGCTGAAGACAAACTTTTATGTCAAAGTGGTAACTTTGGATTTAAGGTATTTATCGACGAGTTAGAAAAAAGTCGTTGGGAGTAAAGTTGTAGAGCGTGGTGGGTTTCTTAAGAAAAAAGTTGGTTTCACCTTGATTGGATTAACAGAAAAAAAGATATGGAGTAAAAATTGAAATTTTGAGGAGGTTGCATAGAAGTAACCTTAACTATGTTTTATTTCAGAGTTAGACGAAAATTGTTGGGAGATGAAAGATAGAGAATTAAATTCTGCATCGAATAAGCTTTGTTTTATGTTAATTTAACTTTTTTGCACCGAGTTATGAATTTTTTAAGAAATTAAAATTTTGGGAAAAAATTTTTAAATTTGACGATCTAGACCGTCCGATCTGGAAAGTTAAGCAACGGTGAGGCGTTTTTTGTAACTTTTGAAGTAGTTATCGGAAAAATATGAATGAGGTGTCATTCGACGCGGAAAAATCAGGCGAATTTTTTAAAAATATTTTCGAAGGGGTCACTTGAGTCTGAGTGTGGTACATTTGAGTCTGAAGGCTAAAATCAGTGGAAGTTAATTTAAAAAATTCTAAAAATTAATGTGAATATTAAAAAATAACTTTTTAAGAAAAAGGACACTTGAGTCTCATTTTTAAATTTGAGTCTGGGACTGAAAATTTTGTAAAAATGCTAATTTTCAATACTTTTCTGAAAAATAATTTTAATGTTATTCGCGATGCCTTGAACGCGTTACCGGAGGCAACCGCCAGATTTAAAATTATTTTTTGAAGAAATCGGAACGCGTTGCAGAAACCGCGTTGCCGGAGGCAACCGCCAGAAATTAAAAATATTTTTTAAGAAACGGAACGCGCTGCAGAAAACGCGTTGCCGGAGGCAACCGCCAGACTTTAAAATTTTTTGAAGAAATCGGAACGTGTTGCAGAAACCGCGTTGCCGGAGGCAACCGCCAGACTTTAAAATTATTTTTTGAAGAAATCGGAACGCGTTGCAGAAACCGCGTTGCCGGAGGCAACCGCCAGAAATTAAATATTTTTTAAGAAACGGAACGCGCTGCAGAAAACGCGTTGCCGGAGGCAACCGCCAGACTTTAAAATTTTTTGAAGAAATCGGAACGTGTTGCAGAAACCGCGTTGCCGGAGGCAACCGCAAGACTTTAAAATTATTTTTTGAAGAAATCGGAACGCGTTGCAGAAACCGCGTTGCCGGAGGCAACCGCCAGAAATTAAAAATATTTTTTAAGAAACGGAACGCGCTGCAGAAAACGCGTTGCCGGAGGCAACCGCCAGACTTTAAAATTTTTTGAAGAAATCGGAACGTGTTGCAGAAACCGCGTTGCCGGAGGCAACCGCCAGACTTTAAAATTATTTTTTGAAGAAATCGGAACGCGTTGCAGAAACCGCGTTGCCGGAGGCAACCGCCAGAAATTAAAAATATTTTTTAAGAAACGGAACGCGCTGCAGAAAACGCGTTGCCGGAGGCAACCGCCAGACTTTAAAATTTTTTGAAGAAATCGGAACGTGTTGCAGAAACCGCGTTGCCGGAGGCAACCGCCAGAAATTAAAAATATTTTTTAAGAAACGGAACGCGCTGCAGAAAACGCGTTGCCGGAGGCAACCGCCAGACTTTAAAATTATTTTTTTAAATACGGAACGCGTTGCAGAAAAAGCGTTGCCGGAGGCAACCGCCAGAATTGAAATATTTTTTTAATTCGAAACGCGTTGCAGAAAACATGCGGGCCGAAGGCCCGCATGTCGATTTTATGCTTAATTTTAAAATTTTATAACTTTTGAAGTATTAGTCGTAGAAAGATGGTTGAGGTGTCATTCGATGGGGAATTGAATGAGGAGTTGAATGAAAATATTTTTAAAAGTGTCACTTTAGTCTGAGGGTTGGACATTTGAGTCTGAAGTTTTCAAATATGGGAAATTAAGCCAAATTGAATTTTTTAATTGTAATAACGCTGGAGTCAGCCTTAATACCCAAAAGCTATTAAAACTACTCAGCAATTCGCGCCGAACGCTGGTTATCTATATATAATAGTAAAAGGGCAGTCAGCTAAAAAAAAGTCCTTCAGACTTTTGAGAAGTCGTAGAGGGGTGGGGTTTTTTGCTATAGATGGGAAATTTAATGTAGTTTTCAGGAAAAATCCGAAAAGTGGGGGGAAAGGGGCGAGTTTTTTAGATATTTCGAAAAAACATGAATTTTCGAATCTTTGAAGTGAAATTTGAGATGAAAGATGAAGTCGGGGAAAGTTGGGTCAGTTACAAGGTATCATCTTCAGAACATTTGGAATATGATAGAAAAAAAGTTGGAGTCGTTCGGACAACGGGAAGGGTAGATGTGCTGAAGACAAACTTTTATGTCAAAGTGGTAACTTTGGATTTAAGGTATTTAGAGGAATGGGAGCAAAAAGTCGTTGGGAGAAAAGTTGTAGAGCGTGGTGGATTTCTTAAGAAAAAAGTTTGTTTCAAGTTGATTTGATTAACAGAAAAAAAGATATGGAGTAAAAAGTGCGTTTTTGAGGAAGTTGCATATAAGTGACCTTAACTATATTTTGTTTTGGAGTAAGAAGAAGAGTGTTGGGAGATGAAAGATAGAGAATTAAATTCTGTATCGAATAAGCTTTGTTTTATGATTTTACGACTTTTTAAGACAAAGCTATGAATTTTTAAAGAAGTAAAAATTTTGGGGAAAATTTTTTTAATTTGACGCTCTAGACCGTCCGATCTGGAAAGTTAAGCAACGCTGAGCCGTTTTTTGTAACTTTTGAAGTAATTGTCAGAAAAATATGATTAAGGTGTCATTCGAAAGGGAAAAATAAATGGAATTTTTTGAGAATATTTTTGAAGGGGTCACTTGAGTCTGAGGGTGTGATATTTGAGTCTGAGGGCTAAAATCAGTGGAAATGAATTTAAAAAATTCTAAAAATAAATGTGAATATTATAAAATAAATTTTTAAGAAAAAGGACACTTGAGTCTCATTTTTAACTTTCAGTCTGGGACTGAAAAATTTTATAAAATTATTTAATTTTACAAATTTTTGAAATAAAATATAAAAGTTGTAACGCGTTACATAAAACGCGTTGCCGGAGCTTTAAAATTATTTTTTTAATTCGTAACGCGTTGCCATAAACGCGTTGCCGGAGGCAACCGCCAGAATAATAATTATTCTTTTTTAATTCGGAACGCGCCGCAGAAAACACGTTGCCGGAGGCAACCGCCAGAACATAAAAATATTCTAAAAAAAATACGGAACGCGTTGCAAAAAACGCGTTGCCGGAGGCAACCGCCAGAATTAAAAATTATTTTTTAAAAATTCGGAACGCGTTACATAAAACGCGTTGCCGGAGCTTTAAAATTATTTTTTTAATTCGTAACGCGTTGCCATAAACGCGTTGCCGGAGGCAACCGCCAGAAATAAAAATTATTTTTGAAAAATCGGAACGCGTTGCCGGAGGCAACCGCCGGAAATTAAAATTATTTTTTTAAAAATTCGAAACGCGTTGCATAAAACGCGTTGCCGGAGGCAACCGCCAGAAATAAAAATTATTTTATGAAAAAATCGGAACGCGTTGCAGAAAACATGCGGGCCGAAGGCCCGCATGTTTTTTATGACCTAAATGTAAAAATTTATAACTTTTGAAGTATTAGTCATAGAAAAATGGTTGAGGTGTCGTTCGATGGGGAATTGAATGAGGAGTTTAATGAGAATATTTTCAAAGGTGTCACTTGAGTCTAAGAATGGACATTTGAGTCTTAAGTTTTCAAATATTGGGAAATTAACGGAAATTGGTTTATTTTGATTGTAATAACGCTGGAGTCAGCCTTTATACCCAAAAGCTATTAAAACTACTCAGCTATTCGCGCCGAACGCTGGTTAATCAACCATATAAAATTAACATTTTTAAAAAGTTTACTTCCTTTATACAAAGTCTTTTTTGTTTTAAAAGTATACATTATAATTAATATTTAGTTAAAAATAAGTGGGGGAAATTGCGCTTTTCATTTAAGCATGAAAATTATCAAATAAGTTTAATATGTCACGAAAAGTGTTCACAAATGTACTTATTGTTAGTTTTTTAAAAGTTACTAATTAGAATAAAAATGCAATTTTCATAAATATTTTTGTTGAAAAGTTCATTAAAAATTATTTACGGTGAATTTTTGCGATGTATTACCATAGTAAAATTTTAATTACCCTTATTTTTGTGTCCAAATGTCGTGTGTCCTTTTGTCTTAAAATCATTTGTCCCAAATGTCTTTTGTCGTTTTGACCAAAATGTCCACTTCCCTATTGTCGTAAAATCCTATTGTTGCACTGGATATCAAATCCCGGCATTTTATTAAAGTTATATCTGACGTTGTTTATCTTGTACATTGTTACTTGATTATTTTTATTTCTTAGATATTTAAATGGATTTGAATCAAAAACAACAATTATTTACATCAAAAACTATTTTGGCACCAATGGTAAAGGCTGGAAGAACACCTCTACGCATTCTTGCATTAGAATATGGAGCTGATCTTGTTTATACTGAGGTATTTTTTAGATAATATTTGTTAAACTGATTGAGAGGTTGGGCTGGGTAGTTAAGTGAAAATTTCGTGTTTTGAGGGGTTATGGGTTCGAACTCGTTTGGGTGTCAATATTTTTTAAAATAAGTTTTTTTGTTTTTAATTATTTTTTGAACTTTTAAGACTTGTTTTAGATTTGTTTTTAAGGAAATTGTTGATCAACGACTTCTAAGCTGCAAACGGATCGAAAATGGTTAGAAAATAGATAAATTTTGTGTTTAATTTTTTTTTGAATTTTTAGAGTCCCTTGATACAATTGATTATATGAATGGCGATGATGTTGTTTTAAGAATTGCTGCAGTTGAAAAAGAAAAATGTGTTTTACAAATTGTAAGGTTTTTATTTTTTTTTAAATTCAAGAAATTTCAGGGTTCAAATTCTCCAGAAAATGCTGCTGAAATTTGTCGTCGATTTTCTAGTGAATGTATGGCAATTGATTTAAATATGGGATGTCCAAAACCTTTTTCTGTTCATTCTGGAATGGGTGCTGCTTTGTTGAGTGATCCTGTTAGAGCTAAAGAGGTTTTAATAATTATAGTTTTGCCCTGTAAACATTTTTGGAAAACATTTATTGTTAGGACAGTTTTCTGGGGCATTTTAAAGGCTAAAATTTTGGATTTTTCCGGTAAATTCCAAAATTTCTGAAATTAATCTCCGGAAGATATAAAATTGTTTAACCCTCCTAACTATCCAAAATTCTCTTCAAATCTTTTTTTATTTAATTTTGTCTTGTTAAGATTTTAACTGCAATGGTTGCTGCTGCTCCTTCTATACCTATTACTTGCAAAATTCGTCTATTAGATTCGGTATGGTTATTTTTATTCTTAACTTAATTTTTATGAGTCGAGCTGGATCTAACTCTTGACTTTGATTTTTCCTGAATCCAAAGTCAAGATCAAGGCATTTTTTTAGAGCTTCTTGATTTTTCCTGACCTTGATTTGGTCAAGGACCTTCCTAACTTAAAATCAAAGTCAAGCTTTTTAAAAAATATCGATCTCTATTAATTTCTGTTTATTTTTCAAAACTTATTTTTAAGCCTGACAAAACTATGGAATTCGTCAAAATGCTCGAAAGTTGTGGTCTTTCAGCAATTGCTATTCATGGCCGTCAACGCAATGAACGCCCAAATAATGAATGTCGTTATAATGAATTGAGGGATATTTCTCGTTATTGTTCAACTCCAGTAATTGCAAATGGAGGCTCTTCAGATATTCAAACATTTAAAAATATTGAAGAATTCAAAGAATTAACAGAAGCAAAAAGTGTAATGATTGCAAGGTCAGCATTTACAAATCCTTCAATATTTTGTGAAAATGGATTGAATTCAATGCCTGTTGAAATTTCAAAATTTTTAGAAAAGGTTTCTATTTTAATTTTTAAAATTTATTTTTTAATGTTTTAGGCCAGCCAATTTGACGAGAACTATACTGCTGCAAAATATGTTGTGCAAAGGATATTGGGCAGCCAACAAGTAATTTAAATTTTAATAAGAATTCTAAAAAATTTTAATCAGAAGTTATTGAAGGATTTTCGATCGCTAAACGTAGAAATAATTTCCCTTGACTTGAGAGTGTTCGAATTAGGGATGGAACGGTCTACTCGAATGTTCTTGTGACCCGAAACTCGGTCCTAAGTAAATTTTCAATTATTTCGAAACTTCGAAACCCTACATTTTTCTCAACCTACCTTTTTCCTACCTTTTTCTCAACCAGTCATTTACACTCCTAACCTCTTTCGCAACAAAATTAACTTTTCTCAGGAATTTGATCCAAAAGGAAAGGCTACAGTTAATGCATCAACTCTAAATGAAATCTGCTCGATTTGGGGAGTTACTGATCAAAGGAAAAGTATACACGAACAACAATTACCCCAAGAAAATCAAATTGAAGTTATTGAAAAAGTTGGTGGTGGATTAATTACTTTTGTTCTTTTGAATGATGTTTGGATGGCAAATTTGAGTTTTGCTCCGTTAGTCGATTTTATTATTATTTTTTAGAATTGGTAAATTGATTATTTAATTGGGTGATTAATTGTGAGAGGAAAAGGAACAAGGGAAATTTTAAAATTTGTTTTTAATCATTTGGGATCAAATGTTATCTTTATAGGTAGAATTCGAAATCTACTCTATAGAGTGCGGCAAAATCGCATCGGGGATTGCATATCGGGGGGGGGGGGGTATTTCTTCTCTCTCTTCGAACAGAACCGGTCCTGCAGGATTAATCCCTTACGGGATTCCGTCCGTGCCGCGTTCTAATTTCCTCCCTAAAAATTTTTTACAGAAAATTTTTAATATGAATAAAATTACTAATCCTCTCAATTTTCAGCGCTAGACTAAAACGAGGAGTTGAAGGCGCATCAACACCCAAATGCATTCTGCACAATTATTGTCGAGAGAAGTTACTAGCAGAGCCTTTATATAATTCGGTTTTTTTTTAGTTTTAAAAATTAAAAAAAAAATTCAATAATTTAGACAAAAAGAATAGAAGATGGACGTTTTACAGCAATTTGTTCTGTGGCAAATAAAAAATTTTCTTCTCCAATATCGCAACCAAATATTCGAATGGCCGAACAGGTATTTTAATTTTTGACTTACTAGTAGGTTTTTACCCCCTGAATTTTTCTCATTCATTTTTTCTTAAGGTCTCAGCATTAGTCGCACTTTATGGTCTAAAAAGTAGGCATAAATTAAAGGGGAATTGGGAAGATTAAAAAATTTTTGAAAAATATTCTTTTGGAAATTTTTGTTGATTTTTTACTGTTTTCGTCCTTTTCGTCTTTTTGTACATCCAAAAAATTTTTAAAAATTTTCATAAAAATATTCTTTAAAAAGGGTTCTTTTTTATTGTTTTTTGGCATTCAAAGAATTCCTCCTTAATATCAATTTTCGGTATATTCTTTCTCTTAAATGCGTTAAAAAGGATTAATAAATCCCATTAAGTGAGTTATAAAAATATATCTCTTTCTTTCCTTCCTTCCTCTTTTTATCTTTAAAGCGCTAAAAGAAAATGTTTTTTAAAAAGGGAAAAAGGTTTTATGGATGTTTTGGGGGGTTTTTTATAATAGAATTATTACGCAACATAAATGGGATGATGTGGAGATGAGCGGTAGGAATACTAAAAATAAATTTAATATAAATTATTTTGAGGAGGCTACAGTGAAGGCCTACACTTTGGAGACCTACACCTTTTGGAAGGGAATATCTAGGGATTTGGAGGGATTAAGGGGATATCTATAAATTTAGTGTGATCGAAAGGGATAAGGATATCTATTCAATCAGAGTTATGGTACACATATTATACCGCTCTTGAATACCAACCCCCAATATTCCCTTTCATCTCTCAATAACCCCCTTCAAAATTTGTAGATCTTTATGGTCAATAAATACATTCAAAAACTCTTTAAAAACATTTTCCGGAAGATTTATGGTTTATATAAACATAAAATATATTTTTTATCCTTTCTCTTTAAATACATGCACACACATTTTTTACGCTTTAATCTATCAGACAACAACTTTTCATTTATCCTATAAAAGTAATTAATTTTATACCTCTCTCTTTAAAAATATATAGCCCTAAAAAATTTGTTTCTCCTTCATTTTTTCTGTTGTTGTTCATCGTCTCGCTTCACTTACAGGCGTTTGTTGGTTCCTTTCCACCAAAATTTTGTTTGGTAAAAAGGGGAGAGCCGCCAATTCCCTTCCCTCTACCAACCAACAACAATATCGGCAGCAGTCCAATCGGCGTCTTTTGTTGCAATTTACAAAAAATGAATGCGTGATTAATGTTGAGAAAGGGCGGAGAAATGGAGGGGAGGGAAGGGGTTTTTAAAGTATTTTTTTATATCGGCTGTTATATTGTTGCTCTGCCGATATTTGATAAATGGAGAAAGGAGGGGGAAAGGTGGCGGTAAAAGTGTGGATTGAGAATTATGAAAAAATTGAGTATTTAGGGTTTTCCGTTTACTTTTTTGTAGGAATGGTATGAATGGTAGGAGGAGACTAGTTTGAAAAAAGGTACTTTCTGTTAAATCCCGAAATTCTTTAGCTTTACTTTAGCTAGTAGCTGGTTCCAAAGTCCTTCAAATTATTATTTTTCGATTCCTCACGGGGGGTCTAGGTCGAATGGAACCACTCTCTAGTGTCGGAAATGCCTACGGACGGAGATAATGGTCCCCGCAAATTGAAAACTTATAGGTGCTCGTTTTTAGGGTCAAAATTTGATTATACAAACTTAACGTTTAAAACCTTTAAAGCCTCATTAAAACTGGAATTTTGGTCATAAAAAATAATTTTATGTGGCCCTAGTCTAACCTTATTTTTTTACACACTTATTTTAACACCAATAAAAACTATACACTCATATATTTTTAGCACCGGATATATTCTTTAATTTTTATTATTTTTTCCTTCCGCCCCTTGACAAGAAATCAACTATTAAATAAAAAATAGAAAGATGACAATAAATGAATTTTTTGGGTAAATTTTTTGTAATAAATAAACGGAAGTATTTATTCTTTCTATTTTTGATCACTTTTTTATTTTTTCTTTTTTTTCACCATTTTTTGAACAAATGCCAGCTTTTAAATTAATCGTTTCTTAAGGGCATTATTGATACTCTCATTCATATTTCAGTGATTTCTTTTCATTCATAATTTCATTCACTCTATTTTTTTACCTAGGAACGATTCTTATTCACCGTATATGGCAGGGATTTACGAAGTCACATCCCTGGTATATGCCCAAAATTTTTTTAAAAAAATTTCTCGTCATTTTTAGGAGGGTACATATCTTGTCTTTTCACCGTATATCCTCCCAAAAAATTGTTTTTTAATTTTTCGTCATTTTTTAGGAATATTTTTTTCCCAATTTCCCCCCTCAAATTATTTTTAAACAATTTTCACATTCAAAAAAAAATTTTTTATTACTTTTTCCGTCCTTAAATGTTGCAATATTTTATTTATGTTTATTCCAATACAAATTAAAAACCATTTTTTCCTTTAAAAATATTTTTATAGGTTTTAAATTTTAATTAATTTTAAATCTTTAATTTTTCTATTAGACCTATATTTCATTTGTTTTTTAAACATTTCCGGTGCTTTTAAACTTTAAATTAATTTTTTGAAAATATTCCATACACAGACCTTTTTTGGAGATTATTTAAAGAAAATTTTAAATTTTATTTTTCCATAAATTTCTAAATTTTAATTTTTTACCTCTTTATTTTCATTAATTTTTTCTTGTTTACTCTATAAGATTAGGGATACCGTATTTGAGTCGAGCTGATGTTCAAGGCATTGTTCGGGCTTAATTTTATCTAGTCGGGCCATTACGAGATACTTATGGGCCTTATTTCATCCGTAAAAGGTTTCAGTTAGGGTTATCACCAGTCCCACCAAACCTCCTACTTCTACATATCTCTTCTCTAAAATTGGATAAAACTAAAAGAAAGCCTATCCCAAAAGGACAGTATAAAAACACAAACACACACAAAAGTGCCAAAACAATAAATAAATTTGACCGCCACCGTCATCAATCTTTTATGGCAAAAAAAAAAAGAAAATTTTGGCACTTTTACTCCTTATATTTAATTTTTTCCCTTTCATTTGGACATCTGCTATAAGAAAACTATTAATTCTATTTTACTATATACAAACTCAATTTATTTGTATATCCCTCTAAGTTTAATATCTTTTGTTGGCATCAGTGAAAAGAAAGGAGACTTTTAAATTTATGACAATGATTAATGATTAAAACAAATAAATTGGGAATATTTTTGGGTATTTTTGGGGTGTATATCTACATTCGGATCTTTATTCGAATCTTTGTAAATTTATTCTAGCCATTCCCTTATAGGCCAGAATCTAAATATTATTTTTAATTGACCCAATAATGATCTGAATCAGCAAAAAAATTTCCAATCCTATCTTTAGCTTCTTTTTTCATTTCTAAATTTTTTATTTCCTTCCAACATTTAAATATTCATTTTATTTCCCAATCAAAGTCCCCCATACCTCATTTTATATTGGTGACTGTCCATCCATAAATTTTATTTTTCCTATTTACCTTTCCCACCTAAAAATCATTCCTGTTGGAAGCACCTTAAAGTGTGTGTATTTTATGTTTGCTTTAAAAATTAGCATTTTTACCATCTTATGAATATTCAAAATCCTTTTGAGCAGGTTTTCTAAAAAGTTCTTTCAAAAATAAAAAACCTTTAAATGCCCTTATAAGTGTCCTTATTTCCTTAAAATTCTTTAAATAATCTTTACGTCCTTTTGATTCTCCTCAAAAATTTTCTTTTTTACATATTACCGCCAAGGAATGTCATTCAAGGCTCATCCAACCAACACCTTCCTTGTCATTGTTAAAGGCGTCAATCGACAAAAAACTGCAAACAAATTTTTTCCCCCAAAAAACAACAGTCATCCTCCCCTCTGTCACAATCCTTCAACCCCCTCATACAAAATTCCTTCCTTTCCCCCCATCATTGTTCACATTTTTAGTAAAAGCCTCGACACTTTTCTCACATTAATCAAATTCATTTTGCCGCCACCGCCCCGATCAATTGCTGTTTTGTCTATACGTGCTCCACCTTTTTATCTGGATTGTTGAAAATATCAAACAAACATAATCATATGCAAATAAACTTTTAATAACTTTTAATAATATACAGTGTTGTATATTAAATTCAAGATACACCCAAACTAAATTGAACATTTTTAATCTTTTTTTAATTCTTTTTTCTTTCAACAAATTTTTATTTTTTTTAATATTTTTTCAATTGAAGAATCACCCCCTTTTTTCAATTTAAAATTTGTTTTTTGTTCAATTTTTCGTCCCCACATCCCCTTGTATTTATTGCCCCCTTCATCCTTCCCCCCATTTATTTTCCTTTTATTTTTTGTCCAAAAAAATTTTTTCGGACAATTTGCAGCCGATCATCTTCTTTTTACCTTTGTTGTCCTTCTTTGCAACGGCCGAACAACAAAATATTTTTCTTCCGTTTCCGACGCTTATAACCGCATTTTAAATATCTTTTTCTGCCACCCGCCAATTTTTTCCGCCTCCACGATTTTGTATAACTGAGCATCTTTTTATTGTCCGTTTAGTGCGGAATTAATTGTGTGTGGAATATTTTACTTAAAAACTTTATAGTTCCGGAAGGAATACACAGTAATTCCAGTAATTCTAATTAAGGAGGGACTTATTGTTAGTAAGGAGTAGGGTTGTCGGTTCGGAGCTGAACCGAACTGAAGAACCGAGAATTTTTAGGTTAGGTTCCTCCTTACTAGGGAACTTTTTCACTTACGATAACCCTAAAAGATCCCCCCTTATGATTATCCTAGTAAGGAGAGGGATCTTTTCCTATTGAATTTCTAAATGTTTAATTAATTCTAGAGACCTTAAATTAGATTTAAATTGAATAAAGTCTTCAAAACTTTAACAAATTTTCGCGAAACACCAATCATCATTTTATTTTATTTTGTTAGATTACTGTGGGGTGTTATTATTCTTCATTTTCCCTCATCTCTCGCCATTTCCTATTGCGCCTTTCTTTTCGCTTGCCAAATAAGGAAACAAGAAATGAATTATTCTTGGATGGTTATAAAAATTTATTTTTTAATTTTTAGGATTGAATTTAAATTCCTTCAATACTAAAATTAAAATTAATTGATAATGACAACAGCTACACTGTCACCACTTTTGGCTTCACCTAAAACTAAAACAGCTTCTATGGTAGAGGAGAGTGAAAATGGTATGGAGGAATTTTTGATTTTTATAAAAGGATTTTTTAAATCGGTGAAGCTTTCTTCTGGATTTTCAAAAAAAGCAAAATTCTTTTTTTTTAAAGATGTGGTTGAACAGTTGTTGCGTGTTGCTGAAGCAAGGTGAATATTTTTTAAAGGCTTGGAGCTTTTTAAGCATTCTCAATGCTTTTGGCTCTTCCTAAAATTTATTTTCTCTGTTCTAAAGTTGATGGCTCCTGGAAAATCTTCAGATACCCTGAACCGATAATTAAACATAGCTGGATACCTTAACTTTTATCAGCTCCTGACAGGACTTTTCTCACATCAAATGAGGGAAAATGATGGCTAATACCCACAGTATGGGACTTTTCTCGGCTCAGGATACCCCGAAACCTCCATAACTCTAATCTGTTCCTGAATTTTAAAAATAACCTTTAAAAATAAGAAAAAAGCTATTTATTTTGATTATTGCTTCTCCATCAAAGTAATAAATTATCAAAAATGAATACGAAAAAAATTTAGTAAACTATTTAAATGAGCACCAGACAGCAAACAAACAATTCAGCGACCAATACATAAAAAAATATAGGGGAGCGAATAAAAATGCGCAGAAAAAAATGGGTGAATATTTTGGGGGAAGTTATAATTTATGCGCATTTAGAAGGGGAAAAGAAATAAAAAATATAAATAAATAAATGTTGCCAAAAATGTTGAGAGAAAAAAGAAAGAAAATTGGGTTAAAAATTAATTTAAAAATATTTTTTCTTTAGGGAAGCTGTTGAACGATTAGAGAATGAACAGCGTGAAGTGCTTGAAGGATTAAAAGAAATTGAGGAAGATGAAAACTTTTTGATGAGGTTTTTTTTAATTTTTTTGGAAATTTTGCGAAATTTCGTTTTTGAAGTTTTACGAAATTTCGGAATTTTCCGAAATTAAAAATTAATTTCGTTTTAGAGCCAAACAAACACTGGCGGACTTGGCAGCAGAAAAGCGTATTCACACAGACGCTATTCGTCAAATTGATGAAGACCGCCAAGAATTATCTCCAGCATTGGAAGAAATGCGCCTAAAACGCCGACGTACAGAAGCAGATTTAAGTGAAAGATGTTCTCACGTTCCATTGCTGTTGGCACAACTACAACAACGTGCTAAACTTCTAGAATTGGCATGTCCGTTAATTGATGATTTGTTGCCTTCCGGGTTAACTGCTGCAGCTTTTAATAGGTTATTTTGAAAATTTCTCAAAATTTCGTGTTAATGAAATTTTTTTATCTTTTACGAAATTTTTTGAAATTTCGTATTTTATCGAAAAAATTCTTCTAAAAATTAAAAAAAATTTTTTTAGTCGTGATCCAGTCTCTCAACGTTTATCAGACGATTCTCCTTCAATTTATTCAACTTCACTTCCTACACAAACCACAACACCAAATACAGCCAATATACCCTCAATCCTTCAATCACCACCTTCTTCTTTAATGCTTAACTTTCCACAAACAAATAATAATAATGCTGATTCTTCAATGCAACAAATAAATTTGGTTTGGAAATAATTTTTTAGATGTTAAAGCCCCACCCTGAGATAGAGCGCCCCACCTTGGAGGATAGTCAAAAAAATAAAGTGCCCCCTGAATTAGAAGAGCCTATTCAGGAATAGAGCCCCACTTTGAGCGACCCTGAAATAGGTAGGGGCCTCACCCTGAATTAGAGCCCCATTAGGCTTTATTATAGTAAATACACTTTCTCTATATTACAGCACGGAATAGCTGCTCTATTTATGCTACAACATGCTGCAACTACACACCAATTTATTACGGCAGCAGCTGCCGCAAACAACAACAATCAACAACAACAACAGCAAACTAACAATAATTTAAATTTTAATAATTCACAACAACCTAACCACCATCATTTTTTGTCTCAAGCAATTCGACATAATAATTTTATTAGACAACAACAACAACAAATTGGAGGAGGAAATCAATTTCCAATGCGGGCATTAGAAGAATTGTAAATAATTTTTAAAAATTTTTTAAAAATTTAATTTTTTAAAAGAAGCCGTGCACGAGAACAACAAGCAAGAAAAGTACCTAATGCTGCTCAAAGAAGTGCTGCTGCAGCTCTTGAAACTACACATCAATCACCTCCAATGAAGGTTTGTTTTTTTTTATTTTTAGCTAGGGGAAATTACAAAATTTGGTTTTCGACTTTTTGAAATCTGACGATTTTTAAATAAAAAAAAATTTTCCCCGTTGTAGACTTGTGCCTCATGTCAAGACCAAATCCATCGAAATGCTCCAGTCTGTCCTAACTGTAAATGCAAAAGTAGATCAAAAAACCCGAAGAAACCACGAAAAAAGCTGGCAGAACGTTAAAAAATAAATTTTAAATTTTGAAGAAAAAGCCAAAGAAACTAAAAAATGTTGAAATTAATTAATTAATTTTTGTTGTAAATACTATTTTTTTAAATGTGTGTATTTTTTTAGTTAAAAATACATACATATTTTGTAGTTATTTTGTTTGTATTTGTGTGAATTAGTTGAATAAATGAAAAAAATTTTTAAATAATTTTTAATTAGTTAAAAAGGGTTTTTATAATCCTCTATATTTTACGAAGGAGAGAGTTATTCTGCTGGTGGACTCAATGGCCGTAGGGCCCGAAAAGTGGGTGTTCGTGGCTTGGAACTCCGTGTTTGTTCTGTGGCTTCATTTTCTGTTACAACAAAGGTTTGTTGCTTAGTTTCTTGACTTCAATTTGTTATATTTTTCCAGATTCTCAATGACTGGTTGAATGATTGTTGATGTTGTGGATGGCTTTATGGTAGCAAAAAAGGTTTGTGGATGTTTGGGGAAAATTCTAAATGTTTGTACTTCCAGGTTGGTTTTTATTTAACTTTTTTTATTCAACTTTTCTCTCTACCCTCTTAACCGCTTCTAAACATCCATTAAAAAATAAAAATAAGGGGTGAATAAAAAATGTAAATGAATGGCCTTCCCTCATAAAAATAAATAAAAATATAAATACATTATTACCCTATTACAGGCATTTTGTGTCAGCCGATTTATTCAACAAAATACCATTTTTGTCGCTCCGTTGGTTTTTTAAGGAAGAGGAAATAATGATGAGCTCATCAAAAAGAAAATCATTCTCAAATCCTCAACAACAAAAAAGGTTTTTTTCTTCTTCATTCGCCTTCTTGATTATTTTTGCTTCTTTCAAACGTCCTCATCAATTTAGCTTGGTTTTTAAATATAAAGGTAAGGGGAAATATTTTTTTGAATTTTTTCTGGGGTTTAATGGGTGGGGAGGACATATCGGGACAGACAATATTTGGAATTGGATGAGGATCAAAAATCGGGAGTGCGGTGCCAAGAATAACCTCTTAATTTTTTACGTTGGTCCTACAACATAAAAACTTTTTCCTTCAATAGGGCCATTGGTTTTATATCCAATTGGCATGATCCAGTGGCCGTAGATCTCGAGATTAGTAGGGTAACTGTTTACCCCGATATCTCTGTCCCGGATATGTCTTATTCCGATTTTTAGTGATTCTAAATGGAGCAAAATGAAGACGAAGTAGTTCAACAAGTCATAAAAAACGAAGACGAGGAGAATGAACGACTTGAAGAAATTGGGAAAAATCAACAAGAAAATGATCAAAAAGAGGAAAATTATCAAAAAGAAGAGGAAAACGAGGATCAAAAAATAACAAATAATTTGTTTTTAATTAAAGAAGCTTGGTTAAAATTAAAAGAAATTGAAGACAATTTAGAAGGAGTTGATTTGTCAAAAAATAAAATTAATTTAATAAATGAAGAATCAAAAGAATATTTTGAATTGGATGGGCAATTGAAAGAAGAAAGGGAAAATCATGAGAAAAAAATTAAATTAATTGAAGAGGTTAGTTGAGGGGAGAAGTTTTTTGGTAATCTTTTAGTTTACTGGTCCCTAGAAAAAATGAGCAAGTGCTTTTTAGATGTTTTTGAGGGTTGCCAGTCAGCAGGTTTATCGGTCAATTTTAATTCGAATATCGGACCAGAATTCGAGCTGGTTGAATTTGGATGAAAATTGGAGATTCTCTGACTCCTCACAACAGGCCCGTAGCCAGAATTTTTTTCGGGGGTAGGGGGCAAAGGTTCCCCTGGCTACGGGCCTGCCTCACAATCAGCCACACTCGCTTATCCACTGGTAACCTCAAAAAATATTGAAAAGCACTTAATGTTCATATTTGCTAAGGATCAATCGACTAGGAGACTACCCTGATTTTTAAAATAAATTTTTCAAATTTTATTTTAAAGGATACAACAGCATTAGCGAAATGTTTCTCAATTTCGCAGCAAAAATGTAATGTTCAAAGAAAAGAATTAAAAAAGAAGGAGAATGAAATTTTGAAAAATTTGAGAGAAATTGAAGAAAAAATGTTTAATTCTCCCTCAACTCCAATGAGACAAACAACACAACAAGTAAGGCCGCCAGCAATGCTTCCAACAACGCCTTTTCTACTCCAAGCTATTAATGCTACAATACAACAAGTAAGTTTGTGTTTTTCTATTTTTAAAACTTGACAAGTTATGTTTTCCGAGAAACAAGTTTGTCTGGAAAACTTGTTTCAACTTGTTTTTTTATTAAAAACATTTAGTTTCCAACTTGTTTTCAAACTTGTTTTTCCTATCCTTTTCATTCCAACATTTCCTACCTTTTTTTAATTAAAAACAATTTAATTTCCAACATGTTTCTAATTTATAGCAATTCCAACAAGGACTTCAACAATTACAACAACAAACTTCCCAACATCACAATCCTTTAAATTTACAACAACAACAACAAAGTTTGCAAAACATGCAGAAATTGAAGGTTTGTTTTAGAAATGTTTAAATAAATGTTTTTTCCTCTATAGAAATGTCAACACTGTCCGAGTTTTATACATCGAAACGCGCCAACTTGTCCCAATTGTAAACAAAAAATTGTTTCTAAAACAACAAAAAGAGTTCGAAAAAATTAAAAAATTAATTAATTTTAATAATTTTTTTATTCAAAAAATTTTTAAAAATTCGAAAAAATTTCATTTGGTCATGAACATATTTGTTTATCTGCCCTACAATCAGCCCTTTCATTGGCAAGAAATAAGCGTCCGTTTTGACAAACACATAATTGGTATTGTGAAGCACCCCCAACTCCCATACTTTTTTCTAGACCAGACATGAATATATTGCTGGATTCTAGACGGATATTTCCCTGGAAAGTTTTTGAAAAAATTATTTGGGAGGGGATGGGGTATCAGAATATCGTTCTTAAAGAATAAACGATCAAATAATTGACCTGTTTTGCTCTTAATTGAATATCAAACAAGGAATTTATATGTATTTCTCCAGCACTGCTTAACATTTCTATATCTTGACCTGCTTCAACAATTAAACTGCGTGTTGGAGATTCGATTCTTTTTAAATTTTAATTTTTCAAAAATTTTATTTTTGATACCTGAGAGGACTGTCAGGTTCAGGGCGTATAATAGCTAAATATCTGATTTTTTAATTGTTTTTGTATTTTTATTTTCGGGTTTTTAACGAAAAATATTTTTTTTCTGGCGTTTTGTTTTATTTTTACCTGTTTGTATTGCACCTTCAAAAACACTGCCTCCATCATCTTAAAATTAATTTTTTAAATTTTTTTATTATTTCAGATAAAAATAAAAATTAAAGATGATTCGTTCTATTCGATCAAACAATTTATTATTCGCTTGCAGAGCCATTTTAAACTTAAATTTTGCCCAAAATTTTAATCAAAATCAATTATTTATTGCAAAGAATTATGGAACCAAGTCTCATCACTCGTCAAAATCAAAACAAAAAATGAATGCTCCAAGGTTTAGTTAATTCAAAATTATTTTTAACTTTATTATTTTAGTTTTAGAGAGATTGACGACGTGGAAGAAGTAGTCAAAGAGGGGTAATTAATTTTATTTTTGATATTTTGTTAAAATTGGGCGAAAATTGAGGATTTCAAATTTATTTTCGTTTGTTATTAAATATTTATGGGGATAACATCGATTTTTACAAAAGAAAAATATTTTGCGCTGAACGGGTTCGAACCTTCCTCCTATTTTTAAAAATTATCCCACTTAACCAAAGTGGACGAAATTTTTTATGTCTTTTTTCAGAAAACTTTCAACTATTGGACTGGCACAAAAGGCAAATAAAGAACTGAAGGATTGCTATCAACTTTTACAAGACAATATTTCAAAGCATCTGACTCTTGAAGTGAATTTGAAGACATATGAAGATATTCCTGTTACTTTGCAAAATGGGGAGGTTTGGATTTTTTATATTTTTTAAGGGAAGATAAGACAAATAGGAGGGGGGGGTTTCATAACCGAATAAAAATTAAAAAAAAATATTTTAAATTTCTTTTCCCATTTTCGATTAGACCCACAAACTCTTCAAATTTGCTCGAATTACTATGCGCAATCCAACAACAATTGCCATTAATTTTGTCGATAATTTGGAAGCTATGAAATCGGCAAGAACTGCACTTCAATCAACTGTTGGCCAGAATGTGAATATCCAAGCAGATGGATTTATGCTGTATGTACCGGTGCCAAAAATTACTAGAGGTTTATTTTTATAAATTTTTAAAGGAATAAGTTGAGAACTGGGGAATGAATTTTAAAAAGGATTTCTCTTTGGATAAATGAAAATAGTTAAATTTTAGAAGGATAGGTTCGACCTTCCTTGAGTTTTTTCTTTTAATTTTGGTATTAGAGATTACAAAAGGATGAGCAATCTAATTTTTAAATTTAAGAACGCCGTGAGGAGATTGCTAACAAAGTTGGAGCTGCTTTAATTAAAGAATACAAACTGGCGTTACAACAGGTTTTTAATTAAGTTACACCGTTAAATATTTTAATTTCAATTTCTAGATTTACAGCAAATACAGCAGGCTCATTACTGACTCAACAAAAAAAGAAGACTTGCCTATTCGATTAAACAACGGCTTACTGGCAGAAATGCGTAAACTCTCTCAAGAAGGCGAAAAACGATGTAAAGAAAGGTCAAAGGCTTTGCTCAGTGAAGTTTTATAATTTTTGGACAGGTTTTTGTTTTTTGATATTTTTGTTTTCTTATTAAAATTGTTTTTGCTCAATGAGCGTATTCGATCCCATGACCCTTCCTGGGGGAGAACTGGGAATTAACCCACTTAGCCAACGAAAAATTGTTACTCTCATTCAATAGTCTCTCTCCTCCGCCAAATTGCTTACCTAATATCCGAAGATTTTCGAGCTTCAATCCAATCTCATTCGAGTCAACAAAAAATAGCGACTTTTTCTGTTCATCTAGCACCTCAAAACGGTCACAAATCATTTGTGCTTTCCCATCGGATTGTAAATGTAATGCGGCTGTTGAATGCCCGGTGTGGTTATGAGCGCTAATAGAAACTCCTAAAGCTGAATCTATGGAGAGAGCTTGATCCTTTAAAGTTAAAAAATGTTTTAAGTAAGAAAAAAGCTCTAACGTCAGCACTACTCAATTGAGAGAATTGTACAGGTTTTTCAAACTCCGATCGTCCAACCACTTTTCTTTGTAAAATTTTTATATTATTTAATAAGAGTGTTTTTAAATACCTCTTATACGATCCTCTTCAATCTTCAAAGCGCCCATTCCTCCCTGTAATTTTAAATGTTTTCCCTTGATGGGTTTGAGAATAATTTTAATACCAATGAAAAATCAAGTACAGTCATAATCCAAAATGTAAAGGCCAGGTTTATAAAAACAACAAGGGTTAAAGCAAGAATGAATGCATACAAGCAACGCTTTCTCCACCCATAAATTCCAACCCTTTTGAATTAAAAATTCCTTTTCCAAAGTCTTCGATTAAAATACCTATAAATATCAGAATCTGGTACAGGTTTAGCACTCGAATGTACTACAGTCATTTGTTGAGGTGTTGCCCCACGGACTGAAGGAGGCTGATATCCATGGGGAGGGGGACTTCTTTGTCTAGGATCTATTGTATCTGCTCTAGCCCACACTGGTTCATCATCCAAAATTGTACTAGTGGCATAATGATGGGATTGGGGAGATGAAGAAGAAAGTGGGGGAAGTGTTCCAAATCTTGGTTGTTGGTAATAATAGGCACTTCCACCATTTGCATGCATTTTAAGGGATTTAATAATTGTTGGAAATTATGTTTTAAAATTAATTTTGAAGAGAAAAACGTAAAAAAGAGCAAAAGAACGTTTTACTTCCGCCTATCGATAGTATGTATTAGTAGTCCTCGGGTGGAACAACTGTTTAATCCTTTGATCCTTATTGTTAAATTAGTAGAAGAGGAAGGTTTTGAGTAACAAATAAATAAAATTATCAATTAAAAGTTTAATAATTGCCGATTTTTAATAAATTGGGCATCTTGGAACAATGACGTTTTTAAATTGAATTTATCTCGTTATTCGATATCCCTTTCTCAATTAATCCTTAATTGGATTTTTGTAATTTTTATTCACTTTCATTGGATATAAAATAAAAAATAAATCCATTTCCGTTATTTTCTCTCAATTAGGTCAATATAAAAATTCCACTTTTATTTCTTTGTTTTTTATCAAACAAAAGTATTCAGACAAAGATTTAGAAAATAAAGGATAAATTTTGATTGATATAATTGCATAATTAAAAGTAAATCTTTTCTAAAAAAAGAAAAGGCGGGGTTTTGGTTGGTTGTGAAAGGATGTTGGAGGGTTTTGTTTAAGTTGATCTGTATTTAAGGGAGTACAGAAGCTAAAAAATATTTCTTGTTGAAATTTTGAAGCTTCAATAGTCAACACTATGAACAACAACAATAAAGAGAAATATTCGGATACTTCTCCAAATTTGCTTAATTTAATAGCTAAAGTCGGCATTCTAGCTAGTACTTTAACACTTGTTGGTATTCTACTAATAGTTCCAATGATACTGTTCCAAGCTAATCAGTTGAGATCAAATATAGAGAGAAGAGCCATTCAATTTAAGGTGAGAGAGTGAAAATGATTTAAAGAGATGGTTATTTAAAAATATTCTTGCAGCAAAATTCGGATCGAGCCTGGAAGCTAATGATAAATGAAAAGATGATGATTCAAAGTGAAGCTGAAAAAGAAGACGAAACTTCAAGCAGGTCCTTTAGATCACCACGGCATCAACAAAGTTGTCAAGGTTCTGAACTTGGAAAATAACAAAACGCCAAATATATTTCAGGCTGCCACTCATTGACTTGTCAGACCGGTTTGCCAGGACCGAGCGGACCCGCAGGGACTGACGGATCACCGGGAGATGTAAAATATTAATGAAAATTATTTCAAATATTTCTAAAGACAGGAAAACAGGGTCCAACAGGAGATGATGGTTTTGATGTTCAATTACAACCAGAAGCTGATATGCCTTGTGTGATCTGCCCTGCTGGACCACCTGGGCAAAGGTTGAAAAGGGAATTTTGGAGGGTTTATACAATCATTTTTAGAGGCCCTCAAGGCGAAAGAGGGATGAGTGGAGAGCCAGGCACTTATGGAGAACAAGGTCCACCGGGCAAAAGTGGAATCGATGGCCCTTATGGAAGGGTAGGAATTTTCAAGTTAAAACATTCTTATCAACTTTTTTAAAGGAAGGACCTCCAGGCAACGTGGGAATAAAGGGTCTATGTGGAAGGAAAGGACCAATTGGTGATCAAGTTATTTCGGGTATCTTTTAAAATTTTCTTGTGTTTTGAAAAAGTCATTTTTTTCAGGAATCGGCATTAAAGGTCCTCAGGGCCCTCCTGGACCTTCTGGAATTAAAGGTCCTCTTGGAAGTCAAGGAAAAGCAAGCAGGCATTTTTTAAAGATTATTTTATAACCATAAGTATTTAAAATTTTTAGAGACACTGGTCTGCCTGGAAAGCCAGGCCCTGTTGGTCCGGCTGGACCCCCGGGAGCAAATGGAATTATGGGAGAAAATGGAATGGTTGGAACGCCTGGAGAACCAGGAGAGCCAGCAAGCTATTGCCCTTCGGTAGCTCTCTTTAATTATTTTGAACGAATTAAAAAATTTTCTTTCTTAGGACTGTGGAGTCTCACACATAAAGGCGCCGAGTTTTGCAATGGAAATGAGCGAACCGCCATCACCTCCTTCCTATAGCAATCGGGAAAAGCCTGCAACAGAAGTGCTGTTTCGACGTCGGAAAAAGAAGCAATAAAAGAATTTTTAAAAAAATTTTAAATTTAAATTCTGAATTTTTTTTGACAAAATAAAATTTTTTTTAAAATATAATCGTGTTAATTTTGATAATCATGTTGTTATTTACAACTACATACATATTTATTTTTTTCACCGCTCATGCAACCTTTAATAAACTCGATTATTTAATTCAAACAAAGTAGTTTTGCGAAAATTATATTGATGTGCATTAATCTCGAAACGAAAAGTATTTTGATGTGGAGTTAGAGAAAGAGAGAAAAGAGTGACGTCATATTTTTGCGAGATAATAGAAAACGAGAAAAATTACTGTATTTTTACTAATTTTCTAGAACATTCGGCTGTATATGAAAGGAATGCGGCACTCAATTTTTTTCCTTATTCTTAGAAATGGTTAATTTTTTTATATTTTTCTCTCTGTTTTTGATTTGTGCCTTAAGAATATAAATGCAAAAGGATTATTTTTCTTTTAATTTTTTAATTTCGTTCGTTTGACTGAGCGATGTGTGTCCGTGTTTAGACTGACCGATGTGTGTCCGATGTGTCCGTCCTTTAACTGACCGATCCTATGTGTCCGTCCTTTAACTGAGGATTGACAAACCACGGACGAACTCGGACAGACAAAACACAACTGACACAGCCAAACAAAACACGCATCCTTTTGCATTTATATTCTTAAGGCACAAATCAAAAACAGAGAGAAAAATATAAGAAAATTAACCATTTCTAAGAATAAGGAAAAAAATTGAGTGCCGCATTCCTTTCATATACAGCCGAACATTCTATTATTTTTCTCTGGTTATTGATTTTTGTTCTAGATGACGTCACTTTTCTGACGGATCACCTTCTCCATTGTTTTTTTTGCCTTTGTTCACAGAGGCAAATAATCGCAATGAATTTGAAGCAGACAACAATGTTGTTTGTTGATAAGTCGCTTGCGATTAAGTGGGCTTGCGAATAAGTGGCTCACGATTATGTGTCCGTTTCCCGATTTTTTAGTGTTATTTTTTATTTATTATTTTTAGTGACCGGGGCCGGACCGGATCCGGCCGGATTTTTCCGGAGTCCGGGTCCCAAATCCGGATTTTTTTGAAATTTCCGGTTTAAAACCGGACCGGATTAATCCGGAGAAATCCGGCCGGATCCGGTCCGGCTCTAGTTGAAAATCCGGAATCCGGATCCGGGTCCGGCAAATTTTGAGCACCGGATTTGGGATTTTGTACGGTTCTAGAATTTTTCCATTTTTTCTTGTATTTTTATAAAAAGGGTGGATTTTTGACCCCTAACTTTACTGAAATTCAAAAAATTTTCGCCTGCGGCGCTGAAAAGGGATGCATTCTTCTTATTGGCCTTCCAAAAATCGCACCCGGAAGGCACGACTGAGTCCCCCTTGTATATACCTCAACTCAGTTTCAGTACTAGGCCGAAATTAGGGTGGGTATGGAGAGTTTAAGCTTCATTACCATCTAAACTTCAAAAAATTTTTTGCCTGCGAATCTAACAATAGAATTTTTTCACCTGAGGCCTTCCAAAATTCTCGAAATTTTCGCCTCCGGCGGTGAAAAATGGAAGAAATCTTGCTTCGTGGCCTTACAAAATTTTCAAAATTTTCGCCTGCGGCGCATGGAAGGGATTTGAGATTAAGAGGATCCTTGGAGGAAATATTGCTCCTTGGACTCCAGGTACGAGTACGACGTAAAGAAAGGCCTGTACGAAAATAGGAGCAAATTTCAAAATTCCAAACACGCATTACTTTATTTTCCAAACTTTTAACCTCGAAAAATCCACAAAATATCCTTCATAGCCTCCAAAATCCTTAGATATCCCTCTAACAACATTTTAAGACATAAACGACACACATATTACAACATTTTAACACAAAAATTACTGAAAAAATTTTTTTGAAAAATCCGGAAAAAAACCGGAGTCCGGTCCGGAATCCGGATAATTTCTGCCGGACTCCGGAAATTATTTTTACCGGATTAAAACCGGACCGGATTTATCCGGAAAAATCCGGCCGGATCCGGTCCGGCTCAAGTTGCAAATCCGGAATCCGGATCCGGTTCCGGAAAAATTGATTTTACCGGTCACTAATTATTTTCAATATTTAATTAGAATTTTTTTTTGTTTTTTAGATAATCTCTATTCCTTATATTTCGAATTTTTTTTTTATTTTCTTCAATCGTTAATTGAATTCAATATGAGCGGCTGGGTTGCATACATCCAAACTCTGACTGACAGCTGCAATGTCATCTCCAGAGCTGCAATTGTTGGACTTACTGATGGAGGGAGTGTTTGGGCTAGAACGGAAGGTGACAAAGAATTTAAGGTTTTTTTTTTGCTTTTCTATATTTTTTAAAGATTTTTTTGTAGGCTACTGAGTCGGAACTCAAGAAGTTTGTTGGTCTCTTTGACAATCTTGATAGTGTTCCAGGAACTGGCGCAGATCTAGAAGGTTTTCTCTGTAAAATTCTAGTTCGTCTCCATCCCTTCTTCAAAGTATCAACGAGGGTAGAAGTTGCTTGCTTCCTTAATTTACTCTATGTCCCTATTGGCGTACAGTTATATAGTCTGACCGTTTTTAGTACTTTGAGGAATAAAGGGGTGTACGGACTTGAATTTCACCGGTGTCTTAATTGTTGATGTTTGACTTTATCTTTTTAGGTGTTCACTACATTGTACCGAGAACTGAGGAGAACCTCATTTTTGGCAAGAAGGACAAGACTGGGTTTGTCTTCAGTTCACGATCTATTTATTTTTCAAATCTTAGGTTCTTTGCTGCTAAAACCAAGTCAGCAGTGTTGATTGCTATTTATGAGGGTGAAGCGGCTGCTGGTGCTGATGTTCGTGGGGCTATCGAATCTTTGGCAGAATTCTTGGAGAAAGCAGGATACTGATGTGCAAAAGACTCTTTATTCGACCAAAATTGCTTCTCTGCTTTTATTATATATGCTTTATCTTCTATTTGTTTGACGGGTTATCAACTGAATTTTCACTTAAAAAAGGCATGCGCCTAGTGTTTTTCGTTTATTTTTTAAATTAAAATTTAAAAACCGTCTTTTGGTTATTATTTTAAACAAGCTTTGTTTGACGATTATATTTTGAATGATAAAGACTTGAGGAGAGGAGTATTTTACAAAATTCTCTATTGCTAATCCATTAAGCAGTACAAATACGGAACAGATAAAAACGGTTTCTTTCTTTTATTTTAATTAGAATTGAGTTTAGATTAGTTAAAACCCGGATAGGAAATCCCGTTTAAGAATTTTCAGTTTTGTTGTTTCAGTTTGAAGTCATGTTTTGGGTCATAACTTTTTATGACATTGCCTGTCCATAAGGCAGTGCCTGTCCCAGAGTTATTTTTTCATATATCTTTTCTTACTAACTCTCCAAATAATTTTTATTTTTTTCACTTGCAGTCAAATTCACTTCCTGATACATAAATTCCGCCTCCAAATTTATTAGTAGAAATTTCAAGGCCACATTTCTCGCCTTCATCAAATCCTGATTTGTCTATTAATCGGTTTTCACAAATTGCGCCACCATCAACATTGGCTTCATTTTTTTGTTCCACCACCACAAATTATAAACAACAGCCAAAACAGCGACAACAATCAATACAAATGTATTGCTTCTACTACAACAACATCAACTGTTATTCCTTCTTTGTTAGGTTTATAAAAAAATTTTTTTTTAATATTTTCTATCCGTAAATCATTTGTTTTTCATAGTTAAATTTTTTTTGTAATTTTGAAAAAAATTTACCCCGAGCGGGTTCGAACCTAGTCCCTATTTTTAAAAATTTTCCCACTTAACCAAAGTGCAAAAACCTTTTTGCATTCGATTTTTCCGGTAAACTTTCAAGGCAGGAGGATTGCTACCAAATATTACAAAACAATATTTTGAACCCTTTAAAAAATCTTTTTATTTCACAATTTTAATTTTATTTTTTTTTAACTTTACAGTTTAATACCTCCACCTCAAATTATGATTAATTCTTCCAATGTCCTCTCCTGTACTACTTCCAGTCCGTTAAAACATTTGGAACAACAACAGCAACAATCAACTATTGTTACTTCTACGTGTATTCCTTCTTTGCTAAGGTTTGAAATTTTTTTCTTTGAATTTTCTCAACTACCCCATAGAGGGCTTTTCTCCTTTCTTTGGTGTATTTAATAAAACTTATGTCCGGGATACCCTTATTCTTAATTGGAAAACTCTGAACTTTTCGAGTCATAGATGCCATCCTTAATATATTTTTTTATTTCTGGTCCTTATTTTCTTATAAATGTCTTTATAATTTTTTTGTTTTTTTAGTTTGCCTCCTCCTCAATTAATGATTACTTCTGGAAAGCTGCTGTTGTTTCTTCTACATCAACACCACCACGTCAACACCAACAACAACAAGATCTTCAGCAGAATAAGCAAGATTGAAAAATTTTAAAAATATTTTTTATTTTTGTGCAAAAATGTATTTGGTTGTTTAATTTTTTAGTTTTTTTTCAATTAATTTTTTGAATAAATTTTCTAAGTTAATTTTTTTGGCATTTAATTTTGTGTAAGATCCGTTTAAAAACGGTGAATATTTTTACGAATTTTAATTCCTTATTAAATAAAAATTCCTTCTTTTTTCCATTCTTCTTTTTCGGGAGGGGGCGGGCAGTTGACCTTTGGACCCTTTTTCTATTTGAAAAGAATTTTTTTCAAATTTTTATTTTTTAGCCTTGATCAAAAAATTTAAAAAAATTTTATAAAAATGGCTGCAGAAGGAACTTCAACCAATCCTGACAATCTTCAAAAGAATTATGTTGAAGAGAAGGAAAAGACTGCTAATCTTAAAAGAAAAAATATTTTACTTGAAAATGATTTGAAGGTTTTTTTTATTTTTTTTGAATATTTATCTTTTAAAAATAATTTTAGAAAATTCGAAAGACAGCAGACTCTGGCCAACAAAATAATGAAATTGAAGAAATTAAACGAAAATATCAACAATTAATTGAAGAAAATAATAAAAAAGACAAGAAAATTATTTCTCTGGAGCAAGAAAGGGCAAAGGTAAAAATATTTTTCTCTTGGAATTTAGATATGTGTTCAGGTTTTGTCTGGGTTAAGAAAAAAATGGATCAGGTTTTTGGAAAATTCGCTTGGATCGGGTTTCAGAAAAAAACCCAGTTTTGGGTCAAAAGAAACCGGATTTGAGGCATCGGGTCCCTTTCAATATTTAAAACCTATTTAGTGATTTTTTAAAAATTTTGATTAATTTTTTTAATTTCAGAAGAATAAGAATAAGAGAGGAAAAAAAAAGGTTGGATTTTTTGGTCTCATTTAACTTATTCAGTTATTTTTAGTTTAAGCCCGGACGTCTCCAAAGAGAAAAGATAAAGAAGGAAAAAGCAGCAGCAACTACAACAAGCGTGGATGCTTCTTTGGACGAAGTTAAACAATCTTTTGTCGAAAAAGCAAGTGAAAGTTCTGATGATTCTCGTGATGAATTTGTTCAAAGTTCAAGCAATATGACCAAAGCTGTGGATAATAATTTGAATTATGTGGTTAGTTTAAAATTTTAATTATTAGAATTATCATATAATTTTTTAAGAAATTTATCCAAATTAAAAATGAATGGTGGAAAACTGGTTTGAAATTTTCATGTTGTGACAATAAATGTATAAATACAAACAAACCTATTGGTAATTGTATTGAAGGAAATGGATTTGGAAAAATAATTAATGAAGAAAATATTGAATATACGAATTGCTTGGAGGAGAAACGAGGTAAAAATGGATTGGGGCCGTTTTAGCACGGGACTAGCAACGTACACTTAGGGGAAATTTAAATTCATGAAAATTTTCTCAAATTTCTTTCACTATTGACTACCTCCTCAAGAAATTTCAGAAATTTTTGTCAACTATTTTTCAAGTTATGGTTGATAGATTTCAAATAAATAGGCTTTTCGGAGAATCAACATTTTTGGCGATAATTTCTGAAATTATAGCTCAAAAATTCTGGAATTTTTGGAGAATCTAGATAATCATTCGAGTGTTATTATCGCCAAAATTTTAGCCTTCTAGCAAAGTCCCGTAAAAATTATATTGAATTTTAATTTTCTGTAAATATTTTTAGGTCTTGATCGATTTTTTTGGGTTATTGCTGAAAATAAACTCAAAAAACCACAAAATTGTTTTAATTATTCTTTATTTTATTTTGAAATTAAATGTATATGTGACAAAGATGACAAAAAAAATGTATTATGATTTGTCTTAAAGATTGTAAGACTCTTTTTTGTCTTAAAGATTTTTTTGTCTTAAAGATAGTAGATCTATTACTTTGTTTGCACAACATGGAAGAATTACAAAGGAAGGATCTGAAGCTTATAAAATTGAAAATTTTTCTTTCAACAATAACGACATTTTTGGATGTGGAATTGTTTTTCCACCAAATAATAAACCAAATGAATTTCCTTATGTTTTCTTTACTCAAAATGGAAAACAAATTGGTAAATATCTGATAAAAAAATATTTTTACAGAAATTGTTTTTAAGGCAAATCTTTAATGTTAACTAGTGATTCATATAATGGTGATTCATATAGGCCATGTATTGGATTACAACGATGTTCAATTCAAGCAAACTTTGGAAATAATTTGGAAACTAAACCATTTATTTATGATATTTCAAAACATTGTATTCCTAAAGAATTTTATAGAGCTTCAAATCTACTGAACAAACATTTTGACACAATTTTTTAAATTTTATTTTTAATTAAATAGTATAATTTATTAAAAAATTTTTTTAATATATATTTTTTAAATAAATATTTTCATATATCCTTAAGTACATACTATCCGTTTAATGACGGTGAATATTTTTTAAAATTTTGAAAAATTAACGTGTTTATTTTTTATTTCAACTAATGGAACAATTGATTTTAACAGAGTGGACGCAGATATATGATTTGGATTTGGCTACGGAAGAAGATGAACCTTGGCAAAAGCTTGGAGCTGATCCAGATTATTTTAATAGCGGATTTAATGAAGGTTTTCTTTAAATTTTTTGGGGAACTTCGAACAGTTATACTTTTTATTTTCCCTTGTCCTCCCTCTAGCGAAGGTTTATTTTTAGTTATATAATTGGAAAACCTTGTAAGATCGATTCGGAACCGAACTGAAGAAACGATGATTTTTGGTTTGGTTTCGGATCTCCAAAATTCTCGAAGAACTGACATTTATCCTCTAGCATTTAAATCAATCAAGCGTTTATTTTTGGGTATAGTTTTTGACTCGACTAGTTTTTGACTTTTTGACTCCATCTCTACAATCCTACAGATTTTATTACTTATTTTCATCATTTAATTTATAGGTCTTATTTGAAAGATGACAGAACCAGTTCCATCATCTAGCAAACTTGGAAGGAAACCAAAATGGTATTTTGCTGACGATGAGCTTGTTTGGCTTCCATCTAGAATGTTTATGGATTTGGCTGCTGAACTTAAATATAGAAGAGAAGCTGCAGAATTTATTCAGGTTTTTTGTTTGTTCGGTCGAGATGGGATTTTGGTTTTTAGGAATGTTAAAAATGAGCAAAAAATTAAGGATTTTAACTATTTTCGCTTGTTATTAAATATTTGTGGAAATGACATCCATTTTTCAAGAAAAAATATATTTTACACCGAGCGGGTTCGAACCTTTCCCACTTAACCAAAGTGCAAAAACCTTTTTTGCTTTCGATTTTTCCGGTAAACTTTCAAGGCAGGAGGATTGCTACCAAATATTACAAAACAATATTTTGAACCCTTTAAAAAATCTTTTTATTTCACAATTTTAATTTAATTTTTTTTAACTTTACAGTTTAATACCTCCACCTCAAATTATGATTAATTCTTCCAATGTCCTCTCCTGTACTACTTCCAGTCCGTTAAAACATTTGGAACAACAACAGCAACAATCAACTATTGTTACTTCTACGTGTATTCCTTCTTTGCTAAGGTTTGAAATTTTTTTCCTTGAATTTTCTCAACTACCCCATAGAGGGCTTTTCTCCTTTCTTTGGTGTATTTAATAAAACTTATGTCCGGGATACCCTTATTCTTAATTGGAAAACTCTGAACTTTTCGAGTCATAGATGCCATCCTTAATATATTTTTTTATTTCTGGTCCTTATTTTCTTATAAATGTCTTTATAATTTTTTTGTTTTTTTAGTTTGCCTCCTCCTCAATTAATGATTACTTCTGGAAAGCTGCTGTTGTTTCTTCTACATCAACACCACCACGTCAACACCAACAACAACAAGATCTTCAGCAGAATAAGCAAGATTGAAAAATTTTAAAAATATTTTTTATTTTTGTGCAAAAATGTATTTGGTTGTTTAATTTTTTAGTTTTTTTTCAATTAATTTTTTGAATAAATTTTCTAAGTTAATTTTTTTGGCATTTATTTTTGTGTAAGATCCGTTTAAGAACGGTGAATATTTTTAAGAATTTTAATCTTCTATTAAATAAAAATGCTGTCTTCTCTTTTTTCGTATTCTCTTCCGTCTTTTAATCCACCTTAATCCTAATAAATACGACTATCCGCTCAAATATTTTAAGTTGACCTCAGGGGCAGTTTACCTTTGGACCTTTTTCCATTTAAAAAGAATTTTTTTCAAATTTTTTATTTTTTTAGCCTTGATCAAAAAATTTAAAAAAATTTTATAAAAATGGCTTCAGAAGGAACTTCAACCAATCCTGACAATCTTCAAAAGAATTATGTTGAAGAGAAGGAAAAGACTGCTAATCTTAAAAGAAAAAATATTTTACTTGAAAATGATTTGAAGGTTTTTTTTAATTTTTTTGAATATTTATCTTTTAAAAATAATTTTAGAAAATTCGAAAGACAGCAGACTCTGGCCAACAAAATAATGAAATTGAAGAAATTAAACGAAAATATCAACAATTAATAGAAGAAAGTAATAAAAAAGATGAGAAGATTCTTTCTTTGGAGCAACAAAAGGCAAAGGTAAAAATATTTTTCTCTTGAAATTTAGATATGTGTTCAGGTTTTGTCTGGGTTAGGAAAAAAAGTGGCTCAAGTTTTTGGAAAATTCGCTCGGGTCGGGCTTCGGAAAAAACCCAGTTTCGGGTCGTTTTTTGTTAAACTTTCCAATATTCAACAAAAAGTCGGGTCAAGTTTGGGTCAAAAGAAACCGGATTTGAGGCATCGGGTCCCTTCCAATATTTAAAACCTATTTAGTGATTTTTAAAAAATTTGATTAATTTTTTTCATTTTCAGAAAAAGAATAAGAGAGGAAAAAAAAAGGTTGGATTTTTTGGATTTCAGTTAACTAATTCAGTTATTTTTAGTTTAAGCCTGGACGTCTCCAAAGAGAGAAAATAAAGAAGGAAAAAGCAGCAGCAACCACCACAACAAACGTGGATGCTTCTAGCCAGGTTTTAGATACTTAGAAATTTTTTTGATGTACAGGGATCTTATAACATCTATAGGGGTCAATTTTTCCATTACGGGGCCAATAGACTTTTAGGATTTGACCTTCTGTGTTGATTCAATTTAAAATCATTTTTTTGTAAATTTAGTTAAATTATTATTTTTATTTAGTCTCTATCAAACATGGACAAATCTCTCCACAAAATGACTGAAGAAGGATTATCAAATGTTGAAAAACAAAAAAAGGTTAATTTTTGTTTTGATAAAATATTAAGTTTGAAAACCTTTTCTTTCTGTTGGTTCCTTCCAATATTTAAAACATCTAGTGATTTTTAAAAAATTTGATTTTTTTTTATTTTCAGAAAAAGAATAAGAGAGGAAAAAAAAAGGTTGGATTTTTTGGATTTCATTTAACTTATTCAGTTATTTTTAGTTTAAGCCTGGACGTCTCCAAAGAGAGATGATAAAGAAGGAAAAAGCAGCAGCAACTACAACAAGCGCGGATGCTTCTTTGGACGAAGTTAAACAATCTTTTGTCGAAAAAGCAAGTGACAGTTCTGATGATTCTGGTGATGAATTTGTTCAAAGTTCAAGCAATATGACCAAAGCTGTGGATAATAATTTGAATTATGTGGTTAGTTTATAATAAATTATTAGAATTATCAAATAATTTTTTAAAGAAATTTATCCAAATTAAAAATGAATGGAAAAAAGAAGATGTCAATACATCTTGTGTTGATTTGGATTTTACTTTGGGAAATGGCTATGGAAATGTAATTGGCCGCGAAAATATTAAATATACAAATAGTTTGGATTGGAAAAATGGTAAAAATTATGGAATTTTTTTGATTTGTTTTGCAAATATTTTTAGGCTATGACAAATTCGTTAATGCTTCTGCAAAAAATTTATTCAAAAAACTACAAAATTCTTTCTATTCTCTTTATTATTTTGAAGTTAAATGTATTTTTGAAAAAGAAGAAAATTTTATGGGAATTGATCTTAGAAATTTAAATACAAGACAAAACATCCTGTTTATTGCAAGTGTTGGTACAATAAATGAAAGCGAGAAAAATGAAGAATTTGAACTTGAGAATAATTCTTATAATAATAATGATGTTTTTGGTTGTGGATTGGTATATCCTCCAATCAATAAATTAAATGAAGAATTTCCTTATATTTTTTATACACAAAATGGAAAACAAATTGGTAAATATTTAATAAAATTTGTATGAAATTTATTTTTTTAAAGGTAAAGGTATATTATTAAAGAACAATTCTGACTTATATGAACCTTCTGTTTCTCTAAAATGCTGTTCAATCAAAGCAAATTTTGGAAATAATTTGGAGACTAAGCCGTTTAAATATGATATTTTGAAGCATGATGTTCTTAAAGAATTTTATTAAAAATATTGACCCTTTTTAAATATTTTTTTAAATTTGTTAAATTACATATTTTTTTATCTACAAAAATTGTCTTTTTTAATTTTCATATTTTTCTTTTTATTTTTGTACCCAAAATTTTTTATTTTAATTGACTTATGATTCTTTAAATTTTATTGTTAAATTTTAATTAAGTCTTTATAATTTATTAAATTTTTAATTTTTTTTAAATTTTTTATGCAATATCCGTTTAATTACGTTGAATATTTTTTAAATTTTGAACAATTAATTATTTTTTAATTCAACAAATTGAACAATGGATTTGACTTTAAACAGGGCTCCGATCGACAAAATGCCACTCAAAAGTATCAAAATCTTGTAAAAAAAGTACATAGGGAGAAAATTTGCAAATAAAAAGTACACTCAAAATTAAATTTGAAAATATTTATTCGTGAACAGATCTTTTATATTTTTATATTTTTATATTTCTCTCCTAAATTAATCTTTTCTAATAATTTCTTGTTTCAACTGAGCATTTTGTTGACATGTCAAAATTTGCTGTCACATGAAGCAAAGCTCTTACAGTCTTAACCTCAAGCGAGTTTCTTTCTTTCGTCCATTGAATGTTTGCCATTGAGAAGCGCCGCAGGCGAAAATTTTTTGAAATTTGGAGCCTAAGAAGCCAGATTTCTTTTTTTTTCAGCGCCGCAGGCGAAAATTTTGAGAATTTTGGAGGTCCTTAAGCCAGATTTCTTCGTTTTTTCAAAAATGTTGATAAAAAAGTACATACTTTCAAAAAAGTACAAATTCAATTTCGGAAGTACGTAGGTCGATAAAAAAGTACAATACTTTTAAAAAAGTACGAATCGGAGCCCTGACTTTAAAGGATGGAACGCCGATATATGATTTGGATTTGGCACTCTCGGATTTGGCTCTTTTAATTATGGATCTACTTAAGGTTTTTTAAATTTTTTGGTGAATTTTGAAAAGTGTCAACTTATTCAAATTTTCCCTTACTCTGCTTCCAGCTGCCGGGGGTGGAACTGATGAACCGATTTCACTGACCACGCCAACTCCATTTTTACAATCTAATTTATAGATCTTATTTAAGGATGACAGAACCAGTTCCATTATCTAGCAAACTTGGAAAGAAACCAAAATGGTATTTTGCGGACCACGTCAACACCAGTAACAACAAGATTTTTAGCAAAATAAACAAGATTAAAAAATTTTAACAATTATTTTTATTTTGTGGAAATTAATTAATTTTCCTGATTTTTAAAAATTAAATTTTAATAGTTTTTCTATTTCTTCATTGCTAGTTTTTAATGGGAGAAGCAGGAAATTTCTTTTACTGACTTATAAACGTCGTCACAGGCAGAAAAAATCAGCTTTCAGGCTGTGACTTTTTTTGTGATGACAAAGCATTTCGAGCCAATTAAGAAAAAAATGCCTAATCATGAGACCTTTCGGATGATATTTAAAATTCTTTTCATTATTTATATTAGAAAAAGTTATGGCTATAAAACGATATTCCGTTGACTATGCTCAAACGTCCCCGCTACCCGAATTATGAGATTAAAATAAATAACGTCTACAAAAATAGAGAAGAATAAGGAAAAAAAATAGTGAGTTAGACAACAAAATTAAATAGTAGAATTCGTGGGGTAGAGAGCACAATTAAATGCGGTCGTCTGCGACCGTTTCAGTGCCTCAGTTCAGAGCGAAATGGTTACTGTATTAGAAGGGTGAAACAAATTATTTATCACGATTTAAAATCAGAATAATAAATCAGAATTAATAAATCAGGCTAGACCTATCTGATCTATACATCCAAAAACAGCCATAAAATTGCTTTTCCTAAAATAACTTTTTCTTCTGATGAAATATGGTTTATCACCTATAACTTTCTGTAGATTGTTTATATCGAATTAGTCTAATTATAAAAAAGATGCGGCTTCTCGAGGCCTTTCGAATGACATATAAATTTCTTTTCATATTAAAATTAGAAAAAGTTATGGCCATAAAACGCTATTCAATTGACGATACTCAAACGTCCCCTCTTCCCGTATCATGGGATTAATATAAATGACACCTACAAAGATAGAGAAAAAATAAGGAAAAAATATTGAGTTAGACAACAAAATTGAATAGAAAAATAGTGGTTAGAGAACATAATTAAATGCTTGCGTTTGCGGCCGTTTCAGTGCCCCCAGTTCAGAGCGAATTGGTTACTGTACCAGAAGGGGGAAACACAATTTTCAGAAGTTAAAAATCAGAATAATAAATCCAAATTAATTTAAAAATAATTTATAAATTAATAAATATTATTAAAAAATAATATTATTAATAAATCAGAATGAACTTTTTAATAAATATATTCTGTTTTTCAAGTCGTATCAGAATATCGATCTTCAATGCATTTCCCTCGTGGTATTGATTTTTAGTTTATAAAATTATACTCTTCAAAGTCTTGATAAACTTCCAAAAAATTGTTTGTTTAATCGCAAAAAATTTCACTAAAAGAAAGTTATCTTTTGCGGGAAATTTGAAATTTTATTCAATTTAAAAATTTGCCTAAACTTGGTGTATTGTCTCATGCGCCAAATAAATGACAGTTTATCCCAAAAATTAATTCTGTTGAGTACCTGACAGTTGAGTCTGAAAACACTAAATTGAAGAATTAAATAGGACGGTTGGGTGCGGTAGTAGTGAAATTCATAAAAATTTATTTTTCCAAAAAATCTATATAAATCGATAAAATCGATATCAGTCGATAATATTTTTAAAAATAATTCTTAAATACATATTTAAATTTTCAGAAATTCAAAATAATACTAGATAATATTAAATAATTCAAAATAATTCAAAATAATACAAAATAATAAAAATAATTCAAAATCAATACTAGCCGATAATTTATTTAAAAGATACTTAATTTTGAAAAAATATAATTTTGCCATTTCGCTCTCAAAATGGGCACCGAACTGGCTATTTTTATAATATTTATTTTCTCTCTATCTACAGTATTTCTTTTTTATAATTTCTCTAAACAAAAGGAAATAATTTACCTGATGTTTATTAATGGCGTCCCAGTATGCCGGTTGAGTCTCCACTGGATTTTTATAAAACAGAAACAAAACATTCTATATAACAAAAACAAACAAAAATTTTTTTTATATTATTTGTCATTCGACAGCTTTTCTTAAACACTAAAAAATTAAAAAAAATATTGTTGTAGAAGCACCAACTTCTCTTTAAATCCATTAAAAGTCCATCTTGTTACTGCTTCTCCTGTTTATGTTGGTGGGTGGAATTGTTCAAGTCTGAAAGAAAAAAAGGATTTTGCGTAATCTTGGCCTTATGTCACATGCAGAAAAAATAAGTTCACAGTCTGGAACTTTTTTTTGTGATGATCAGAGCATTTCCGAATTTTGAGACCTTCGAATGATATAAAATTATTCGAATCGAACGAATATCATGAAAATTATGGCCATATACTGAACCAGCAATACTTAATCGTCCTTTTACCGTACCATTTTGTAATGGTTACTTAATGTTGCCTTGTGATTTGGGCAGAAGCGACGTGGGCAGTGAGTGATTTGGGCAGTGAGTAAAATCATTAACACACAAAAATTCGAGGTTCTTATTTTAAGGTTTTTAAGTCTTAAGATAGGGTGAAAAAAATCTAAAAAGGCCAAAATAGGTTTCTCTTTTGATAAGATGTTCAAATTTCTGATTTAAAATAAAAATTTTCGAAATTATTCTTCTAATGTTACTCAAATTGTTTTTGCGCGTAAAATTATTTTTTGAAAAACACTCACTGCCCAAATCCTTACTGCCCACGTCACTTCTGTCCAAATCACCAGCCACGATCATTATATTATGCAAAATCTGATAAATTATTAATAAATCTAAGGAAGTTCAACAAAAATACAATTTTATTAAACAAAAATAAACAAAATAAATATTTTTAAACTCTTAGCATTTTTTATTTTTATACAACAGCTTCCACATTCATCATAGCTTCCAAAATATCAGCAAAATTAATAGCTATTATTGTTGGATTGCGTATAGTTATCCGAGCAAATTTGAAGAGTTTGTGGGTCTAAAATCGGACAAGAAATTAAAAAAATTTTTAGAGCTCCGATATATCATCCATTTCAATAAAAGCCTTATCTTTACCTAAAAAAATATAAAAAATCCAAACCTCCCCATTTTGCAAAGTAACAGGAATATCTCTATATGTCTTCAAATTCACTTAAAGAGTTAAATGCTTTGAAATATTGTCTTGTAAAATTTGATAACCTTCTTTTAATTCTTTAATGCTCTCTGTGCTAGTCCAATAGTTGAAAGTAGGGTTGCGCCCCGACCCCGACTAACCCCGACCCCGACCCCGAACCCCGACACTTTTTGACCTAAAACCCCGACCCCGACCCCGACATTCCCAACCCCGAAAACCCCGACCCCCGAAAGTTCGACCCCGACGACCCCGAACCCCGAAAAATTTTTATGACCCCGACTCAAACTGCATTAATTAACTAGAGATCGGAACGGGATCGGGACTTTGATGTTAAATATATGAAGGAAAAGGGAAATGAATATTTATATTTTCTCCTATTTCCTTTTGTTGGTCGGTGGGCGAGTGGTTAGGTTAACTGACTTCACCCATCTAGCTATTTTGATAGGTATGGTGTTCGAATACATCGATTGAAATGAGACTGAGAAAATTTTTCTTCTCAAAAATAAATATTTTTAAACTTTGATCTTGATTTTAAATATGCAAATTTATTTTTTTTAATATTTTAAACCTGAAAAAATTTTAGAAATTTTAAACTAGTCATGAATTTTCCAAAATTTTCACCTGTTGCGTAGAAAATGGAAGAAATCTGTCTCTTGGCCTTCCTAAATTCTAAAAATTTTCGCCTGCGGCGCAGAAAATGGAAGAGATCTGGCTCTTGACCTTCCAAAATTCTCAAAATTTTTGCCTGCGGCGCTAAACTCAATGAAGGGATACAGAGGCTTTAGGAGAAATTGATGGATAGATGGATTTCTCCAGTTATACTTGCAAATCCCCGATATCTCTTCAAATCCCTCTAAATCCCATTATATCCATCTTAATCCTCTGATATGCCTTCATATCCCCTCACTCCCTTTAAGAGGGGGAGTAAGAGTTACCTTGTGGGTTTGGGGATTATGAAGGATAACTTGGATAAAGTACTTCTTGCGCCTTCAACTAATAACGAATTAGATTTAGAAAGTGAAGATAATGAAGATTAAGTTGATTTTTTAATAAAAATGTTGATTTTGCACAGTAATATTGGATAAAAATGCTGGATTTTGTAAATTTTCACTTCAACCCCGACCCCCGACCCCGACCCCGAACCCCGACATGATTTTCAGCCCCGACCCCGACCCCGAACAATTTGAGCAACCCCGACCCCGACCCCGACTTTGTCAACCCCGAAAACCCCGACCCCCGACTTTTTCAACCCCGAAGGCTCGGGGCGCAACCCTAGTTGAAAGTTTACTGGAAAAAACAAATTAAACATTTAATACACTTTGGTTAAGTGGGAAAATTTGCAAAAATAGAAGGAAGGTTCGAACCCGCCCGGTGTAAAATATATTTTTTCTTGAAAAAAATGGATGTCATTTCCAGAAATATTTAATAACAAGCGAAAATAGTTAAAATCCTTAATTTTTCCCAATTTTACAATAAAATTTTGCAACTTAAATTACATAGCCTCAATATTAGGAAACAATGAGATTCTCAAAGATGAAACAATGAGATTCTCAAAGATGAAACAATGAGATTCTCAAAGATGAAACAATGAGATTCTCAAAGATGAAACAATGAGATTCTCAAAGATGAAACAATGAGATTCTCAAAGATGAAACAATGAGATTCTCAAAGATGAAACAATGAGATTCTCAAAGATGAAACAATGAGGGTTCTCAGTTTCCTAACATTGAGGCTATGTAATTTAAGTTTCAAAATTTTATTGTAAAATTGGGAAAAATTAAGGATTTCAACTCTATTTGCTTTTGTTACTGATATTTGTAGAGATAACATCGATTTTTATAAAAAAATGAATATTTACCGAGCGAGATCAAACCTTCCCTCTATTTTTGCAAATTTTCCCACTTAACCAAAGTGCATTAAATGTTTAATTTGTTTTTTCCAGTAAACTTTCAACTATTGGACTGGCACAGAAAACATGTAAAGAATTATAGGATTACTAACAAATTTTGCTAGACAATATTTCAAAGCATTTAACTCAATAAGTGAATTAAAAGACTTATGAAGATATTCCTGTTACATTGCAGAATGGGAATGTTTGGATTTTTAACTTAATTTCTAGGAAAAATAAGGCAAGTAGAAAAATATGGAAAATGTTTTCATATCTAAATAAAAATTCGAAAAAATACTTTAAATTTCTTTCTAATTTTAAACCCACAAACTCTTCAAATTTGTTCGAATAATTATGCACGATTCACAACAACAGCTATCAATTCTGTTGATAAATTTGAAAGCTATGAAATCAGCTCGTGCTGCCCTCCAATCAACAAAAGAAATTATTATTAATTTTGAATGATTCCTTTGGTTGAAAAGATTTCTAATTACAATATATTTGTTATAATTCAAAAAAATTTATTTTTAAAGAGAGAACAGGCTGTTTAAAAAACGTTGTAGGTATGGTGAGGGATAGAACAAAGTTGGCCCATAGGTTTGCGAACGTTTATTTTCAAGTTACTTTTCTATTTTATCAATCAACTTTAAGGTACGAATGCTTTTGGTATTGCACACAACTTCACTTCATTCAACAATACTTTGTGCATTTTAATCACCTTTCTGGCAGTGAAAATATAGTGAAAATTACTGGTAGAATGCATGTAAATGATGACAGGGACGAAGCCAGTCCGTACGAGCCGATGATTGCTTCTCACTGGTTTTTAACATTGAGGCTTCTCAATGTTATGAAATAATGAGAATCTCAAAGATGAAACAATGAGATTCTCAAAGATGAAACAATGAGATTCTCAAAGATGAAACAATGAGATTCTCAAAGATGAAACAATGAGATTCTCAAAGATGAAACAATGAGATTCTCAAAGATGAAACAATGAGATTCTCAAAGATGAAACAATGAGATTCTCAAAGATGAAACAATGAGATTCTCAAAGATGAAACAATGAGATTCACAAAGATGAAACAATGAGATTCTCAAAGATGAAACAATGAGATTCTCAAAGATGAAACAATGAGATTCTCAAAGATGAAACAATGAGATGCTCATTATTTCATAACATTGAGAAGCCTCAATGTTAAAAACCAGTGAGAAGCAATCATCGGCTCGTGCGGACAGGCTTCGTCCCTGTCAGCATTTACACGCGTTCTACCAGTAATCTTTACTATAGTTTCACGTCCAGAAAGGTGAGTAAAATGCACAAAAGTATCGTTGATGGAAGTCAAGATGTGTGCAATACCAAACCCATTCTCACCTTAAAGTTGCTTGGAATATAGAAAATTAAATTGAAGAAAAACGTCCGCGAACATGTGGACCGACTTGTTCAATCCCACACAATACTTATAACAATTTTTCAACATCTTCTCTTTAAAAAATAAATTTTTTGAATTATAACAAATATCAGTAAAAAGCTTTCCAAACAAAGGAATCATTTCAAAATTAAAAATACTTTCTTTTGCAATATGTTGTTGTTGTTGAGGTTCTGTCTGCTTCTGTTCAATAATTTGTTGTTGTTGAGGGAGCTCTGGAGGGCGATAGGATGGTGGTGGTGCTTCTTTTGAAAGACGATCAATTTCTTCTCTTTCACGAGATATTATTTTGTCTAATTCACTAAAAAATAGAAAATAAGACGAAATTCCCCGAAAAATTTTTCAAAGAAATCAAAAAATTTAAAATTTTGGGACAAAATGTCTCACACCTAAATTAGGGTTGGACCCCCGACCCGATGGGGGCAGAGTTGTGAATGTCATGCTCTGGTTCGCAACAATCGTTTGGGCTCCCAAAAAATGCCTTCGATGTTTAGCCAAAAATCGTTACCAAAAATCGTGAGTCAAAAATACCGGGTCGAAATCAAACCCAATTCTAAAAAAATAAAAAATTTAAACCTCAACATTCCCTTCTTTGCATTCAAAAAATGATTTTGTTCTCTAAACAATTCAACTCCTTGCAATATTAAAGCTCTCAAATCATTTATAGGCATTGCCAAAACTTCATGATCGGGTCTAGCTAAAAGCGCCTCAATTCGTTCTTGGATTGGTTTCGAAGGTAGTGAACGAGTCATTTGTTGTTGCTGTTTTTGTTGTGAATTAAATTTTGCCTTTTGTTGTTGTTGATCTTTTTGAAGAAAATACATTGTAGAACGTTGATGACGAGATTCTATTACTTTATCCATTGAAGAAGATTCTCCTCTAAAAAATTTTATTAATGAATTAGAGATCGGAACATAAAGGTTGGGTCAGACAAGTAGCCAGAAAACCATGCCGGGTTGTTGGCGTCAAAGCCGCCAAAAGAGAATTCTGAAAGGCTCTATGAATTCCATTTCAGGGGAAAAGTACATTATCCTACGAAATCCATTCCTCTTTGAAAGAGACTCCCATTCCCATTGGGTCATCAGGTCAGGTATGTAATCAAAAAAACTTGTCAAAGATGTTCACTTTTTAACCGTTGAACTTTATATCTTTGGCATTGAAGGGGCAACAAGAGGATTCTGAAAGCCTTCTGAACTCATCCTTTCTCTAGTTCGAATCTCACTCCTCTCGAAACCCTTTCACTCTCCTCGAAACCCTTTCATTATGGAGTTTCCCGATTTCCAGTTCAGACACTCCCCCCCCCCCATCTACAGACAAACAAACCTATTGTTATTATGACGATCATTATTTCTAGAACGCGAACGGCGATGTCGACGAGAAGAACGATATGACGACGAATCTTCATTTCTGCTGTTTCTGCGAGTTGATGTTGTTTTGGACGATTCTTCTTCATTTAAAGTTGTTGAGGATTTCCTTGAATGCTTGGTAGACCGAATAAATGTTGGACGTTCTTTAGGACTGAAATAAAAAATCAGTTAAAATTTTGATAAAAGTTGGGAAGGTTATGGAAAAGAAATATATTATCAAGACAAGGAAGGCAAGAGAAACTTTCAAAAGACAAAATCTTCCGGGAAAAGTTAAAAAAACTGAAGAGTCATTTCCAGGCCCGTAAGATAAAAAGTAGCAGTGAGAAACGCTACCCGAGCCTTAAGGACCTCCGTAACATAGACCGGTTGGGATCTGGATCCACTTTGATTTTGAAAAATCAACCCATACATTCTTAGGAATTTTTTAATTTTCCTTCATACGTACAGAATTTAAAAAAAAATAACCTTAGCAAAGAAGGAATAGTTAAGTTCAGCAGCCGAATCCATAGACATTCTAGATGGAAGCAAAACAAGCTCATCGTCTACAAAATACCATTTTGGTTTCTTTCCAAGTTTGCTAGATGATGGAACTGGCTCTGTCGTCTTTCAAATAAGATCTATAAAATCAAAATATGACAAATCAAAGCTGTAGGGTTTTAGAGATGGAGTTGAGTCTAGGCAAAAAATCATTTGAAATTTCATTTGAAACTAAATCGGGTCCATAAGGTGCCGACCTTCTGGGTCATCGATCACTAGGGTGTCGACCTTCTGGATTGATCCCACTAAATCAATCAAAAAGAGAAAATAGTAAGGAAATAAAACTGGGCCGTTTAAGTCCATGATTCCCCTCAAAAATATTTTTCAAAAAACCTTAACAAATCCATAATTAAACAATCGGGAATATCAGCTCCAGGCGTTCTACCAGGTTTATTTTCTTCAATTGTAGCCAAATCCAAATTACACATCGGCATTCCATCTGTTCGTTAGCTGAAATAATGAATAAAAATTATTCAAAATTAAAAAAATATCATCGTCATTAAACGGATAATAAACAAAATAAATATTTAAAACATTTATTAAGTCAAAAATAGTTGTAAAGGCAAATTTTTATAACAACAATAAATATAGAGGTCGGACTGAGAGAGTCGACGAAATATCTCAAATTAATTAAAAATTCTCAAAAAAAAGTCCTTTCAAAAATTCTTCGCTTGCTGTTGTTGCAGCTACTTCCATAACTTCTTCAGCTGCTTCCTCAACTTCTTCACATTCCGCTGACACCTTAAATATTTTACTAATTTCTCGTTAACGGTTAACCTAGATATCTGATGAACCTAAACGGTAATAGCCCACTTTATCCCCCCCCCCCTCCTCCTCCATTTTTTCCTTCATCAAAAAAGTACATAATGGGCAAATTTTCTTTCTTACCAATTTCACTCTATTGCCCTTTACCCAGAGTAGGGTAAAGGTATAGGTAAGTAGGGTAATTATTACAATAATTAATAACCTCATTAAAGGTTAACGTAGGAATCAGGTGAACCGAAAACTTGATTTAGACAACTAAAAAATAAATCCTCCTATTACCAGAATTAAGGCCGAAGTAGAATTTTCACTGCCACGACCCAAGAACCCGAAGCTATGATATAAAAAATCAAACTTGACTGACCGAAGCTTGAGGATCAACACTTGGTGGAGGTTCATTAGAAATATTTGCCATCTTAGCCATTTTCTTCTTTCGTCTTTGTTGTTTGTTGAGATTCTAAAATTTATTAAATTAGTTAACTTGAATTAAAATTTCCTCACCGGCCCACATCGCTTCCTCTTCTTTTGGGTGGCTGAAATAAAAAAATGAATAAAAATTTTTAATTCTTTGGGATGTAGTGCATATATCGGAAGCAAAATTCGATACAAAACACCTCACAGACATAGGTTTACGTTGTTTGTTCTTTTATCCTAACTCTGCCCAATCTATTTCAATCAAGGAGATTTTGGGGTCATTCGACGCAGAACAAGCTCATTCGAATTCAATGGTGTTTTGTATCAAAATTTTACCTCAGGTACTACACTTCAGCAGTTATTTGGAAAATTTAAAAAAAACCTGCTCCTCATTTTTTTGAAGATTTTGAAAATTAGTTGAAGTTCCTTCTGAAGCCATTTTTATAATTTTTTTTTAAATTTTTGATTAAGATCTGTTCATAAGCTGAAATAAAGAGTAAACACATTAATTGTTCAAAATTTAAAAAATATAAACGTCAATAAACGCATAATAAACAAAATAAATATTTAAAAAATATATTAAGTCAAAAACAGTCAAAAAGACAATAATTTTATAACAACAATATAGGATAGTCGGACTGGGAAAGTCAACGAGATACCTCGAATTAATTAAAAATAATTAAAAAATAACCAACAACTTCTTTTAGAAATTCTCAAAAAAGAGTCCTTTCAAAAATTCTTCGTTAGCTGTTGTTGCAGCTACTTCCATAACTTCTTCAGCTGCTTCCTCAACTTCTTCACATTTCGCTGACACCTTAAATATTTTACTAATTTCTTGTTAATGGTTAACCTAGATATCTGATATGCCTAAACGGTAAACTATCCTTTGATTCTATTGATACACATAAGGGATGAGTCAAGTTACCTAAAAACTGGGCTTTTTCCGACCCAAAAATTGACTCGAGTTTTTCCTTGAATCTTGGAAAAGTTTCGGCCATGGACAGCTCTAATATTTCCCCCAATTTCTCATTAAAAATTAAGGAATCAGGTGAACCGAAAATTTGATTTAAACACTAAAAAAATAGGATCCTCCTATTACCAGAATTTAGGTCGAAGTAAAATTTTCACTGTCTGGACCCAAAAACCCGAAACCCGGGGTTTTTTCGACCCAGGGAATCTTTCAAAAACCGACCCGACTTTTTTCGACCCGGTCCATCCCTATCATATAAAAAAACAAACTTGACTGACCAAAGAAACTTGAGGATCAACACTTGGTGGAGGTCCATTAGCATTAATTGACATCTTATTCTTCCACTTCCTTATTCTTTGTTGTTTGTTGAGGTTCTGGAATTTATTAAATTAATTAGCTTGAATTTTTAAAAATTTGCCCACCGGCCCATAACGCTTCCTCTTCTTTTTGGTCGACTGAAATAAAAAAAACAAATGAATAGAAATTTAAAAATTTTTGATATAATGAAAACATTAATTCTATAATGAAAATCTTACTCGACCCAAGAACACGAAACTCGGGGTTTTTCGGCTCAAGGAATTGTTCAAGGACCGACCCGACTTTTTTCTACACCCAGATAAATATATTTATAAAAAAATCAAACTTGACTGACCAAAGCAACTTGAGGATCAATACTCGGTTGAGGTTCATTAGAAATATTTGCCATCTTAGCCTCTCTTCTCTTCTTTCTCTGATGCTGATTGAGGTTCCACGTCTTCTTTTTGGCTGGCTGAAATAAAAAATGAACAAAAATTTGAAAAATTTTGATATAATAATTTTTAATTCTTTGGGATGTAGTGCAGTATATCGGAAGCAAAATTCGATACAAAACATCTCACCGACATAGGTTTACGTTGTTTGTTCTTTTATCTAACTCTGCGCAATCTTATTCAATCACGGAGATTTTGGGGTAATTCGACGCAGGACGAGCTCATTGAATCCAATGAAGTGTTTTGTATCGAAATTTTACCTCAGGTACTACACTTCAGCAGTTATTTGGAAAATTTGAAAAAAAACCTGCTCATTTTGAAGATTTTGAAAATTAGTTGAAGTTCCTTCAGCAGCCATTTTTAAAAATTTTTTTTAATTTTTGATTAAGATCTGTTCAAAAGCTGAAATAAAGAATAAACACATTAATTGTTCAAAATTAAAAAATATCATCGTCAATAAACGTATACTAAACAAAATAATTAATATAAAAAATTTATTAAGTCAAAAACTGTCAAAAAGGCAATAATTTTATAACAACAATAAATATAGAGGTCGGACTGAGAGAGTCGACGAGATATCTCGAATTAATTAAAAATTCTCAAAAAAAAGTCTTTTCAAAAATTCTTCGCTAGCTGTTGTTGCAGCTGCTTCCCCAACTTCTTTGGCTTGCTTCAGTTTCTTTCTTTGTAAACGAGCAGTTTTTTTTGCCGAGGTTTTTTGCCGAAGTTTTTTGAATTTTCCTCGAATACGTCCAAAATTGGTCTAAAAATAACTGAATTAATTAGTTGAAATCCAAAAAAATTCCAACCTTTCTCTTTCCTCTCTTATTCTTTTTAGGCTTCTGAAATAAAAAAATAATCAAAATTTTTAAAAATCACTAGATGTTTTAAATATTGAAAGGGACCCAATGCCTCAAATCCGGTTTCTTTTGACCCAAACTTGACCCGACTTTTTGTTGAATATTGGAAAGTTCAACAAAAAACGACCCGAAACTGCGATTTTTTCTGAAACCCGATCCAAGCGAATTTTCCAAAAACTTGAGCCACTTTTTTCTTAACCCAGGCAACCCCTGAACACATAAATTTTCCAATGAGAAAAATATTTTTACCTTTGCCATTTCTTGCTCCAAAGAAAGAATCTTCTTATCTTTTTGATTACTTTCTTCTATTAATTGTTGACATTTTCGTTGAAGATTGTCAAGATCAGTTGAAGTTCCTTCATCAGCCATTTTTAAAGAATTTTTTTAAATTTTTGATTAAGATCTGTTCAAAAGCTGAAATAAAGAAATAAAGAATACCATTAATTGTTCAAAATTAAAAAATATCATCGTTATTAAACGGATATTAAACAAAATAAATATTTAAAAAAATTATTAAGTCAAAAATAGTTGTAAAGGCAAAATTTTATAACAACAATATAGAATAGAAGCCCGGACTGGGAGAGTCCACGAGATATCTCAAATTAATTAAAAATTCTCAAAAAAAAGTCCTTTCAAAAATTCTTCGCTTGCTGTTGTTGCAGCTACTTCCATAACTTCTTCAGCTGCTTCCTCAACTTCTTCAGATTTCGCTGTCAGCTTAAATATTTTACTAATTTCTCGTTAACGGTTAACCTAGATATCTGATGAGCCTAAACTTTATCCCCCCCCCCCTCCATTTTTTCCTTCCTCAAGAAAGTACATAATGGGCAAATTTTCTTTCTTCCCAATTTCACTCTATTGCCCTTTACCCAAAGTTAGGTAACCACGACAGCATTGGAAACTAATTTAGATATGTAACTAAAGATATTCTATTACCAAAATTTTATTCCGTTTAAATTTTTAAGTGACCCGATCTAAGGACCCTAAACACGGTAAACTATCCTTTGATTACAAAAATCAAGCGATGATTTGTTACAATTTAAGCTCAAAGACCTGGGCTGGAGCATCCATTTTCGTTGTAGTTGCTGCTGCTGCTTTGGCTCGCTTCAGTATCGCTCTTTTCCTAGGTCCAGGATTGGTCTAAAAATAACTGAATTAGTTAGTTGAAATCCAAAAAAATTCCAACCTTTTTCTTTCCTCTCTTGCACTTTTTCTGAAAATAAAAAAATTAATCAAAATTTTTAAAAAATCACTAAATGGGTTGTAAATATTGGAAGGGACCCGATGCCTCAAATCCGGTTTCTTTTGACCCAAAACTTGACCCGACTTTTTGTTGAATATTGGAAAGTTCAACAAAAAACGACCCGAAACTGGGTTTTTTCTGAAACCCGATCCAAACGAATTTTCCAAAAACTTGATCCACTTTTTTTCTTAACCCAGGCAACCCTGAATACATAAATATATCTAATTTTCCAATGAGAAAAATATTTTTACCTTTGTCCTTTGTTGCTCCAAAGAAAGAATCTTCTTGTATTGTTTATTTTCTTCAATTAATTGTTGACATTTTCGTTGAAGATTGACAAAATCAGTTGAAGTTCCTTCAGCAGCCATTTTTAAAAATTTTTTTAAATTTTTGATTAAGATCTGTTCAAAAGCTGAAATAAAGAAATAAAGAATACCATTAATTGTTCAAAATTAAAAAATATCATCGTCATTAAACGGATATTAAACAAAATAAATATTTAAAACATTTATTAAGTCAAAAATAGTTGTAAAGGCAAATTTTTATAACAACAATAAATATAGAGGTCGGACTGAGAGAGTCGACGAAATATCTCAAATTAATTAAAAATTCTCAAAAAAAAGTCCTTTCAAAAATTCTTCGCTTGCTGTTGTTGCAGCTGCTTCCATAACTTCTTCAGCTGCTTCCTCAACTTCTTCACATTCCGCTGACACCTTAAATATTTTACTAATTTCTCGTTAACGGTTAACCTAGATATCTGATGAACTAAACGGTAATAGCCCACTTTATCCCCCCCTCCTCCTCCATTTTTTCCTTCATCAAAAAAGTACATAATGGGCAAATTTTCTTTCTTACCAATTTCACTCTATTGCCCTTTACCCAGAGTAGGGTAAAGGTATAGGTAAGTAGGGTAATTATTACAATAATTAATAACCTCATTAAAGGTTAACGTAGGAATCAGGTGAACCGAAAACTTGATTTAGACAACTAAAAAATAAATCCTCCTATTGCCAGAATTTAGGCCGAAGTAGAATTTTCACTGGCACGACCCAAGAACCCGGAACTATGATATAAAAAATCAAACTTGACTGACCAAAGCTTGAGGATCAACACTTGGTGGAAGGTCATTAGAAATATTTGCCATCTTAGCCATTTTCTTCTTTCGTCTTTGTTGTTTGTTGAGATTCTAAAATTTATTAAATTAGTTAACCTTTTAAAAATTCCCCCACCGGCCCACATCGCTTCCTCTTCTTTTGGGTTGGCTGAAATAAAAAAAATGAATAAAAATTTTGTTATAATAAAAATTTTTAATTCTTTGAGATGTAGTGCAGTATACCGGAAGCAAAATTCGATACAAAACATCTCACCGACATAGGTTTACGTTGTTTGTTCTTTTATCCTAACTGCCTAGTCTTATTCAATCACGGAGATTTTGTCGACGCAGGACAAGCTCATTCGAATCCAATGAAGTGTTTTGTATCGAAATTTTACCTCAGGTACTACACTTCTGCTGTTCTTTGGAAAATTTGAAAAAAAACCTGCTCCTCATTTTGAAGATTTTGAAAATTAGTTGAAGTTCCTTCAGCAGCCATTTTTAGAAAATTTTTTTTAATTTTTGATTAAGATCTGTTCAAAGCTGAAATAAAGAATAAACACATTAATTGTTCAAAATTAAAAAATATCATCGTCAATAAACGCATAATAAACAAAATAAATATATAAAAAATTTATTAAATCAAAAACAGTCAAAAAGGCAATAATTTTATAACAACAATATAGAATAGAGATCGGACTGGGAGTCGACGAGATATCTCAAATTAATTAAAAATAATTTAAAAATAACCAACAACTTCTTTTTAAAATTCTCAAAAATCCCTCATCATTGATTCGCTTGCTTATTCTTTTGCTTTTCACTAAAAGAAAAAATATACAATCTATAAGAGAACATTTTCTAATGTAAACAAGAATTTTGTATTTCTTTTCTTATTGCAAAGTGGTGTCCGTTTTTATGTTAAATGACTTTGGGCCGAATTATGGCCATTCAAAGTTTCAGCCCTTGGGAGTGATCGTGTATTAGGAAAAGGAGCTATTACTTTTTTTCACTCTCTCTACAAAGAAAAAAGATATGCAAGAGGAAGGGGGGGGGGGGGGGTTGGAATGAAAAATGGGAAAGAAGTTGGTCACTTAACCTAGAACATCAAAACCCTAGCGTTCCAACTTCGACTGCTCATTCAAAGTTTCAGACCTTAGAGTGATCGAGTATTAAAAAAAAAGGAAAAACCTTGCTAATTCCTGCTCCAAAGAAAAAATCTTCTTGTCTTTACGAATTGTTTCTCCAATAAATTTATCCTCCCAAAAATGAATTTCCCCGGCTTTTCGAACATTTTCTTCAATTAATTTTTGCTCCAAAAAAAAAATCTTCTCGTCTTTTTGATTATTTTCTTCAATTAATTTTTGACATTTTTGCTTGAGTTGTTCAATTTCGTCATCTTTATGGTCAGACTTCTTCTATAAATTAAATTTTAATAATAATTTTAGAAATAGTTTTTGATTTATGGATGCATATAAGGGACGAGAAATTACCAATAAGGGACGAGAAAAATCCAATTACCAAAATTTAGGACCGTTAAACTTTTAGCTGACCCAACCTAACAACCCAAAACCCGACTCGTTATGTCTTACAAAAATCAAAGTTGGGCTTTAGCTAAAGGAACGCAGCAACCAAAACACGGAACTAAAACAAAAATCAACCTTTTGAGGTGCTGTTGATGATCCTTCTTCAGCCATTTCATGTTCAATGTTTGTTGATAATCCTTCCTGAGCCATTTTTTGTAGAGAAATTTTAGTATTTTAGATAAATAAAGGCTAAATTAATGAAAATAATAATTAAATTTACAAAAAAAATTTTTCATGGTATCAAACCCAGAAGGTCTAAACTGCCCCTGTGGATAACTTCAAATGTTTTAGCGGATAGTTAGATTTGTTAGGAAGATACGGAAGACTGAAGAGAAGACGAAAAAAGAGAAGAGGGAATTCTTATTTAATAGAAAATCAAAAAAATTTTCAAAAATATTCAACGTTCTTAAACGGATATTAACAAAGATAAATATCAAAAAAATTAATTTAAAAAATTTATTCAAAAAATTTAATTTTTAAAAATCAAAAAAATTAAACAAACAAATAAATTTTTGCACAAAAATAAAAATATTTAAAAAGTTTTTCAATCTTGTGTATTCTGTTGAAGATCTTGTTGTTGTTGGAGTTGACGTGGTGGTGTTGATGTAGAAGAGACAACAGCAGCATTTCCAGAAGTAATCATAAGTTGTGGAGGGGGCAAACTGAAAAAATAAAAAAATTATAAAGACATTTATAAGAAAATAAGGACAGGAAATAAAGAAATATATTGAAGGCAGCATCTATGACTCGAAAAGTTCAGAGATTTACCAATTAAGAATAAGGGAATCCCTGACTGAAGTCTTATTAAATGCCCAAAAGAAAGGCCCTTTATGGGGTAATTAAGGAAATCCAGAAAATCCCAGGAAAAAATTTTTTCCAAACCTTAGCAAAGAAGGAATACTTGTAGACGTAACAATTGTTGATTGTTGCTGTTGTTGTTCCAAATGTTTTAACGGACTGGAAGTAGTACAAGAGGCAACATTTGAAGAATTAATCATAATTTGAGGTGGAGGTATTAAACTGAAAATTTAAAAAAAATAAAAAGATTTTTATAGGCTTCGAAATATTGTTTTGTAATATTTGATATCAATCCTCATGCTTTGAAAGTTTACCGGAAAAATTAAAAGCAAAAAGGTTTTTTCACTTTGGTTAAGTGGGAAAATTTTTGAAAATAGGGGAAAGGTTCGAACCCGCTTAGGGTAAAAATTTTTTCCAAAATATTGAAAAAAAATTGGATGACTAAAAACAACAAATGCTTTTACTAGTAGAAAATTTTTTCAAAAAAAATCTTTAATAAACCTTAGCAAAGATGGAATAACAGTTGATGTTGTTGTTGTAGTAGAAGCAATAGGTGTTGGTTGTTGTTGTAGTTCTGGTTGTTTTATAATTTGTGGTGGGGGAACAGAAAAAAATGAAGCTAAAGTTGATGGTGGTGGAGCAATTTGTGAAAGCCGATTAATTGACAAATCAGGATTTGAAGAAGGGGAGGAATGAGGCCGTGAAACTTCTACCAATAAATTTGGAGGCGGAATTGAGGTGTCAGGTAGTGAATTGGACTGAAAAAAATCAAAAATCATTTGCAGGGATAGGAAGAAAGAATCATGTATGAAAAGATAAAAATCAGGGACGGGCACTGCCCCATTTTAAAAGCTAAGGGGAAAAATAAGTAGAGGTTGGGACGAACTTAGGAAAAAGTTAAGTGCACTCCCGTCAAGCTCATGCACTTTGGTTAAGTGGGAAAAGCTTTCGATTGTTGTTGCTTTCGATTGGTACTTATGTTAACTTGGAATCATAAAAGTTATGACCCAAAATATGACATCAAAGTGAAACCTTAAAACTAAAAATTCTTGAACGGGATCCCCTACCCATGGTTTTAACTAATCTAAACTCAATTAGAGTAAAAAAAAGAAACCGAAAAAATAAAAAAAGAAACCGTTTTAATCTGCTCCGTATTAATTATTGGACCAGCAATGGAGTTGGCAATAGAATTTGAAATGACAACATTTTGTTGTTGTTGTAATAATTTTGAAGGTGAAGAATAAAGCAAAGATTGTGTTTGGCTAAAATGTGAAAATGAATTTGTTGTTGATGTTGTTTGTTGTTGTTGGGAAGATGGTGAGGAAAATATTGTTGTTTGTGAATTACTTAATAAGGAAGAAATTGAAGATGATGATAATGGTGGGGGTTGTTGTTGTTGAATATTGTTTAGAGGAAAATTTGGTGGTGGAGTTGAAAATCTTTGAAAAAAATTTTTTTAATTAAAATATTTGTAGGAAATGCTTTAAAATAAAATAGAACGGTATCCCCAACAACTTTCTTTGAGGGGAGCAGATACCAAAAGGTTTGAGATCCAAAAATCAAACAAAAATAAAGAAAAACTAACTCTGTCTTGATTAATCCACTTCCCACACCAGTTATTAATCCACCAGACATAGTTGTAGCTGTTGTTCCTCCAATAATATTTGGTGGAGGTACAGAAAAGTCAAGAACCTTTTGTTGTTGCTGTTGAAGCTCTAAATTTGTTTGTTGTTGCTGTTTCTGTTCAATAATTTGTTGTTGTTGAGGGAGCTCTGGAGGACGATAGGATGGTGGTGGTGCTTCTTTTGAAAGACGATCAATTTCTTCTCTTTCACGAGAGATTATTTTGTCTAATTCACTAAAAAATAAAAAAATAAGAAAAAAATTAACCAAAAAATTTTTCAAAAAAAATCAAAAATTTAAAATTTTGGGACAAAATGTCTCACAACTAAATTAGGGCTGGACCCTAAACCGTAGAGGTTCAAAAGTCCAGAGGTGTGGTTTGTTGGAGTTTCAGATGTCGGGGCTGGCTCGGTTTCGACAAAATAGATAAAGTCAGAATCCCTACCGTTGAAACCCGCCCGTCTGGATCGAAAAGCTCAGTCGGGATTTGGCAGTTGTGAATGTCGTGCTCGGGTTCGCAACAATCGTTCGGACTCCCAAAAAATGTCTTGGTTCGGGGTTTAGCCAAAAATCGTTACGGGTCGGGGGTTTAGTCAAAAAAGCCGGGTCGAAATCCAACCCCAATTTAAAAAACAAAAAAAACAAAACCTCAACATTCCCTTCTTTGCATTCAAAAAATGGTTTTGTTCTCTATATAATTCAACTCCTTGCAATATTAAAGCTCTCAAATCATTTACAGGCATTGTCAAAACTTCATAATCGGGTCTAGCTAAAAGTGCCTCAATTCTTTCTTAGATTGGTTTAGATGGTAGAGAACGAGTCATTTGTTGTTGTTGTTTTTGTTGTGAATTAAATTTTGATTTTTGTTGTTGATCTTTTTGAAGAAAATACATTGTAGAACGTTGATGTCGAGATTCAATTACTTTGTCCATTGAAGAAGATTCTCCTCTAGAAAATTACTAAATGAATTAAAGTTTGAAAACATAAACTCTAACTAGAATTCGTCTTAACTCTTCAAGGGGAAAGGACATTATCCTATCAAATCAATTCCTCTTTGAAAGAGATTCCCCATTCCAATTGGGTCATCAGGTCAGGTATGAAGTCAAAAAAGCTTCTCAGGGATGTTCACTTTTTAAATGTTGGATTACATCTTTAGCATCGAAGGGGGATTTTAAAAACATTATGAACTCTTCCCTTCTCTATTTCAAGAAAGGTCATTACTCTCGAAACCCCTTCCATTGAGGAAAGACTTGCAATTCGCAGTTTAGACAAATCTACAAACAAACAAACCTATTGTTATTATGACGATCATTATTTCTAGAACGCGAACGGCGATGTCGACGAGAACGATAGGATGACGTATCTTCATTTCTGCTGTTTCTACGAGTTGATGTTTTGGATGACTCATCTTCATTTAAAGTTGTTGAGGATTTTCTTGAATGCTTGGTAGACCGAATAAATGTTGGTCGTTCTTTAGGACTGAAATAAAAGAAAAGTTAAAATCTGGGAGATTATGGAAAGGAAATGGATTATAAGGACAAGGAAGGCAAGAGAAACTCTTCAGAGACAAAACTTTCCGAGAAAAGAAAGAGGGCTGAAGGGTCATTTTCAGAACCGTAAGATGAAAAAGTAACAGGGAGAAACGCTATCCGAGTCTTAAAGACCTCCGCAACATAGACTGGTCGGGATCTGGATCCAGACTCTGATTTTACTGAATCCAGGCTCTGACCAATATCAAGGCATCTCTTGGTGTTCCTTGATTCTTCCTTGAATCAACGTCAAATCAAAAAAGCATACGGATTATCTTTGAAGGGATCTTTCACAGCAAATTTCATATTTCTTAGCCTTTCCAAGGCTGCCTTCTTGGTTTTAGGTTCTTCAACAACAACGGCATTATCATTAGTTGTTGTATCAGCCTGCTGTTGTTGTTGCTCTTCATGCTCTTCCTCCTCCTCCTCGCCTCCCCCCTCCTCCTCTTCCTCAAATTTTCGTTTTCGACTTTTATTGTCTTCAGAAATATTTTCTACATTCTCTTCATTATTTTCACATCTTGTAGCTTTAATTAAAGCTTCATTATCACTGGGAACAATTTCTCCCTCATCATCTTTTGCTGGAGTTTCCAAAACTGGTTGTTCGTCGCTTTGATTTAATTCATCAATTTCAAGGTTATTTTCTTCAGTCATTTTATGCAGAATAAATTAATTTATTAAATTGTCTAGAAGGATATCTAAAAAATATATCGGAAATTCAATAGAAAACAACGAAAAACAATGAAAACAAGAATCTCCCCTACGCAAGAAAATTAAAAAGTATTTCTCTAACGCTCTCCACTTTTAACGTTCTCTCTAATTAAATTGACGTTTTAAAAATTTTTTGCTCGAGTTTACATTTTGACATTCGACAAAAATACAGACTACCCGGACGCCTTGTCGCGAGAGCGCCTTATAGAGAAAAACAGTAATACTTATCTCATTTACTCTTACTTTATTTTCTCACCATTTTCTCTCTAATTACATCGATTTATTTTGTTTTTTTAGCTGATCAGCTAGAGAGCAAGTGATCAATCTCATATCTGCTGACTTTTTTTCTTAATGTTTGCTTAGAAAAATAACAGACTTAAGTAGAAAAAAATATTTTTTATTTATTGTTTTTAAGCGTAGACAGTCAACAACGAAAAGCTTTTTGCACTTGACTCTGTCATTCATTCTTTTTTTCCTCTCAAGAATTAAAAACAAAAATAATATTTACACCAGAATATTAGCCCAATAAAATTCCAAACATTTCAGAATCCCCAGAAAAAATGCCTCGAACACTCTTCGTCATTTGCCTTTCTGCAGTATGCCAAAGAAGTACTTGTTATGATGAGGGTGATTTGGCTTTATTGCCCTGTGATTGTAAATTACGATTGCTAGAATATTTTGTTTCACATGACTTGGTAAATTAAAAATAAAGCTGAACTCTCCGGCTAATACAAAAATCACGGCTGGCGCTGGGATCGAACCAGCATCCTCTCGGTTGACATACCGACGCGTTACCCATTACACCACGCTGTCTTCTGAATAGACTTAGGAATTAAATAGCCAAATGCTTTACAATTAATTAGCATTATATTCATCATTCTTCAGATAACAAGTGAGCACTGTCTAAGCCTTATTTCTCGCCCAATGTTTGGACATAATCTAGTAGGATTTTAAAAAATAAATTGAACATCCCCAGATTTTTTTAGACCAAGATATGTTTGTATTTGAGCGATCATCTTGATGACAATACTTTGGGAATATTAGCAGAGTAAGGGGAAAATTCTTTAAAAAATTTCCTAAAAAATATTTAAAGGCATTGTAACAATCTCCGCTACATTTCCCTCATTGAGTGTTCCAATATTACTGACATTGGAATAATTAATTTAACCAAAAATCAAACAAAACTTGAACGGCTTGAACTTGTTGGACTATCAAAAATTAGTTCAACAGCCTTTGCTTTCGTAAACTCTAAAAAGCTTTCAAACGTGGATTTAAGTGGATGTTCTAAAATAAGCTCTGAAGGAATATTTAATTTGGTTTATAATAATCCTTCAATTATTAGCCTTTGTTTAAATGGATGTAGTGGATTGGATGAAGTAAGAAAATTAAATTTAAAAAAAATTTTTCCAAAATTTAATTGAAGCAAGCCCTTTATGACATCGCGCATTGTACTGGGGAGAGACTTTGTCGTTTGGAACTTGACAATTTACACAATTCTAATATTATTGAACGGGTACAAGCAATACATAGTCTTTCTCAAAAGGTTTAAAAAAATTTCTAAAAAAATTTTTTGGAATCTCAAAACGCCCGAAAAGCGCCCAAGATTTTTATAATTTTATTTTAGTGCCCAAACATTGCAAGATTATCGCTTTGCCAGTTCTTCCCGGTATTTTGACTAAATAGTCCTACTATAATTATAAATTTAAAATTTATAAAGGAGGAAGAAGCAACAGAGCAACAATGTTTAATTGAAGGAAGTGGCTTGAGAGATATTGACCTCTATGGTATTTTTAATTTTAATCCGCAATCCCCTCCCAATTTTTCTAAAAGGAAATTATTTTTGGCAACCCCCAACACTTCCTTTAACCTTGTGCTCTTTACGCCTTTCTGTTACGGGTCAAGAAAATGTACATCAACTTCTTACAAGTTTACAACAACAAACTAAATTGGTTAATATACATTTACAATTACAATGTTTTGAAGAAGATGCGGTAAGGAAAAAATATAATTAATCTCAAATGAGGGATGTCACGGGTTGAGAGAAGAAAGTCCGGTCGGGTTTTGGAATTTTCTTTGTATAGCGTTTCGGGTCAAAAGCCCAGGGTTTGGAGTTTTCTCATGTTTTTGGGTCGGATTTCGGATCGGGTCAGTTAGGAAGAATTAAGAGGGAATTGGAAAAAATCCAAAATAAATTTTCTTTTCAGCATTCAATAGAAAACGCCAACACATTCCTCTACAAATTTTTGCGTATAATGGGAACTAAAATCACTCGCCTTCACGTAATTATATTTTTTAAAGTCAAAAAACTTTAAATATTTGACAGATTGCTGTTCAACGTCTTTGCGATTCTGTTATGTTACTTATTGCCTCACAGCTCCCAAATCTGAGTCATTTAGCCTTGGATGTATATTACTTAAATTCGAATACATTAAAACGTCTTTTTGCCGGTGGACTTCACTCCCAAGGGGCTAAATTACGCTCTCTACGCCTTTGCCGTTTAAAAATTACATATCGAGCATTATTTTCTATTGGGCGTTGGGTAAGAAAAAATTTTCCAAAAATTTCAAAAAAATTTTAGGCCCGTTCCCTTGTCGACTTGGAAACCTCCCACATGTCTTCCTCTGTCGACGACCGTTTTCTTGTCCTTTTGGCCAAAAATTGTAAACTTTTGCAAACGGTAAGGCTTGGAATTAATTTTTAAATGAAGGCGAGTGTTTTTTAAAATTAAATTTAAGGTAAATTTTAATGGTTGTAAATGGGTTACAGATAAAGGTCTTGCTGGGTTAGCAAGGTTGGGAATTATCATAAAAAAATTAAACCTCAAAAATTTTTTTAAAGAAATAAGCGTCTTCGAGAAGTTCGGATAAGAGGGACAAGTTGCACTGACAAATCACTCTACTCGTTGGCACAGTAAAAAAATTTTTCTGAAAAAATTTCAAAAAAATTTCCTTCTCAGATTCTGCCCCGCCTTAGAATGGATTGCCCATGCTGATTTTAGCGGACGCCCAAAATTTAGTGATCAAGCATTAAAATGTTTAAGAGATGCGTGCATACAACGAGTGATTTGTTAAACAAAGTTTTTTTAATAAAAATAAATTTAAAAAATATTTTACCTATTTTCTAATTTTGATATAAAATTTCAAACAACAATTTCATCAAATGGTAATTTTTCTGTAAATAAGTTGATATTTGTAGTGTCAATTTTTAGTTGTTTAGCGCCTAGTATTGCTGCTCTGAAAAAGAAAAATAAATTCTGATATTTCCTGGGAATGTATGAAAATTATTCAGAAATTTCCAAAAAATCAGAAACATTTTTTACGATTTTGTTCTGCCAGGAAATGTCGAAATTCTGACACTTATATTTCACTTTCCCCCTATTTTTCTGATTAATTTCAATTTTAAACCCCCACCCATCACTTATAATTAGAGGATTGTTGGTTCGAAACCAACCCGAACAATTAGAGGATTTGTTTATTCGGATCTTCGGTTAAACAAGAATTTCTGACACCCCATACTAATAACTTAATAGGTTCGGTTCCTAATACCCAACCGAAGGAAATAAATTTTCACAGAAAAGCATCGGATTTTTATTGGTTCCGTACCAAAAAATTTTCCAAGAACCTACAACGTTATAATTTAAATAATTTTTATACCCTATAGCTGGAGAACTTGTTGGTTGATAAAAAGCAACTTTTCGGAAAGTCCTTTGATTCTTCTTTAAACAATTTGTAACATTTGTTGCCAAGCATCTTTCAAATCCTTTCCTCAACAATTGCCAACTTTTAAAGACTGAACCAATTAATAAAATTGGGACTTTATTTGTATAAAATTCTTCATCAAAATTTTTGCTAATTGCACGAATATGAGCAGCTAATGAATAACCAGCATCAAAAAATATTTTTGTAGCTAATTTATTGTTGTTTAGACCTACTGGAATTTTTGAAAAAAATTATTTTTTAGAAAAAATAATAAGAAATGTCACAAAATCAGTGTCAGATGTCAATGTCAGTGACATATGTCAAAACTCGACATGCAGAAAAAATAATTCACAAATGTTTAAAAACCCTCAAAAATAACCAAGGCCCTCCACCCAACACTTATATTAACATAAAAAAATAAAAAAAACCCCGTACATTCAGCCAGCAATTTAGTAAAAGAAGCAATATAAGATTTTTGAAAGTTTGGTCCATACAAAATATTCATCAATTCCTCTTTTGTTTGAATTTTAAAATGTTTAAGTAAATGTTCTTTCACAGTTTGGATATCTTCAACATCTTCATTTTCATCTAACACAAAATTGTTTGAAAAAGAATTCTCAAGCATTCCATCATCAAAAGAAAAAATATAACGAATTGCTCTTAATAAAGAAAATTGAATTATTCGAAATATCCAACAGGAATGTCACGGGTTGCGAAAAGTCAGATCGGATTTTTAAAAAAAATTTGGATTAGGTTTGGATTAAGCTCGAAAATTAAGCTTCGGGACTTGACTCGAGTTTCAAGTCGAGAACGGGATATAGATGGAAGGCTGGGCTTCGGGTCAAAAGGTGCGCATCAGTAACCGAAATCGAGTATCGGTAAGGATACCCCGTTATTTCTTTGACATCCAGAAAATAAAAATATACAAGAAAACCTCATGCTAATCCAAAAAGCACCGCCTTCATCGCCTACCAAATGTCCCCAACCACCAACTTGAAAAAAGAAGATTAATTTTAAAAAAGTTTAAATTTGAAAAAACCTCCATGCACGCTACCATCTGACTAAAAAAAAAGAGAAAATTATTTTAAGATCATTTAAAAAATTGCCTTCAAAAGACGACAAGTAGAACCTGTACCAGCAATTAGAACAATACCACCTAGAATTAAATCTTATTTTAAACCAAAAAAATTTTTTTCAAACATTTTTCAAAACATGTAGCAACAGCAGCAACAGCATCACTTGTAAGAAACAAAGCTTCTGCCAAATCTCCATGTTGTGAACGCAAATATTCCAATAAAAGGGTGTTTGTTGCTGTATTTTCTGCTCCAGATAAACCCATACCCTTAAGAAAAAAAAATTTTTTTTAATCTTTCTTAAAATTTTGGATTAATTTTGGAATTTTAATACTAAACCTCATGCTAATCCAAAAAGTCACTAGACATTTTTGAGTCACTAGACATTTTAAACAAAAAAAAATAAAAAAAAATTCCAAACCAAGGCAGCTACAGGCAATCTTATAGGGTTTGGAATTGAATGCTCCTTCCTATTCTTTTCTACAATTGCCTCGCGAAGCCATCTCGCAATTTTGTCAGCAGTACTTTCAACACCATCCAATAGAAAATTTAAGCCAGGACCACCACTTAATTGATGCAATAAATTTCCATGGGAATCTATTAAAACGAATGTTGAACAGGTTGCACCACTAAATTTGTATTTTTAATAAGTAATTCTGATTTTTATTCTGGTAGAAAATTTTCTGATTTTCTTCTGATTTAAAAAATTCTGATTTTATTTCAGAAGAAAAATTCTGATTTTTTCTGATTTGAAAGATTCTGATTTTTTCAGAAAATTCTGATTTTTTTCTGATTTAAAAAATTCTGATATTTTTCTGAAAAAAAGTTCTGATTTTATTTCAGAATAAATTCTGATTTTTTTAAATTTTAATTAAATACCCTTCAATCCCTGCAAATATTTTTCCATCATTTTCCTCATATTTATTTTGCATTTCTTCTTTATCATTATTGCTTATCATTTTGCTGTCCAATAAATAGTTTGACCTAATAATTTTGCCTATACAAATTGTATGTTTACAAGTATCAACACAACGAATAAGTGTAGAAATTAAAGAATAATTATTTGTTGTTTGTTCCAATAATAATTCTTCTATGGTCCAATCTGAACTATAAAAATAGAAAAAAAATGTGTGAATGTGTTATCATGTGAGAATTATTAATTAATCGATATTAAAATGTGAGGAAAAAGGGTTGGGTGTGCGCCAGAAAAATAAAAATTAAAAAAACGCCATCAACACAAGCTGTATTTTTTTCTTGGTTATATAGAAAAATAGTATATTATAGGGCAATTGGTTCTTGGAGAACCCTCAAATATCCGGAACCGAACCGAGCCGAAGACCGATGATTTTTCGGTTCCGAACCGACAACTCTAGTAAATCAGATTTTCTATCAACATTTCTATTTGAAAACAACCCCAACAACACCTGTTTCCGATATCTCTTTTTATTTATTCGATTAATTTTTTTGGAATTACACAAATTGTGATTTTTCTTCAATAACTGATATAAGGTCAACAAACAAATTCTCATAAAATTGTGCTCTTCAGTAAACACAAAAAAATTATGATAAAAATTGAAGATTACTCTCAATAAAAATTAGAAACTTACTCTCTTATTTGGTAAGAAAAATAAAATTCCATAAAAGGGAATACATCAAATAGCCGTCTCAGCGTTTTTATTAAAATTTCAAAAACACAGGGATCATAAAATACATCAGAGCCAAAAAGATAATCAACTTGAATTGATTTGTTGAGCAATTCAGTGATTCCAATTTCTGGATTTTGCCAATCAAAGCCCTGAGGGGGAGGTAAAAACTGGATTTGAAAAAATAAAAAGTTAAAGCTAACCAGCAAGTAGACACAATTTTCGATAAGGGAAGAATCAAAATTCTTTTCCAAATTGTTTCGGATTGACGTGAATGCCTTAAAAAATATTTTAGAAAAATAAGAAAAATAGTTAGAGATGAGGATAGGAATCTTTTCAAGGACCTTGACTTTTCATTTTAAGTGAGGACCTTGACCATATTTTTAACTTTGAATCAAGGAAAAATCAAAGAATACTGCAAATGTTTTGATCCTGACTCTGGATTCAGGAAAAACAAAGGTTGGATTTAGATCCAAGCCGGACACTACTAGAAACGAGAGGATCAGGATATTTTTAAAAGAAACTTTTTTAACCTAAACAGACTTTGTCCAAATGTGATTGTTCAGTAATTACAACTTTAGAAGCTCCACAACGTAATGCAGTCATTGAAGGAAGAGCAGCTACACCAGAACCAATTTCCATGACAGTACAACCTTTCCAAATATTTGGATTTGAAGCAATAAATTCACCTGAAAATGAGTAGTCAAAAGCTTGTACGAAAAGAAAATAGAGAAAATCAGAACTTGTGTAATTCCAAAAGAAAACTAATCGAATAAACAAACTCCAAGGAGGAAGTGTTCTCAGAAACATTTTCTAATTAAATTAGAGATGGCAAAATTGATTCCTTGGATCCGTTCAAAAAATCGAGCGGGAGGGAGCAGCTGTCGAGCGGGGGAGAAAATCGAGCGGGGGAGAGCCCTGTACTCCAAAACACTCATGCGGGAGCCCTAGAGCGTAAAAGTAAAAGACCACTAAATAAAACAGACTCCACTAGAAAAAAATAAAATTTCAACAACCTTGCAAAAGTGTGTATTTTCTTTAAAAAATTTTCTTACATAAAATCTCAGAACTAGGCCAAGTATGTTGCCACATATACTGCGTCTCAATCATTGCAATTTATTGTATAACACACAGCAGAATTAAAAAATATTTCTAAATAGAATAAAAAGTTTACTACATTTATTTAAGTATTTAAATAAGCAAAAACAAAAATGAAGCAAAATTAAAGAAAAAAATTATTTTTTATTTATGTAATTAAAATGTTATAAATAGAATCAACTCAACACAGTTATATATGAGTTGGACGTACATTTCTTTTATTAGTGTAAATTTTAATGGAGAGCGCTGTAAAACCAAATACTGAAAAAAAGTATTTTTCAGCCCCCAAAAGCAGCCGAAATACCAAACTATGGAAATGTACCGAAGATAACAACCCCAAAAACCCCCGAAAAGAAACATAAAAAATTTACGTCCAACCTAAATTTTACATAAGCCTTTTATGATAAATATCCTTTTTATACTTATTAAAAGATTAACCAAAATTAAGGTGGTGGCTGTCCTCCTCCATTACTATTATTATTTCCTCCACCACCATTATTCTCATTATTTCCATCTCCACCACCTCCAAATTGTCTTCGAAGCATTTCAACTAATTGAGGATTTGATTGATTAATAACGCTTGCCATCTAAAAATTTTTTTTAATTTCCAAAATTAAAAAAAAATTTTACCGCCTCTCCAGCCCGAAGCATATCAGCCATTGGATTACCTCCACCTCCTCCTGGTTGATTTCCATCTCCTCCACCAGCGCCACCACCTCCAAACATATTCTGCATAACATTTTGCATCATATTGCGTACGCCAGGTTCCTGAAAAGAAATTTTCATTGAATAAATTTACTGAAAAATCCCAACCTGCATCATTGCTCCAATAGATCTAGCCAAATCAGGATTATTAAAAAGTGCACCAAAACCGCCTAGAGCACCTAACGGGTCCTTTAAAATTGAAAAAAATTTAAAAAATAGCAAAAAAAGACAAACCTGTGGATTATTTGCAAAAGTTTCACGAGCTTTACTTAATTTTTCTTCAGCAATACTCAAATTGTTCTTATAACTGAAAAAAGTTTAGTCAATAAAAAATATTTTTTAAAACCTTTCGCTAGACGGATCGATTTCTAATGCTTTTTTGTATGCTTCCACAGCTTGATCATAACGACTTTGACAGGAAAGAGCAACTCTGAAAAATAATTAAAACAAATGAATTAATTGTAGGAATAGAAAAAATTTAAAGAAAATCATATACAAAGTTATAGAGATTTGCTGGGATCAAAAATCAGGCCTACCATTTTTCTAGATTCAGAGTCAAACACAAAGCATTTCTCAGAGGTCTTGATATTTCCTTGACTCAGAGTCAAAAATCTGGTCAGGTTCTTCAACAATAACCAAGGTTTTTAAAATTTCCGATCTCTACAGAGTTAAGAGACCCTAAGGAAAAAGTTTTTGTACACAAAGCCCCTTATGGAAATTTAAGCATTATTCTCTAAACCATTACCCCATTCGTCCATAAGCTTTAGCATAATTTGGATCCAATGCCAATGCAGTACGGCAATCTTGAATAGCCAAATCATATTGCTCAAGTCGACAATAAGCAGCGGCCCTTTAATTTAAAAATTATTTTATCAAAATATTTTTAAAAAACCTATTGCAGAAATAGACAGGATCTCTATTTAATTTGATAGCATCATTATATTTCAAAATAGCCTCATCAAATTTGCTTTGTTTAACCAAATCATTCCCTTCTTCTTTAAGTTTGTTTGCTTGAGCAATCTCAGCTTCAGTTGGTGTTGGAAACTCATCATCCTAATATAAATATAGTTATTAATAAGTCAGATATTTGGTTAATTGTAAGGACTTAAGTGGAAAATCATCTAAAAAATAGATCGCACAAAACCGGTTCATGTCAAAACGTCACAACGGATCGTGCAGGCTAACACGGGGAAAACTGTCAAAAACTTACCCACCATCGGACAGACTTTTTCCCAGTTTTAGGTCTGCGCCGTTTCGGTCGTCGTTTTAGGCATCCCGTAAAACGTCTCGAAGAACCCCCATAAATTTTCTTAAAATAGCTCAAAAAATTATCAAAAAATTTACCCCATCAGGCAATCCCTCAGCCGCTTTAAAAATGTCAATTAACGGCTTTGATGGTTGAAAAGCATAATTCTTGTCAGAAACTCCAAAAGCACCTTCCAAACATTGCGTAGCAACTAAAAATATTAATTTAAAAAATGAAAAATTGCCAAAAGAAAACCTTCAATTTGAGCCTCCTGATCTTCCGTGCATTGATTTGCCGAAACTTTATGACGCAAAAATTGAACAAACGAAACAATTAAGTTGCGCTCATCATTAGTAATACGCCCCTTATTGTCAAACTGTTCAGAAGAAGAATTTTCGGTTGCTTTATCAGAATCCATTTTTTAATTAAAAAATACTCTATTCAACTAAAAAGGATAAAAATTTAGAATTGTAAGCAATTTGCAAAAATAAATGATTAAACAAAAACAAATAAACATTAGATAACAAGGAACACGTTCAAGAAACGTGTTCATGTTGAAATAGTAAGTGTGACAAAAGAACGAAAATTAAAGGAATGGGCAAAATGGTTTTTGGTTAAATGAAAGTTTACATTAAAAATTTAATTTTAACTAAATTTTCAGTTAACCAAAAGACACTTCGCCAGTCCGTTAAAATTAAGACATTTCGTCGTTAAAGAGAAGAAGATGCGAGAGAAAAAAATATTTTCAGTTAAAAAATGACATTTAGCCAGTCTGTCGAAACATAGACATTTAGTCACTCAAGGTAATCGAAAATTATAAATTTTTAAAAAAAACCTTAAAAATTTACAAAAAATTTTTAAAAATTAAAAATCTCTCCTTTTTTTCTATTTTAATTTTATTTTATTTCTTCTAATTCTGCCAATCTTTTTAAGGATTTCCTCGCTTCATTTGTTAAAACTTGAAAATTTTTATCTTCAAAATTTGAATATAATATTAAAATTTCTTTCAGCCTTTGTAAATTATTTTTGTTATTAAAAGCACCGCTATTTTCTATTATTGTTGGAATACTTAAAAAAGAAAAATTTTTTTAGAAATTTAAAAATTCTATTAAAAAATGCAAAACCCACAAAAATTAAAAAACCCAAAATCCTCCGTGTATTATACACACCCCCTAAAAAATAAAAAAATAAAAAAAAAAACTAAAAATTTAAATTTTCAAGGACTTGGAAAACAAAATTATGTTTCAAATTCAAAGTCTTGAAAAAATTTGTTGACCAAAGCTATTTCGTCAGTCCATCGAAACCTAGACATTTTGCTGTTTAGAGGAACCCAAATCCCAAAGAATCGAAAAAATTTTTCAAAATACCAAAGAATTGGTCAATTTTTTAACTAAATCTCCTCTTATAAATCTCCCAATTTCCCATATATAATCTATTAGAAAATAAAAATTAAAAACCTTTCCACCAACGCCAATTGTAATTTAAAAGCAACAGAATGTTTAATTACAGATTCCTTAACAACCAAAATTTTTGTATCCTTCACATTTTGTTTATATAAATTTTCTAATAAACCACAAATTCTCGGTAAATATTCTTTTACAATTTTCCAATAAACAAAATCTTTGGAAATTAAAGTTATTGTTTTAATTACATCAACAGATTTAATTGCAACAAGCATTTCTGAATTTGATTGATGGACGCCGGTTTGAAAGTTGGAACTCTGAAAAAAGGAAATTAATTTTTAAGGAAAAAAATTTTTCTGAAATTTTCGTAGGCTTTGGGTTGTTATCTTGACATTCTGAAATCTGACGTTCTGATTTTCTTTGGATTTTTTAAATCAAAAGATTTAAAAAAATTTTCTGAAAAATTATTTAGGCTTTGATTTCTTGACGTAATAATTTTTAAATTTAATTTTTGGACATTCTTACAATTTTAAAAATTCCGAAAATTTTTTTGAAAAATTTTGCATGCTTTATTTTTGATTTCCTGACAGCCTATAAAAGATTCTCAGAAAAAAATTGAAAAAAAATTTTTAATCTAGAAAAAAACCTCTTCTAACACATTCCCAAATTTTTGAATTAATCCATGCCAATTTTGATGTATCATTGGAAGCAATTCATTTTCATAATTTTTAACCAATTCCAAAGAATATTTTAATATATCCAATATATTTAATTGTACAGGTAAATATTGGGAAGAAATGAAGTGTTTTGTTCTTTTTAAAAATTAAAAATAAAAATTATTTAAAAAAAAACCTTTTTAAAATTGTAACTAAATTTTGAATTAATGGATAATTTAAATCATTTAAATATTTTTCATTTTCTTCTTCAGGTATATTCTTATTTGGAATATCTTCAGTTTCCTCTTCGTTATCAGAATATTCATTTACTAAAAAAATAAAATTTTTTATTAAATATTTTTTAAACATTTTTAGGCGATGATCTGGTTTATGTTAGTTCCCTACACCTTACATTAACTAAATTGTTTTTCCCGTTTCTTACCCAAAAAACCGTCGTTATTAAATAACAATTTTTAACCGGAGACCCTAAGCCAAAGTCTTTTACCTATTTTTCCAAACTAAATTTTAGTGGATCCGGATCCAAAAAACCGGACATCCGAAACTCTCGATTCAGATCCGGATATCTGAAGATTTCCCAGGATCCGGTAACCATATTCCAAAAATATTCTTATTTTTTTGAGGTAATGCTCTGAGGTTCCTCACATTGTTTTTTCAGATATTTTTTACTTATTTTAAAAAATTAAAAAAACCTTTAGAAGGTTGTTGTTCATCTACTATTATTGTTTGAGAAGGTATTAAAGGATAAAACCAATTATACAAAGCTTTACAATAATTTTTTAAACAAAATAATAAAAGTAAAATTTGTTTTTGATTTGAATAATCTAACCAAAATAATAATTCATCCAATGCTCCTTTCAATTTAAAATAAATTTTTGGATTAACACATCTTAAAATCATTTCAGATAAAACCATTGGAAAGCGTGGATTTGTTGGGAAATCCTTCAAAAAAATTTTTAAATTAGATTCTTGACATTTTGTGATTTTTGACATTTCGAAATATTGTGATTTCGTGACATTTTGAAATTTGAATATTTTGAATAGAAGTCGACACGGGGCAGGATCCCGTACGGGACTTTACAGGATCCTGTCCCGAATCATGTGTTTTACGCGATGAACGGGATTAATCCCACGGGATCCGGTCCTTTAAAAAATCCCGTTAAGGAATCCCGGAAATGCGATTTTACCGACCTCTAATTTTAAACGTCTTCGAGTCTTTTGCCATTCTTAGATACTCTTGGGTGGATTTCCCAAAATTTAACATAAAAAACAAAGAATATAAAAACCTGTGCGGCAAGCAGAATTTTAAACATTAACAAATGGGCATTTTCAAAAATCATTTCAGAAACATCTTTGTATTGGGTAGAATTCTTTGAAAAAATTAAATTATTAGAAAATTTTAAAAAATATTCAAACCTTAACTAAATTATTTAAACAATTATCGGCCGCATCTTTAACACAAATATTTGAAGAAGAACAATATTTTAAAGTTTCATAAAGCAAATCGCCTCGATTCTTTAAAAAATATAATTTTTTTCATTAATTTAAAAATTAAATTTATACCTTTGCAGCAATATTATCCAAATTAATTGAAGAAAGGCAATTGAATATGAGACTAAAAATGAAAAATAATGAAAAAAAAGTTTATCCAAAATTTTTTTAAAAGGTTATGTATTTTTTAATTGATTTTAGAGTTCGAACTCGGACCGTGAAACCAAGTATTTGATAAAATCCTGACAAATCCAATTTCGAGCAATTCTGCCTGGGATTCTGAATTTCTTTTTGAAATTTTCAAAATTTGATTTTTAACACTTTTTGGCGTTCCGACAAAAATTTAAATTCTTAAGTTGCTTATGGAATTTACAAAAAAACATCAAAACAAAAAATTCAACATACCCAACTAAACAAGACTCATCAGTATTTAAAGGTAAATTATCAACGATTTCACTATCCAAAATTTCTTCTTCCAATAAAGAATCAAATAATTTTAAAATTAAAATAATATCATTAATTAAATTTGACAATTTATTTTGATCAAAATTGTTATTATTAGAAGAAGAAAATGTTGAAATTAATGTTGAAATCAAATATAAAATTGAAGTTTTTAATTTTATATCATTTGAGTCAGTTGTTGATGTTGAAATAAATTTATTAATTAAAATATCAAATAAATCCTGAAAATTTTAATAAAAATTTTCAGAGCTTCTAGAGCCATTTTAGAGTCCGAATCTGAGCCCGGGACCAAGTATTTTGATAAAATCCTGATTTTCTGAGTACAAGCCCAGTAACAGACTGGTATGAGGCCAGTCTCCCTGAATTTTTGAGTAAACCTATTTGGCATATTGAATCGTTTTCCCATCCTATTTCAAGGAAAAAATTGGTAAAAAATTTTTAAGGAAAATTTTATTAATTCTTAAAAAATATAAAAATACCTCAGAATTAGGCAAAACAACCAAAAGTTGAGCAAAATTAAAAATAATTTTTGAATTAATTCCAAATTTTAGAGGAGGAAGAAGGCATTCTTTTCATAAAAAAATAAAATCTTTAAAAATTAATTTAAAAAAAAACCTTGAAAATTTTGACCATTTTTAACTAAACTAATTAATTGTTTTTGTTTATCTACAACCAAAATTGACAATATTGAATTTAATAATAATTCTTTAAAATCAGAAGAAAAACATAAATTGTTGAGAGAATCAGAACCAAGCATTTGTAAAACATTAAACAACTGATAAAATTAAGGTTTAAAATTCTAGTAATCTACAAATTCTGATTTAAAGAAATTATTTACGTTTAAATAGCCTGTTTTTGTGTTTCTTTAAAAATTCTGAATTTTAGATTCTGATTTCCCTTTTATTTTTACAATTACAAATTCTGATTCGGAAGAATTATCATTTTTCAGAATTATTTTCAGAATTATTGTATTTCAGAATCAGAATTTGTAATTGTAAAAATAAATAAAAATCAGAATTTTGAAATCAAAATTTGTAAATTAACAAAAATCAGAATTTCTAAAATTTCAGAATTTTAAAAAAAAACATCAGAATTTTAAGTCAATAAAAATTAGAATTTAAGTTTCAGAATTTATTTCCTACATTTTGTAACGGAATTTCCCCATCAGCTGCATTAATCACATCATTTTCCAATCTTTTTAATAAATTAACCAAATTATTTGTTAAACAGGTTTCAACAAAATTTGCATTTTCTGATTGTAATTTATTAAATAAATGTTTACATTCGTTGGAAATTCTGAAAAAATTATTTTAATAATTTTTTTAATTTTTAAAAATAAATTAAAAATTATTTTCAGAATTTTTAAAATTAAAAAAATAGACCTAATTTGTTCATCATTATATAGTAAAGAACAAATATCAATTGCAATCTTGTTAAAATCATCTCCACCTAATAAATTTTAAAAAATTATTAAAATATTATTTAATTTTTTAATTTTTAAAAATAAATTTTACAAGAATCAGAACAGAAAAATCATAAAAAAAATCAGAATTAAAAGAAAACAGAAAATTAAAAAATCGGAAAAATCAGAATTAAGAAAAATCAGAATAATGAAAAATCAGAAAAAAATATAAAAAAATCAGAAAAAAAAGTCGTACGAAAATCAGAATTAAAAAATCAGAACAGGAAAATCAGAAGAAAATCAGAAACAAGAATATGCATTAAAAAATCAGAAATCACAAAAAATCAGAAACAAAAATGTTCAAAAACCAGAAGAAAATCAGAATTTTTTAATCCCAACCTATATCTAAACCAACATATTTTATTTTAAAAAAATATAAAACTCACAAAATTCTCCTTTAAAATCAAAAATTGTACAAGTTAATTTAACAGCCTCAAACCGAATTAAATCAATTTTTGAAGAAGACAAATTAGTTAGAATTGAACAAAATTGAGGAAAAATTTTTTCTTTTGCCATTTTAATCCATTCATCATTTCTTTCAAAAATAATTATTGAAGACGTTGAAATTATTTTATTTTCAATTAAATTTTGTTGTTTAAATAAAGGAAGGAAAGAAATAATTAAAATATTTGAAAGAATCTTTAAAAAAGTAAAAAAATAAATTTAGGTATTTTATTCATATTCACTTGGAAGGCCGTAGGCTAAAAAATTCACTTTTTTGCTCAATCACATCCCGAAATTTTTTCCTTTTCCCCATTTCGCGAAGGGGGGGGGGCATTCCTCTCCTCTGGTTACGGGCCTGCTATCAAGACAAGTAAGACCTTTTTGCTTAAATTTGATCCTTTTTGTCTAACGGCAAACATCAAGCTTTATGAAGAAATAGGATATTTGACTATTCAAAGTCAAAAAATCTTATAACGCTTGAGTAAAATAAGAACAAGTAGAAAGAGAGATGGATGATACCCAATTTTACAATAAATTTAAAAATAAATCCAAACCTTACAAGAAAATTGTAAAATTTCAATAGAATGTATTTGTTGAAGAATTACATTTTTTATTCTTAAAAAAATTCCAGGAAGAATAAAAGCAATAAAGTTGGATGATAATTCTTTGTATTTTAATTTGGTGATTTCACAAATTAAATAAGCACATTTTTTACTTAAAAAATTAAAATTTAGAAATTAAAAAAATAAAATTAGTTTGCTGAGGAAAAGTAAAACAACGAAAAAGCTTCAAAAACAAGTTTCGAAACTTTCTAGGTAAATTATCAGGAAAAGACCCTATAAAATCGGAATTGCATAGAAAAGTGTTGGTCCTTGTTTAGTTTATGATTCAATGAACCTTTTATGTTTATAAGGATTTGCGAGTCGAGTAAAAATTTAGAAGTCATTGGACTCCTAAGGATTCATAGGTGCCATAAACTAGACTTCGCCAAAAATTAACCCCCAACCTCCTCCAGTAAAAATTTTAAAATAACCGTATTTCAATATCAATTTGAGAACATCCAAAGGTATCCAAAAGTAAAGAAAGTAGATGCCCCAAGGCTGGCCGAAAAGTTGTTTTGAATAATTCTAAAAAATCAAAAATGCAAATAAAAAAAATCTCAAAAAAAAGACCTTGTCTCAATTGCTTAGATTCCAAAATCGAACAAATTAAATTCTCCAATTTATCAACATCATGCCCCTTCAGTATTCCTTTAGTTTTTTCTTCCTTCAAATTTGTATCTTCAATTGAAATCTTTGTTTGTTCAATTAGAAATAATTCCAATTCAGTAAGCATTAATTTTTTTAAAAGAAATTTAAAAATATAATTTTTTAGAAATAATAATGAAGACGACTTAAAAAGATATAAAATTAAAAATAAGGCTATAATTTTGTCTTTTTATAAAAATAAAAAAATTTTTTTTTATCACAATAATTTATTTATAAAAAGAATGCACATTTAATAGTTAGGGAACGAGCCGTTTTGATTCCCGAAAATTGGAAATTCCTCGTTTTTTAAGGCCGGGATCAGTGTTTGGAAGCCCGAGACTCGTAGAAGCTCGTTGAACAAAAAATTCGAACCCGTACCTGTGTACGAGTACGAGAAAAAAAAACCCTGTACGAAGCTACGAGTAGAGCAAATTTTCAAAATTCCAAACACCGTATTGATTCCCCGAAATTTAAAATTTATTTCTTCTTTCGGCGGCTCGTTTCCTAATTTATAGGAAAAAAGTTAGCTAATACAAAATAAAACAAATAAAAAAAAATTTTTTTTTCTAGTAAATAGGTTAAAAGAAATAAAATTTTAAAATGCCCTTTTGGAGGGATTTTGAAGGTAAAAATAAAAAAAAATATTTAAAAAGGTTAGGGCAAGTAAAGGACTACATGTAATTAATGAGACTTAACAAAAAAATATTTTTCTTCTTCTTCTATTTTTCAGTACTATTATATAAAATCACAGATAAACAAACCAACAAGGCACCAAAACCAAATAAAAAGGTTACATGATAATTATCAAAAATTATTAGGGAAAAGATGACAACCATTATAATTGACAGGGAAGAAGCAAAACTGCAAAAAATGGGAACAATTAAATTTTTAGAAATTTTTTTTTCAATTTGAAAAATTTTTTTAATGTCAAAATGGTAATTTTTCGGAATGTCGAGATTTCAAAATTTTTTAGAAAATTTTTAAAAAAATTTTAAATTCCAAACCTTTTATAAAGATTATCCAAATGTTTCATAATAAGTGAAATGTAAATTCCTCCAAATGACAGAAAAACTAAAATAAAAAATTAAATAAATTAAAATAGAAAAAAATTTACGAATTATGCAAACAACTTTAGTATTGTAGCCAAACAAGAATCCTCGTTCAAAAATTTGATCCTAAAAAATTACAGAATTTTTCAAAAAACATCGGATTTTTTGCTTTAGAAAAAAATCAGAATTTTTTTCAGAAATTTAATCAGAATTAATTTTACAGAAACAAAAACCAGAATTTTTAACAGTAAAAAACAAGAATTTATTTCAGAATTAAAAAATCTGAATTTATTTAAAAATAAAAAAAAACAGAATTTCTTCCAGAAATAAAAATCAGAATTAATCTTACAAAAACAAAAACCCTCGAATTATTTTTCAGAAAAATCAGAACAATAATTTTCAGAAATTTAATCAGAATTAATTTAACAGAAACAAAAATCAGAATTATTTCTCAGAATAAAAATCAGAAAATAAAAATATAAAAACTAACATAATCCTTCAGAAAGCAGCCTAAAAGTGCAGAAATAACACCACAGAAATACCTAAAATAATTTTTAAAAATTTTCCAAAATATTCAATTTTCCTCACATTTGTAAATTTCTAATCCAAAAAGAAGTATTTGAAGATCCATCTTTTAACATTTTTTCAAAATATACACCAGCAAAACTCGAAGTAATACAAGCACAAAAAACACAAAATAAACCAGTTAATGAATTTCTTTCAATTTTATTTTCCAAATTATTTTCTTCTTTTGAATTTTTGTGAAATTTGGAAATATCTAACTGAAAAAAATTTAAAGAAAAAAATTTATTTTAATAATTTAAATACCTCAACAAGTGCAAGACCAACACAAAGTTGAAATATTGCTAACCATCTACGCAAAGAAAATTGACGTCGAAGGAAGAGCATCTGTGGAAGAGTAAAATTTAAAAAAATCAGATAAGAATTGAGTTTAACAATCAGAATTTATTTTTAAATCAGAATAAAATCAGAATTCAGTTATGGAAAAATCAGAATTTATATTTTAGAATCAGAATACGACCAGAATTTATTTCAGAAAAATCAAAACAAAACCAGAATTCAGTTAGGAAAATCAGAATTTAAAATCAGAATATTTTTCAGGATAAGACCTGGATTTAGTTTGAAAATCAGAATTTTTTAAAGAAAAATCAGAATATGACCAGAATTCGGTTAAGAAAAATCAGAATTTAATTTAAAAAAATTATACCATAAAAATTGCAGTAAATGGAATTTTCAGTTGACTGAAGACCTACAAAAAATTTTTTTAATTTCTAAAATCAAAAAATTTCAGACCTGATAAACCGAAGCATCCAAATTCGAAAGCGCAACAAAATCCAAATTCTTAAAAAAATTTTCAATTTAAAAATAATTTAAAAATACATTTTGTAATGCATATGCCAAAGAAGGAACAGCCATTTTTACAAGTTCATAAGGTTTTGAAAAAAATTCAAATTTAATAAGCTAAATTGAAAAAAATTTTGTTAGTTTTTTTGGGAATTTTTGGATATCCCGCCCCACCCACTAATTTGAGTCTTATTTCAGCTATTTCCCATCTTCATGCCTCTCATTTATTTTCCTCAAACATTTAAGTAGAATGCATCATAAAAAAGGATATTGTTGGGCTAATCAGAGGTAGGATTTGGCACTCCGTGCCAAATCTAACTAAAAATGAAGAAAAGAAAAACTGATACTCAAACTAGATAGGGAGCGTGATAACCAGTCTCAATTTTCAAAATTAAATTCAGAATTCCAACCTCATTTCCTTTTTGTAAAGTTTCACTTCCCGCATAAACATAAAATAAGGTTATTAGAAATTTTGCACATTCAGAAGAGAAGACGACTTAAAAAATGAAAAGAAATCTTTGGTAAAAATTAAAAATGTCAATTAAAATTTAAACCGAAACAGAGACGAACCAGTAGATGAAGAATATAACTAAAAATTGGAAAAAATATTTTTTTAATAAAATTTTTAATAATAATAATTTTTAATAAGTTTTTGGATTCTATCAGCGAAAATATTTTCAGTTCCAATGGAAACAAAAGAGTTCCCTCTGTAAGTACTCACCTCACATGGACAGAAAAGTAGAAAAAATATTTTCAAAAATTAACAAAATTCGGGAAAAAGAAGAATTCTAAGGGATTTAGAAGACATTCTTAAGGAATCAGAAATTTCTTATGTCAAGAAAAAAAGTTCATAAATATTCCCTGCATACAGGAAAATATTCCTGAACCACTTTCACCCATATCATTAAAAAATATTGAAAGAAATTTTAAAATTAAATAAAATTCCAAACCTCATCTTTAGGTGTCATTTGCCTTGTATAAGAAACCATTAAAGTATAACCAGTCCACAGAAAAATAGTTACAGAAATTACATATAATTTAAAAAGTATTCCTTCTTTTTTTGTTAAAGTTGAATAAAGAATTGGTAAATTTGATTCAAGTAATGCATCTTTATCTGACATAATTTTTTCCTTTTTTTAAGGGAAAGCTAAAAATAAAAATTAAATTTAAAAAAAAAATTACGTGGAAAATTTTATTCTAGGTCAGATAACTTTAGGGATAAATGGAAAAATAGGATATGAGTAGGTTTGGGGTTTTCGAGTCGGGCCGATGCCTGAGTCATTTTTCGGGTCACATTTTACCGGGCCGGTCCGAACAAAGTCTTTTGCAGGCCAACTTGTTCTTTCAGAAAAGCCCTACTTGTTCTTTCGGATCGGGCCCTCAACCCTAAAAGAGTAGATGGAAGGTGTTATGGACCTAAAAAGCCTAGCATGACTCAATTATCTCTTCAAAAACTTATGTTAGAAATATGGGTAAGATCGACGGCTTAAACGTATGGTGAGTCTCACGTAGAAAAATATATTTAAATCAAAATTTTTGGTATATAAAAAAGGCAAAAAACCTTTAATAAATAATTAATAAAAAAACATTTTTATTTAGATTCTACAATTTTTATCCACAAAAATACAATTTAATAGAAAACACAAATTTATCCTATTTTTAAAATTATTGAAAAGGCATTTTCTAATGATTTTGTAATGTTGAAGATTTTTTTCTGGTAATAAACAAAAATTTTGTTTTGGACAGTTACATATTATTAAAAATAAAACAAAACAAAGGTATTATCCCGATTATCTCTTCAAAAAAATTTTTTATTCTTCGATCTCATCTACCCAAATAAAAATTAAACTTGGAAGGGTACAAAAAGGTCAGATGGGAATTATGGAAAAATTAAAACAAGAACAAAATACGTAAACCAGGGAAGAACCCTCCACCTTTCGAAAAGCGGAAAACGTAAGAAAATAAAAAATAGAGGACGAAAAGAGGTCGCAGTTCCAAAGGCTTAGCCAGGGCCACCAATGAAATCCTAACCTGCCTACGCCCTTGCCCATTCTAATTTAAACGATATCAAAAAAGCAAAGAAAATTTTCGGAAGAGATAATCGGAAGATATCACCCACAAAAATCCACAACATTAAAAAAACCTAAAAAAAAACCTTTTTTCCTTTCAAACAATTTTTATTTTGAACAATATTTCCACGCATCTGGCATATAATTCAATCGTGTCTGATCAACAGAAGTAAGATGAAAGCTTTTCCAACCAAGAGGTCCAGTATAAGGAGAAAAGTGACCGCTATACATTCGGCTGAAAGGCATTCCTTGAGTTCCCCATTGAATTGTACGTACATGTTGATAATAAGAAAATAGTACAATTAAAGGAATTGAAGTAAAAAGTGCTCGTTGTAACTTGAAATCACCTGGAAAAAAAAATTTTTTTTTATTTTTTTGTGTTTATATTAAAAATTTAGATAGAAGCAAGGTGGTCCTTTTTTGTAGAGTTAAACTTTTTACATGGAAAAATGAGGACATGTTAATGTTAATATCATTCAAATCAGCTTGAAAAGCAAGTCGAGTGATGCCAAAGATAATTAAGTCTGACAGTCATATATCGAGTTATGATCAAAAAATAAATTCCGAGAGGATAAAATGTCTCGTTTTTGGTTATACACAAGTATTTTCAATTTTTAGACACATTTAAACTTTAAAATCCATCTTATAGAAAATTGAAAAAAGCTCCGGACTTATACTAAAAATTTAATCCAAAAATACTTACGCATCGTAGCATGAAGTGCACCAGTCACAACAGAAGCTTAAATTGAAAAAATATTTTTTTAAATTTTTTCTGATTTTTAAGAGTAAAATGAGCTATGTCAAAGATTAATTTTTTAAAATTTGTTTATTCCCTCCCCTCAGAAAATCGAAAATAAAAAAAAATTTAATAAAAAATTAAAATGAACTTCAGAAATATTGTTTAAAAAAATTAAACTTTAACCACTACAAAAATTTTAATAAAAAATATTATTCAAAATCAAACCAATAGTCCAATTCCAAGTATCATCAATATGTCTAATCTTTGCAGAAGTACAAGCAGTAACACCAAAAGTCATTCCCAAAGCAGCAGGAACAGGAAAAAATCTAAATGCCCAATCCTTGCAAATACCCGTCCAATTAACCAAAACTTTTAAATCTTTTTTTCCACGATCCAAATAAGCCGCAGCGAAAGCTTTAAATTTAAAAATAAGATAAAAAAGGGAAAAAATAGGGGAATTACAAAAAAGAGATTTTGTCAAAGGCTAGTTTCCGAAAGACGGAATTGTTCAATTTCTATATCTAAAATTTTACACCGCTACAAAAGTCGAAAACTTTAGAGCTCTATAACTTTCCGATTTTGAATGTAGGACCGGAAAAGCAAAAAATTGGCAATAGGAAATCGATCCTGCTCTACAAGAAGGTATTAATTAATTGAAAAAATTTTCACGACAGTTCGATATGGTTCCTTGTCAGTCTAGTTTTTGCAGTTTAGCTCCAAGGTTTTCAAGAGTCAGTTGAAACTCGACTCTTCTGAAATTTCAGGAGCAGAGGTTTATTAAAATCAAAGTCGGAAATGGTCTTGTGGGTCCCAAACTCAAGCTAAAAAGAGTTCAACTAGCACCCCTATAATACAAAGGTCCCTAATCCAAAATAAAAAATTAAACACACATGCAACAGCAATATATTTAACAAGCGCAAGTCCCTTCTCAATACAACCTTCATTCATTGGTTTATCCCAAAACCTCGGACCTCTATGTGTTTGCATAAAATTGTGCATTTTAAAATGAGTTCCGAGTGTTCGATATTCTTCCTTATATTTATCCAAAAGTGGAGAAAGGGCAAATCCAGGATGTTCAGGGCTTATGTCAAAATTGTTTATGATATTTTTGTATTGACTAGAGCTTTCAGTAACCTACAAAAAATAAGAGAAAATTAATATTAGCTTGAACTTATTGTTAGTTGTAAATTAAACAAGCTCCTTTCCCGATTTAACCTCTTTTCCCCATTTCAGGGGGGGGGGGGGGCCAGAAGTATAGCCTTACTACGCCCTTGAATTAAACACAAGCAAAAATAAAACAGCGGCCAAAAATAGCAAAAAGTAATTTTATTAATTTTATATCCTCATTTTATTCGTAGAAAAGGACCAATAATATGACCTGCGGCCAAAAATCTTTGGAAGGCAGAGAAACCAGATTTCTTCAAGTTTTTCTTCCAAAAAAATCAGTTCCTAAGGGGTATAGCCTCCCGTCCTCAACGAGGTTTCTGGGCGAATATAAGACCGGCCAATTCGAGAACCTCGGCGTCGGCGAAGCCTCGACCTACCCCAGTAAATTTAAAAAAATATTAACAAACCTTCTTTTGATGCTCATCAAACGTCATTGGTTGATCCCCCTTTTTAGTCAAATTTCTATGATATTGCGTATCAAGCCCAAAAGGTCCAACAACCGAAGTTCCATCAGGGACTTTTGGATCATACCAATAATTATCCCGTTCGCGATGATCATAACGAATTCCACGGGACATTCCCCTTCTCAACATTTCGTCTTTATATCCAAGTTCTGCCCACCATTCTGGACGACCATTACTTTAAAATTAAAGGATTAGCTGCTTAAATAAACACTTACTATTCTTTATAGCAAGGCACCCAAAAAGGTCGTTCAATTCTAATTGTTGGAGATAATGGAGGTTCGTAAGGATATTTATAATCCGAGTGGGAAAACATGGCAAAAAGTTTGCAATAACACTGAAAAAGAAAATTATTAAAAAAATTATTGCCAGAAAAATTTTTTCAGATTTTTCGTTATTGATTTTCCTTGAAAAGTTGGAATTTTGTGACAAAATGGGTGCAATAAAGTGTGGCGACAAAGTGGCTTGTGGCAAAACGTCCGTTCAAAGAAAAGATTTTGAGGAGAAATAGTATAGTGTTTTGGGAGAGTTGTTAGAGAAAAAGTTTTTCAATTTAAAATTTTTAAAAATTTTTCTTAAATTTTTAAGGCCCTGCACTTTTATTGTCGTTATTTTCACTTTAAAAATGTCTGAAGACAACGAATTAGACAACGACCATCAAGAATTAAGCCCTGCAAGTGTCAACGTTAGCGCAATTCAACGACAACTATCTGCTGCTGTTCAAGCCGCTGCTGAAGAGCCTTCTTTTAATTTGAGACTTATTGAAGCTGTGAAACAAAGCCATTGTTTATATGACCCGTCTGATAGGTTTTATTCTTTTTTTTTGTTTTATGAAAAGTTTTGGGGTTTTAAGGGGGAGGGGTACGAACGGTACGAACTTCAATTTTACCGACAATTCTTCAAGAAAATTAGAAACCTACTAGAACTAGAAACCTACTTGGGTTGTTGGCGGTCGGTTATCTTTTTCCATGTGACGGCTTAAATGGAGAATATGAGCAGTTAAGCTGTCACATGCAAAAATTGACCGATCGCCAACAACACTAAAGCCTACCAGGCATTTCTTATGTTTTGTTAAAGACTTGCCTTTCTTATTTCATACTTCCACCTTAATTCCTTTTAATTAACCTTAATATTTTTATTTTTAGACAATATAGAAGTGCTGACTACAAAATTAAAGTATGGAATCGTCTTGTACAAATGCTTGGATTTCAAGGTGTTTTGACTTGTTTAAAATATTTTTTTATTTTTTAGGAGATGCTAGAACTTTGTATAATCGTTGGAAACAGTTGAGAGATAAATATGGAAAAGAGGTAAATATTTTTAATTTTTGGCTTATTGTTAACTTGATTTTAATTTTAGAAAAAGAAATTGAAGTATAGTGGAGAACAGCACTCACAATGGCAATATTTTAAGGTTTTATTTTATAAATAATATTGGTTTTTGGAAAATGTGTATTAGGAACCAAACCGGAGAATAGAATTAAAAAATTTTAAGTTAATCGGTTTGGTGGCGAACCGAAGAACTCTATTTTTAATCATTTCGAATAATTGAGATCGGACCTGCCGATGCATACTAATTTTGGTATCCGTACCCGGATATTTACTGCGGATACAGGCGGATATCCGCAGGCATCTTAATGTTATCTGTATCCGTATCCATGAGCAGGTCTGACTGAGATTAAGTTTGATGGTTTTTTGCAAATTCTCGTATATCCAATCCGATGACAGAACCGAACATTTCGAGTATCCGGAGCCCTAGAACAAAAATTCATCCAAAAAACTCAAATAAATTCTAATATTTCTATTTTTTTAGTATTTCGAGTTTCTCGATCCTCATATGGTTGACAGGACGCAAACTCGTTTTGAGCGGAATAAGGAAGGAAAAAATGTTTGTCTCTTAATTATTTTTAAAAATACACAAAAATTAATTTAAGGATCAACAACAAATAGTAATTACTGACCCCAATTTTACTCTTCATTTGATTGATGAAGTTCGACTGCAGCCTTGTCTTTATGACATTAAGGATCCAAAATATAGACATAGTGAATATAGAAATCAGGCTTGGGGAGAAATTGCGAAAAATTTGTCTTTTCCAGGTTTTTTTGGCCTAAGAAAATTTTAAATTATTTTTTAGGTGATATAAGTTCCCTCTACAAACAGTGGAAAAAAGTTCGAGACCGTTATGTTCGTGAAAAACGAAAATTGCGTATGGCTGGCAATGCAACTAATGAAGTTTCTAATTGGGAATTTTTTCGTGATTTGATGTGGATTGACCCTTTTTTGGATGAAAGAGCAGCGTTAGTTTTGATTTTAAATTTTTAGGTAGATTTTTAATTTTAGGCAAGTTAAACGTAAACGTGAAAGTAGTGAAGCGTCGGGAGGAGAGGATGAACAAATTTATTTAAATGAGAGTTTCTCTTCGTCTACAACAGCTATAAATTTTTCTAATGGAATTAATTCTTTACAACATGAAGATTTGGGAACATCACAAATGTCTTCTCATCATTCACAACAACAGGTTTATGATTATTTTGATTATTTGAAGTCACTTTTTGAAGTCTCCTAAGTGACTTTAAACGACTGGGCCCTAGTCATTTTGCAAGAAGACGAACATAGTTTCGCTCTAGTAAGTCGGGAACCTCTGTCGGATGGTACCAAGAAAAATAACAACTTTTTGAACACAATAACCGATATTTTAGTCTGACCACTTTCACTTTGTGAAACGAAAAAAAGGGGGGGGGGGGTTACGAAGAAGTTCAATTTTACCCGATGTTCTATTGTTAAAAATCACCAGAGAATTGGTCTCCTAAAGTTTTTTTTTTCGATTTTCAACTTGGATAGATCTGATTCTTCAGTAGCCTTTTACCTTCCATATATATACACTTGACAACATCTCACATTAATTTTTTTTAGCAAATTCAAAACCCTTATACAATGATGTCAATTCAACAACCTCAACAACAACCATTAGAATCAATCCAACACCCTTCTTTTAACTTTGGACATCAATTACAACAATTAGTCAGACTTCAGCAACACCCACCAATGCAAAATAATACAAATTCAAATATTGTTGTGGGACATTCACTTACAGGATTACACCAAGTACAACAACAACATCAGGTTTCTTTTTCGAAACATCGCTTTGCACTAGGAAGTCGGGCCACTAGGAAGTGGGGGACCTTCACTTCGAATTTTTATTGAAGCAAAAGAACTTTAACTAAAAAAGAAACTTAAATTGTTAGAATTGAGTTGCTGATACTTTTAAGTCCTCTTTTTGCCTGGTAGATATGGATATCCTAACTTTTCGGTTCGTATACAGGATCTAGATATCCGGGGATCTTCCTAGATATGTTAATCAATCCTCGTATTCTTTATCTTTACTATTACCAAAAAACCTTTTTTAGAATAAAAAAACAATTAGGATTGGATTTTTAATAAGTCCTTTTTTTAGGGTCGGCGATTCTGTGTATCCTAAATTTTCAGTCATGATATCCAGGGATTTCCCCGATTATCCGGATCCGATTTCCCCGTTTTCGTTAACCTTGGTCCTCATATTTTTTTTCGTAACTTTTTACATAAAAAACTTATTTGCAGAATTTATCAAGAATTCGTCCAGCATCACTATTAAATGATTCAATAGGTTTAGTAACCTCCTCATCAGTTCAAAATAATTCAAATCAACAATTAATGATACCACTTCAACAACAACAATCAATACCTTTAAATAACAACAATTTTTCTCAACTTGATACAAACAATTCAATCAATGTTAGTGAACGTCCAAATGACCCAACAACTTTACAAAAACAACAGCAGCAACATTTAATTTTACCTCAACAACAACCATCAATGGTAGATGGAGAAAGAGCTTTTGCACACAGGTTTTTTTTTTTAATTTTTTTGAAAATAGAAATTTTATTTTGCTTAAGTGTTGTTGCCGATTTGCTTTGTCTTCCAGAACATGCACGTATTATGGCAAAAGCACAAATTCAACATTTATTAGAAAATTCAAAAATTACAATTGTTAAGGCATAGAATTTATTAGTATATTTTTAGGTATTTTTTGGATAGCCCTCACCCTAGTGTGAGTCTTAGGTTTCTTTTCTTCATGCCTATTAGTTTTCCTCGAGCGATATATATTAGAGATCGAGCTGAACCTGGACCAAGGCCTGGGTTTTTCCTGTACCCAGAGTCCAGGCCTAGGCATTTTTTTGACCTTCCTGGATTTTTCTGAACTTCAGGCCCAGGATCCGGGCCAGGTCAATAAATCAAACCCAGGAACAGGCTTAGGCCTTTCAATAGTAACATCTAAAAATAGATGTCGCTATTGCTTGACAAAATATGTATACTATAACCAAAAATGAGGAAGGAAAGAATTAATAATTCTTAAATAAGATTGGTGTGGACTATCCAGAAGTACTTATTTTAAATATTTCTAGTCTTTTTTTCCTAGATAATTTTTATTTTATTTTTCAATAAATTTTTTGCTGGAAAATTTTCTTTAATTCCTTAAATTATTATTTCTTAAAGCTTTTTACTTTTATATTTTTTAAATTTATAAACAATTTTTTAACGATTTCTAGGCCTTTATTTAAAGAAAAATGGAAGGGAAAATTCGTTGTAGATTATGCAGCGAATTATTTAGTGAGGCTCATACTCTGGAGGCGCACATTGCTACTTCTCATATTTACTACACACCTTACGAATGTGAATTTTGTGGAAATGCTTTATTCCCAACTGATCGAGCATTGAGGGATCATTATAAAAATATTCATAATGTTGAGGATTTTGTGGTTTGTTTTTTTTGTTTATTTTTTATACGGGATGCACTGGGTGGCCTGGAATGTTGAAGTCAAGTTTATCCAGTATTGGTGAAAATTTGTGCTTGTTAGGGTATCGATCAGTCAGTTCCTCTTCTACCCACTGGCCAACCCTACCCATTTGAGATTGATACCAAAATTAATAAGGCCCACAAATTTTCCAGCTAGTTATGGCTTTGGACTTTCCTGGGCGTATTAACTTTACTTATTTAATTAACTTATGTAAAGTTTAACTTTACTTATGTGAAGCTTATTTTTAATCGAGTTTATGACCGATTAATTTATAAAATTTTAAAAATTCAAATTGATTTATTTTCTAGATAAAATATAGAGTTAATCCAGAATTGGAAAAACGTAAAGAAATGTTGGATCAATTAATGCTCGATTCAACAAATTTGACACTTAAAGAACAACAACAACAAAATGCTCCATATGGTGCTTTTGCTTCTCAATTATTAAAAACATGTACAACACAATTATTGCGTGAACAATTAACTAAAACTGAATTATTTGTTAATCAAAGACAAGGATTGAGGGATGATTTTAAAATTGAAGATTATTTTTCGGTTTTTTTAAATTAAAAAATTTTTTTTTAATTTTGTATTTTTAGCCTGAACCTGCTAATATTTTAAATAATCATTTTGGACCGTCAACTAGTGATAGTAGTAATAGTGTTCTAAATGAAAATCAAAAACAGTTTGTAATTTTTTTTAATTTTTATTTTTAAATTTTTGGACGTTTTTAATGTAAATTGATCTTTTAAAAATAATTTACTACCAATGGGATTCGAACCATGGACCCTTTTTGTGATGGGGCTTAAACTTTTCCCACTAAACCACAAAAATATATTCTCCTATTTTTGGAATATTTTTGGAGCGAATTGCTTCTATTTAAAAGCTCGTAACTTTAGTTAGCATATGGCTAGAAATTTGATTTCTATATCAAATGATAGAGCAGATTTTTGGCTACAAAATAGTTTTTAAAATTTTAAAGGTTTTTACACGATCCAAAACCACTTTTTGGCCATTTAACTCAAAATGAACTTATTTGTGTTGGTTCAATGAATGGTTCTGAGGACAATTTTATTAATTCTACAATTGGTTTAATTTTTTCAAATTTTTGAGATTTATTATATATATTTTAAGCAAAACAAAATGGGTCTAAAAAGCGTGTTAGGCGTAAAATTAATAGCGATGGAAGTATTGAATCAAAAATGGAAATGAATGGAGTCATTGAGGAAGAGAAAGTGGTATATAATTTATTTGATTTAGGAGTTTTTCAAGGCGGATTCTTCAAAATGTTTCTGTTTTAATTTTTTTGATTTATGGTTGAAAAATGGTCCCTTAAAAATTTTGGTAGTAAGACATTTGGTCCCATCACATTGGCGGAAAGACATCACATTCAGTCCTGATTACCTAGGCTAGTCCTGGACATTTGTGAATCCTCTCACAAACCGAAATATTCGAGCCTTTCTTACTTTCCCATTTTATTTTAATTTTTTAAAATTTTTAGACAATGGTTGAATGTATTGATTGTAAACGCAAAGTTGGAAAATATCGAAATTCAATGCTTATTCACACAAGTACTCACCACTGTGATCAACCAATTTTTGAATGTACTGGTGAAGGTTGTGATAAAAAATGGTATTCATTGTCTGCTAGGACTAAAGAACATATTGAATCGAAGCATGGAGGAAATTATTCACTTTTAAAGGTTTCTTCATAATTTAAAAAGTTAGGGGGTTTTTGAAAGAGGGGGTTTTTTAGGGTTTTTTTTTTGTGTTCCTCAATCTCTCTCTTCTTCTCCTCAGCATCCTCCTCCTTTCATTAACTTACCAAGCGCCTAAGTTCCCTCAACCCTCCTCCAAAAGTCACCTCTCATCTTCCCCTCAACCTTCCCCATCTCTTTGAATTTCTTATTTCCTTATGTAAGGGCAATATGTAGAAATTTCCTTTCATACTATTAAAAACAACCCAAATTCCTCTCCCTATTTTTTAAAATTTTTTGTTCACTTAATAACACTATTTTAAAGGATAACCGTGCTATATTGATGCCTATGATGAAAGCAAAGACTTCAAAACTTTTTCCAGACTATTACTCTTTGGCTACCAATTTAAGGGAATTATTACAATAAATAAAAATATATTTTAATTTTAAAATTATAATTTTAAAGAATTTTGACTTATTTTTGCCTGATATTCTCCCCTTAAAAAATTTTTCCCTAAAATTCTCCTATAATTTTGTTTAGATAAAAATTATTCTGATTTTACTTTTAGAAATCAGAATTTAAAGTTGTAAAGTTTGTAAAACACAAAAATCAGAATAAAAAATCAGAATTTTGACTAAAATACAAAATAAAATCAGAATTTTAGGGGTTTACTTTTATTCATTTTATTGTTTAATTTTACAACTTCCAGTTTGTCATGTTTAAAATTACCCTAGTATTTAAATAATATTATTCTAATCAATTGACAACATTTTCTTGAATTTTTTGATTCTGTTTGATAATAAAAATATATAAATTTATTTAAATTTTGGATAGTATTGGAAACGGCTGGTTAATTTTCCCCCGTGTGGCCCCTGTGATGTGGAAATTAACTGGTCGTGTCCAACAATAATTTTCAATTTAAAAAATAATTTAATAAATTATTTTAAATACTTTTATGTTTTCAAAATTTTTTTTAATTAAAAAAATTTTTTTTATTTTTTCAGCTAATTTCCAGTCAAAATTTCAGTCAACAAATTATTCAAAAATATTTTTCTTTCTTCAACAAAAATTTTTAAAAGAATGGCAACAACAGACAACAACAAAATTATTAATCCATCATTAAATGAACAACGTCTTATTTGGATTGATTGTGAAATGACTGGGTTGGATCCAGTTAAAGACAGATTGGTGGAAATTGCTTGTGTTGTTACTGAAGGTGATTTGAAGGTGGGGGAGTTTTTTTTTAAATTTTGTGTTTGAGTTGAACCTCATTTTTGGACACCTCCATTGGGTGGGGTACTCAATTTAAGAGAATTCTTTCGAAATTTTGTAGGCCGTTGGGGTGGAAAGCTGGCCAGGCGATACCCTCTCTATTTAATATGTAGACCTTCATTGGGTGTGTTGCTCAAAAGTACATTCTTTCAAAATTTATTTGGCAGGATACCTCCTATTTAATATACTTTTATGAGGAACTATTTTTCAAATTAAAGGGAGGTATCTAAAAATGGGGTTCAACTATTTGGGAAAATTTTAACCCAATAAATCTTTTGTGAAGTCAGCGCGTAGTTTAAGACTTACAATTAGCTTTAAATTGCTTTTTGAGTTAAATTTCTCTTAAGCTTTTCTTTTTCATGTTAACAATTTTTAAGGAATTACTATTTTTTAAATTTTTTCTTTTATTTTTTCAATTAACAATTTTTATTTGTAATTTAATAATTGAAAATTTAAAATATTTTTTAAACAAATTAATTTCTATACTAATCAGAATTTTCTATCAATTAATTATTCCTTCATATATTCAAAAAATTCTTCTTTACTAATTTTTCCATCACCATTTTTATCAACTTTTTTATTAAACCCTTTCTCTACTGCTTCTTCTATTGTTTTTGCATTTGCTTTTTCCAATTTTTCTCTCAATTCTTTTAGGTCCATTTCTTTTGCCAATTCTTTCCAATATTTTATAGCTTCTTCTAAGGATATATAACCATCATTGTTTTCATCTATTTTTTGAAATATTTTGTTAAATTGTTCTGTTAATGGTGAGGATTGGTTTTGTTGTTGTTGTTGTTCTGTTGACTTTACGTTATTGATAAATAACTAGAGGGAAAAAATTTTATGTTTAAATTCTGATTTTTTAAATTCTGAGGGTTTGAAATTTCTGATTTTAAAATTCTGATTTTTTGAAATTTCTGATTTTTAAAATTCTGATTTTTTGAAATTTCTGATTTTAAAATTCTGATTTTTTGAAATTTCTGATTTTTAAAATTCTGATTTTGTTAATTTTTATTCTTGAAATCTGACAGGTAAAATAGTGGGGTATTAAATTATCAGAATAAAGTAGCTTGATTTGTTAAATTTCATATAGTGAATACTTCAATAATGTCTTGTGTAATTTCTTATTTTAAAATTTTTGTTTATTGTGATTTTTTAATTGTGTATTTGGTTATGTATTTGAAATTTTTATATGGTCGAGAATTTATTTGAGGTTTTTCGAGAATGTTTATTAGGTGTGGGGGTTTTGTTGTTGTTTGTTTTTGAGCATATATAAAAGACTTTTTTAATCATTAGTATCGTTATTTTAAATTCAAATTCATTTTTAAATAACAAACCAGAATAAGCATAGCAATAAAAATAATTTCTGACATTTTTAATTCTTGTAAGAAAAGTTTCGCAAAAATTTTAATAAATGAAAGAGGGTAAAGTAACATTGAAATAGGCGGAGCGTTTTTAAAAATTATTTAAAATGATTAATTAATTTTTCTTAAATCTAATTTATTAAAAAAATAAAGATAGTGGCAGAATTTGGTCCTTTCGCAATTAAACAACCAACAAATATTTTGGAGGGAATGAATGATTTTGTTAGGCAAATGCATGAAAAAAATGGGCTTTTAAAACGTGTGGAAAATGAAGGGATTGAAGAAAGTGAAGTTGAGAATAAGGTGAAAATTAAATTTAAGAATTAAAAATTATAAATTGATAGTTATTTAAGAAATTAGAGGAAGGAGGACGGGGGAAAAGATGATAGGAAAATGATGGAATTTTTTTTAAATTTTGGTAATAATTTTTGTGTAGGGGTGTGGGTTAAGGCAGATTAAGGGATGGGGGAAAAGATGACGGGGAAAAATAAGGGACAATGACTGAATTTTTTTATTTCGGGAAAAAGATTTTTTGTAGGTAGAGCTGGGTGTTTTTGGTGATATTTAATAGTTGTTTAGGTTAGCTGTTTTATTTTTTTCCATATGAGATCCAGAAAGTTTTTAAAAATTTATTTTTAATTTCCTCAATATTTCCAAAAAAATAACACAAAAAATTCTCTTCTTCTTAAGCTTATGGAATTCTTACTTGTTCATACTCCACCAAAAACGTGTCAATTAGCTGGAAATAGTGTTCATTATGACCTTCAATTTATTAAGCGTTATATGCCCAAATTTGTTGAACATTTACATTATCGTATAATTGATGTTTCTACAATTAAAGAACTTGTTAAGCGTTGGTATAGTGATTCGGAAAAATTGGTTAATATGCCTCCAAAGAAATTAAATCATTTGGCGATGGATGATATTAAGGAGTCGATTGATGAATTGATATATTATAAGAAACACTTTTTTGTTTGAAAATATTTTTTTTTGATTGAGGTTTGAGTTTTTGTTTTGATGAATGGAGTATTTTTGTGGTTAAAAATGAAGTTTATTTTAGAAAAATTTTTGTAGGGGATAGGGAAAATGGAGCTGAATCATTGGACTATCATGAAAAAGGGACAAAAATAGCGTAGTTGTTTTTTCTACTTGAAATTTTTTTTAAATTTTTTAAAAATTTTTTTGGGAGGGGAGAGGTGATTTTTCTTAATTTTCAGGGAATATTTGAGTAATTTTCTTTTACTTTTTGGGTGAATTTTCCTCTATTTTTGGGGAATATTGAGGGAATTTCTTGGTGGGATTTTTCCTCCATTATTGGGGAATTTTTTCAATTTTTTACTCTCTCTCTACCTTTAAAATATTTTATATAAATTCTTTAAAAATATTTTTTTCATTTTTCGTTTTTTCTGTATCTATTCTCTTCCATACACTAATTCATCTAAATATTCTTCCGTAGCTCTCAATCGTTGTAATTTTTGTGCTAATTCTTCACATTGACAGTCTACTGGGGTTTGTGCTGCTTCTGTTGATGGGCGTCTATAAGAGAGGATTTTTAAATTTTTTTCGAGAAAAAGTCTTGCCTTGAAAAAGCTTTGACTTCCCCTTCAAATCCACAGCGTATCTTTAAAAAAATTTTTAATTTAAAGGTTTCTAGGGAAATTAATTTACTTCATCAGTCCAAAAAGCTATTAATGTACGCCATGCTCTTCCAGCTTCACGTGTTTTCTAAAAAAGAAAAAATTTTTTTTTGGTTTTTTTCGTCTTAGATATCCTTCTAATAATCCCCTTCTCTTACCTGAACACATTCTACTGAGCAAACTTTTTCCATAACTATTTCCCCAAGTTTGTCCCATACATTGGCTGATAGTTGAGATGTTCGAGAAAGGAACTAGAGAAAAAATGGGGGGTTATTTTTGAAGAATTTTTCCCTTAATTCACCGCGTGTTGTTGTCCAATACATTTGCTACTCGAATTAATTATTTGTTGAGTTTCTGAATCCCCTTCTACAAACTGAACCAAATCGTCAATAAACTTTATAAGCATTCGAATATGTTCTTCCATTGATGCGGGGTTAGGTCCTCCACCTGAAGCCTTTTCCCAACAATCAACATAATCTGCTTTGCAGAAAATCTTAAAAATTAATTTTATTTTCTGAAAAATAATTCAGAATTTTTTAAAAAATAAATCAGAAATTTTTTGCTGAAAAATTTTTTAATTTTTTGGGGGAATTTTTTTTTAAATAATTCTTAATTTTTTAATTAATAAATGCAGTTGTTCTACTATTTCTTAAATAAATTCTGATATTGTTATATTCTGTATTTTATTAAATTCTGATTTTTAAATTCTGATTTTAGTCAAAAATACATTCTAATTAATTTTCTCTAGAATACATATTCTGATCTTTATTTTTATATATTCTGATTTCTAATTAAATATCCTTTACTCCTACAAACAAAAAATTCTGAAATTAATTCTGATTTTGTATTTTCTCTAAAAAATACGTTTATTCTGATTATTTTATATTTATAAATTCTGATTTTTAATTAAATATCCTTTACTCCTACAAATATTTTTTCTGTCCTAATTTATTTCCCCATTCTTCCCTACTTCTTTAACTGCAGGCTCTGTCTGTGCCAGCTCCATAAATATTTTTCTCATTAAAGAGAATAATTGTCCTTGTTGTTGACGCATTTGTCGCCATGTTGTACACAATGCAATTTTTTGACTGTTGGACATTCTGCCTAATAAAGAGAGGGCTTCTGTTGATCCTTCAAATTGAATCGAAAATTAAAAAAAAGTTTTTTTTTGGATTTTTTACCATGTCTATGTCGAGAAGACTTGCTTCTAAAATTGCGAGATCCTTTACGTGACAAACTTCCACTTCCACCATTGGCTGATTGTACCCCACAAGAAGAGGGAGAGGAAATGGCTGGATTGTGGTGATTGTTGCCAAGAGGTGAACCTGTAGTAGTAGCCCGTGGAAATCGTAAAGATTGTGTTCGCCGAAAATTTGAAAAAGGTCCTCCGTTCTTTATTGCAGCCATTGTTGAGCTAGCAGGCATTTTAATTTTATTATTTTTTCTCTTAATAATTTTCTCGTAAAAATTCTGAAATTAATTCTGAAATATTTAATTCTGATTTTTGTTTATAAAATACTTTTTTAAATATCTATTCTGAAACACATAATTCTGAAATATTTAATTTTGAAATTAATTCTGAAACAATTCTGAAATACAATTCTGATTATTAAATTCTGAATATTTAATTCTGAAATTAATTCTGAAACTTAATTCTGAAATACAATTCTGATTATTAAATTCTGAAAATAAATTCTGAAATATTTAATTCTGACTTTTTGTTTTTCTTAGTATTTTCTGAAAAATATAAATTCTGGTTTTAATAAAAATAAAATTCTGATATATTAAACCACGGCAATTTTAATCAAAAAATAATAATTCTGATTATTAAGTCTAAGTTTAAAAATGTTTGTGTGTTATTTTCCTCCGTTATTTAAAATTCTGATTTTAAAGAAAAGATAAAATACACATTCCAATAAGATGAAAGATGAAAGAATATTTTTAATTAAAATTTGTTTTAATAAAAAAAGGATAAAGGGTAAAAAATATTAAAAAAATATTTAAAGGGGTATAAGATAAAAGAAGAAGAAGAATGTGTGTAAAAATTATATTTTGCCGCTTTTTAGACATTTTTTTTGTTTGTTTTGTTTGTATTTTTGTGTAGAGGGCGCTAACGAGCTTATATATATCTTAAGGCTTTTTTTGCTTTAAATTAGAGGTGAGGAGGGAAAGGTTTTGTTGTGTGTGCAAATGAATATTTTTTGTTGTGTTTCTTATCTATCTTTTGCCATTATTTTTATTAAGGGGGTTTTAAGAGGGGATTTTAACTAAAAATATTAAGAGGGTTTTTTTAACTAGCTTGGTTTTTGGAAGGAAAAATCAGAAAGGATTTTTGAAGAGTAAATTTTTTTCTGCAAGTGTGAAAGACTAGAAGGAAGAGGATTTATATATTCCACCTTTTAAGGTCATCCTAGTTCACTAATTTATTAATCTATTCATTTATAAATATTACATATGTCTAGAATCTAAAATGGTCTTCAATAAAATATTTTCTTTTTTTTTAAAATTTTTATTCCTCCTTCATAAAGCATTTGGAAAGAGATGCCCTGGCGCAACAAGTCGTGTGCGCGCGCAGCTTTATAAAATTGTCGGATAAATACTTGGAGTAATAAAAATTTTGAATAAATGTCCTCAATAATGTTGCCTAACAATTCTGAAAATTTCAGAATGTTTGGTTTTGTATTTCAGAAATTCTGGTTAAAAATGTTGATTAAACTGCTTATTTTACTTAATTTTTTGAACTTTTTTGACTATAACTTTTAAAATATTAAACTAAAAATTCTGAAATTTTTAGAAATGTTAGTTAGCATTATTAGGGAGATCTATACAAAATTTTATAGCTCTATCTTTTCTTTTAAACATTTTATAAATCTGCGCCTTAACGTCCTCCATGTCCAGACGTTCCTTCCTTTTATTTTCCTTAATGGGTTTGAATACATTAAAAAACTTATTGAATAAATTTCCTTTTAATAAATATCCATGGAACCATAAAATCGAGAAAATGACGAAAAAAAGAAGAAAAATTGTTTAAAAAATGGAATATTAACGATGGCACTTTATATAAATTCTGGTGTATAATTCATAAATGTGACGGGGAAAAATTCAGTTTTAATGGATTTATAAAATGTTCCAGGTGGAAGAAGATAAAAATATGAATTAATGAATAGGATTTTTTGGAAAAGGTGGAAGAAGATTAATTTAGAAGGAGGGAAATTGATAGGAGAAATTTGTGTTTTGTTTGAATTAAATTCTGGTTTTTTATTCTAGGAGAAGTTTTGTGTTTTGTTCGGAAAAATTCTGATTTTTATTATAGGAAAAATTCTTTTTGTTTTAATTAGGTTCTGGTTTTCTTTTATTATAAGAAGGACTTTGTTTAGGAAAGGTTCTGATTTTCTTTTAGTGTTTTGTTTGAATAAAATTCTGATTTTTTTAAATTCTGATTTTAAACCATTCTTTTTACAATTCTGTTATGTTTTTCTGATTTTTTAGCTTAAAGATAATTATAAATAAATTACAAATTCTGAAATAATAATTACAAATACTAAATTCTGATTTTTATATAGTATAACTTGTATTATTAATAAAATACGTAATTTGGTAGTATAATTCTGTTTTTCAAGAGAAAATACATTTTATGGTTATAAATAGTGTTTTTCCTTTTTTTAATACGAAAATATTAAAAATATTAAAAGTGATGACAAAATGTGTGAAAAAAGAATTTTTTTCACACATTTTTTTAAAGTCCAACTAGAAACACATCAGAAATGGACAGGTAAAAGGAAAAATTTTTTTATAGGAAAAAAGCAAACAATTATGTCACTTAAAATTTAAAATTATGGGAAATTCTATTTATTTTTTTTTCAATTATTTTTTTTTCAATTATTTTTTTTTCAATGTTGCCTTGGTTTTTAGACTAAATAAAAAAAATGTTTTTAAAGTAAAATGAAAAATAAAAACGTGAGTAAGAAAAGTTTTTAATTTTAAATTATGGGGGAGATGTTACTCTGAAATTAGGAGAGAGAGAGACAGAGGGAAGCATGGAAGGGGCTTATTAGTGTTTGTAAAATAATTAAACTTAAACATAGGGAGATGAAATTTTGTGGGTATATTGTTGATGGTGTTATTTAACAGTTCTGAAAATTTCAGAATTTTTGGTTCTGTATTTTACGAGTTATGGATGACTAATTGCTTGCGGGTTAATGAAGGGCGGTAGGAGTTGCGCGAGTGTTCATAAATTAGTTAAAAGAAAACTTAGAGAGATGAAGTTTTGTGGATATATTGTTGATGGTGTTATTTAATAATTCTGAAAATTTCAGAATTTTTGGTTATGAATCTCAATGG